TGGTCGCGTGCCGATGGGTAATCAATCATTGCACGCGTAATGTAATGACCCTAAAATTTCGTTTCAAAATATTGCCCCAAAAGTTTTGAAGCGGTTTGCGTGAGCAAAAAAACATTCAAATCAAGAAAACGTAACGCCCACACGTTGACGTACACGCAATGCATGAGTGGTGAAACCCACAAGTTTAGAAACTCGTGCGCCTACTTTTGCATCGTATATGGGTTTTTGAATCGGAGGCTTGTCACGCTCTCGCTAAGAACTAATGCCAGCTACTGAGCAGGGCAAGCCAATGGTGGCCTGACCAGCCACTGATTTCGTGTGTCATTTGACCCTTATATTTTTTACCATGCAACTACCCAAAATAGCACCTTTTGGGAGGCTGATTAGGGGAGGCGGCCATCTCATGTCTGATTCATCTCTAATCTGAGAGCGGCAACCGAAAAACGAACGATTGCCGCGCCTAAATTTTGACAGGGTAGAACCGCTAATTTACACCGCTAGGCGAGTTTGAGGTGTCTTTGAGCCAGCGGCTGACAGGAATAAAAATTTTGATAGGGTTAGGGTCGTCCCCGTATTCGGAGCAGCTCTGGCCGAGTCTGAAAGTGTGATTAAAAAAATCGACCCTCCCTTCCTCTGCAGTAAAAGGAAGGGAGGGGCAATCGAATTTATACGTAATTCACTATCAATGCCTGTTTCTGTAACTCGTTAAAATAACAGCGTTGTGTAACCAAACAATATCATTGTTGTGTATTCTCTGCTTGAGGAACGCTGCCACATCTAAATTTACCAAAGCATTGTAAAATGACGAAATATTAAACCATGATGCCATTAATTTTCGATTTTATTGAATTAACTAATAACGGCTTGCCACTCTATGCATCCGTATTTGTAATCATTTGCAGCCATAGAGAACAAACAATTGTCTACATTCCCAGTATAGCAGTGTAATCGACATAGTTAAGCAGTGAAAAGGTAATATGAGATTAAATTACACTTAGCTCACCTGCAGTCCGGTGAAATAACAACGCGCTGCTTCCAAGTCTTGAACGCGGGTCTAGACCATGAATAGCCTGAGCCTCATCGCAGCACGCTACGGCGACGCGTGTTCTCCTTATAATTTTTTAAACTAACTGATAACTGGTATAGATGAGCTATTCGCATCTTCAACTCTATTTGAAGATGCGTATAGCTGGGAAAGCTATACGAGCATCCTTGCTGGGAAAGATTTGCTCGTAGTTCGATTATTCGGGAAAAATGTATATAATCGTGATTTTCGTTAGCTTTTCAAAAAACAATTTTTTTACATCTGGTACCCAAACTGGACACTGGTATGCGAGGGAATTCCAGAAGAGATTTTGTTACATAAAATAGAGTGATGCCGACGCGAAAGAATAGGTGTGAGGTTGCCTGTTGCCGATTCTTGTACTTTTTCGGAGTCACAGATCTAACAACAGGTCCTTGACCGGATCTTTTCAAAACTAACGATAGATTGAAATCGTTGCTAGACTTCTTCCAAGTTCGATATGGTGCTAGGCATTTCAAGTCTGGACATATATTTCTCTATGAATTTATCTAGTCTGTTCTTGAACGCATTCATACTCAAGAGTCAAGAGCATCAACGATGTAATCGGGGAGGCTGTTCCCCACGTAGATGTCTCGAACCAAAAAGTAGTGTTGTCGCGTCGATTAGTTGCAACGCACTATATTTAATTTTTAGCTGTGGCCCCTGGTGTTGGTTCTTGCTTCAAATTCTAGTAATCCATCTGCGACCTTGTTTTCTGCTTAAGATTATTTCCTGCCTAACACGATATATATACCTGGCAATGATACTCGTACAAGTTACCACACGCCGCCATAATTGTACCAGTGACACACCAGTAAATTCGACTTGAACGCATGCTTGATTCTCTTACATTAGAGTAGGTATTAAATGAAAGAAATGCAAATATGAAGTTCACGTGATTGTTTCAATCGTAAATTTAAGCAATCTAGAACAAATGCTGACGGAAAACAGACATGCACGTACGCACGCACGCGAACGGGCACTGATTGAATTCTGGCATACCCGCATATATATTTCGTGCAGAAATCACGGAATTGCCGATTCTATGAAATCGGCAGCCAGTAGCCGAATCTGTGGAATCCAGCATTTCGTTGCTGATTCAGAAAATCGGACGTTAGAGTTAGAGTTAGAACATAAATTGAAAGTTAGAGTAAGAAAAGGTTGGGTCAAGTTCGGTCAAGTTCCTTTATACTTAAATATTGAAAAAACTTGGCTGACAGACTTAACCCAATATTTCTACAGTGTAATGAAGTGTTGCTGCAAATTTCCCACTACTGTATGTCAGACTACGAAGTTTAAGTAGGACCGACTCTGACGTCGGTGTTAAGTTCAGTATAGCCGTCAGATACTATGCCGATCCCGACTTGCGTCCTGGTTCCTCTCTTATAGGATTTTGACTCAGACGCCAGGGTAAGTTGCTGCTTTGGTGGTGAAATTTAGATTGTCGTAGATATTTACTTTGTTTTCTGTTGTAGGATCGTGCGTTATTCACGGATCTCAATGCTCTAGCTCTCTCCTCGCATTTTGCTCTCATCGCACTGTAACTTCCTCCGCATTTAATTTGTTAGCGTTAAATTCATATGCCGCACCTGTTTGATTTGTTTAATTTCGATTTGCCGTTTACCTTTAATAAATAAATTTAAGAAAGTTTGTTCGAGTAACTATCCGCTCAGTCCAAGCTCTTGCTGATAAAACCAATAGGGAAGTTGCATTTAATTTCCGGTCATTGGTGGCCGTGACAATTAGACCATCCGAACTTTGAGGTGACGCGATTAATTAGCTATTATTCAAGATTAGTTCGTCACATACAGTATAGAAATGCTGATTCTACAGAATCGCCAACTGATTGCTGATTCCATGGAATCGGTGATTCCGCCATTTAGGCACGACATATACGTATATGAATTCAGTTATGCAGGAGCAGACAAGCTCGCCCATGCACCTCCGGAGGATTCTGCCCACTGCCTTCCGCTGTGGGCTTGAAGGGCAGCCTATGGGCAGTTTATGGGCTGGGTAAGTTCGGCCAAGCCCACTCATGCCATTATTCTAAGGAGATTATAAAGTCGGCAAGGCGACTCTGACTAGTCGCTGATTGCTGTCGAGGGGCCGCGCAGACCCAGAATAACCTTACCCAACCATAGCGAGTCTCTCCCAGAGTTCCAATCATTCATTAATTTTTGTTAGGGATATAGCTTAGCGGTACATCAGCTGCCCAAATGAGATGCAAAATGGAAGATGCTGGTGTGTTGCCACCAGTTAATGAGAAAAAAAGAAAATGTGGCGCAGTGTGGCCAGTAATGGGAAGGAGAAATTGAAATGGCAAAGAGGAAAAAATAAAACTCAGTACTCACTACAGTGAGTGGCAGAGAGCGCATTTTCTCGTCGACGAAAACGTTGAGTCACGGATGGACAGGCAGACGGACGGACGGACATGGCGAGCACAATAGCGCCTTTTTTCTTCCATAAATGAGAAAATGCGCTAAAAAGGCGATCGGTTCATAATTAGGCTGTTGGTTGGTGCTTGGTGTACCAAGTAAGTAACTAAATATGATTAAGACGCTCTTTCGAGTTCCTAGATGCAGAAACGATGAAGTAGTTGTTTGTTGCTGTCGTGCGCCCGAACCTAGAGTATGGAAACTTCGTGTGATCATCGAAATTTGAAAAGGACAGAAATTTAGTAGAGAGTGTTCAAAGACGCGCAACAAGGATAGTTCCGGGCTTGAAAGGCAAGTCCTATGAGGAAAGATTAAAGATTATACTGCTTCCAAGCCTCAGTTATCGACGTCCGCGTAGGGACCTCATTGAAGTATACAAGTACACTCATGACTTATACAAGGTCCCAGAAGGATTACTAGAATTTGAAACAAGAACCAACACCAGGGGCCACGGCTATAAACTAAAAAACATCGTTGGAACACATCCATGCGACAACATTTCTTCTCGCTTCGAGTCACCGACATGTGGAACAGCCTCCCTGATAGCATCGTTGTGAATCAAGTCACGAAAAGTTCAAGAATCGGCAACAGGCTATGGGCCTATTTCTTCAACGCCGACACTTCTATTCTATTCTAAGTAGGAAGTAACTGAAGTAAGTATGAGTATCTCAGGCAGAATGCCTGTGATTAAGTGCATGCATTCTGCCGTCATTACATTTAACCAAATGAGGCTGAGCTGAGCCAGAATCTGGTTGTGCCGGGGTTCGCTTAGTCAATTTCACTAGATTCCAACTTCGTAGCCAATCCAGCCGTAGCCAATTCCAACTCCGTAGGCTTTTGACGAACAAAGGCTTGTGTTTGCAGAGCCTAGATTGGTATGAGATGCCTATTTTTGTGCTCATCCGTGATTGAATATGGAATTTCTTAACAGATAACATCGACCTGCTCTCTGCCTGAGCCTCTTGCTGACCCACAACTATGCATTGAACACATTTGCCTACCTTTTAAGGGGAATTACGTGTGTTGGATTAAATACGTTTTATTTTTGTGCGTCGATGCAGTGCACGCACAACTCTCGTTGTTAATTAAGCGTCACGTTCAATGTGTCAACGACGCGAGATTTTTGGTCGTGTTCTCAGGAGAATTGAGCTCTACCCACAGTACCCAGCCATATAAGACCTCCAAGACATTTCCGTTTTTTCGGTTACTATGAGGACGCAGCGCCTGCGTTAGTCCGTTATTTATACAATCATCGGACAATTTATTCAAAAATTTGTTTTGGATGCCTGTAGTGGCTGAGTTAGACGGTAGGAATTCAAAAAACAGAAATAATAATGATGATAATAATACTTTAAATTTTTTTACTTACCGGAAAGAAGGTTCGCAGTCTTTTATACAAACAATTGGAGAATAATTTTGATTCTACAAGTTTCTATTGTTCATTACTGTGCAAATGTACTATTCAGCATCCCCTAACAACATTATAGTAAGACAAGACTAACTTCAGCCTGGGCGTCACCACCCCCATGGGGTCGGAGTCTGGAGCCATCTTGCAGGTGCCGCACATGTGCAACCCAATGCCGCTCCAGCCACGCACGAAGCAGCGCCAGTAGTCGTCCGATTCGAACGCGAAATGCGCGCAGTCAGGAATCGGCTAAACAATCAACGAGAGCACTTGTGCTGTAGTCGAGGGTGAATGGCATGTTAAAGAATTCGTATTCATGTATCGCTGAAAGGTCATAAAACTGCTTGATGAAAAAATGCTAAAGAATGCTGAAATACTTGAAGAAAAAACTCTCAGGATAATTATTCAGGGTATTAAAAGTTGTTCTTAACTTTCAAATAGGCTATGTGATATTTTATTTCCTTTTCACTTGCACTAATCACAGAGGTAGAGCATCTTTTAATACAGGGTGCGGCGCGGGAACTTACTTATTTGAATTGCGCGCCACGTGGCGGCCATTAGTCCTAGGAAGGTGGCGCCATGCGCAATATGGTGCGCGGGCTATGAAGTTTTTCGTCCACTCAGTTCAGTTGCGACCATGCAGTGGTCGAGAGAGGAGCGCGCGTTTTCTTTAATACTTTTTACTTTGTGATTTTTTTAAAAGAGTAAGTTCCCACGCCGCACCCTGTACCTTGAATAATTATCCTGAGACAATTTTTTATTCAGGCATATCAGTTTTTTTTGGCATTTTTTCTTCGAACAGTTTTTTGATTTCTCAACGCAATATGAACACGAATTTTTTAATATGGCATTGAAAAGCATGAAATCACGATATTCTGTTGATATGTAATATTTTTCGATACTCTTGGGTCTTGTTAGCGGAAAGAAAATCAGATTTTTTCATGCCCACTGAAACTCCCCGACTCTTAGATGAATTTCTGTTATCTATATAAATGACTTCCAAATCATGCATTGTTTTTCTAGCACTCTAGAGACGTTTCAATATCGCGCTTGTTATAAATATGTAAGCTCACCTTTGTAATGGGTTCAGCGCCAAGAGCCCGCCGGAAGATCTTGGCATTTCCTAGCCTTCGAGAAGCCTTGGCAGCTGCAAAAAATAACTTGACTCTCATGAACAAAACACGAATTTAATCAGTTTAATGTATATTAAAATTACAAGGCACAAAGGAGCTTCAAATGACAATTGGCAATATTTTTCCTGGAAAGTGAAATTTTTTTTGCGCGCAGAAATTTGAATCTCAAATGAAATGTCACACAACAGTTCAGTCATCCATTGATTATTTCTGTTTAACTGACTAAGCTGTGATACGATGAATTCTTGTTAGCTCAATGGTGGTGTTCTAAAAATACTTTTTGTGTAAATTTTATACTGATATTGACGTAGCGCCTGGGCTTCGTCCATATTTACATTGTGGAACAGATATTTAGGTCTTTTTCCACATGAGTTTGATTGCTTATTGTCGGCGCTTTGTCAGACCTTTCTAATCTGTGGCGCAGAAGGCTATTTCCTTACGTAAGCTCATCGGTTTTCGCCATCTTGAAAAATGCTTGAGCGGGCCAGTATATTGTTTTTCACTCGTCACTTATCGGGAGTCGAGAAAAGATGGGAGTGCGAAGAATAGTTGAATTGGATACCATTTTCGATCATGTCTATTATCAAGAAGGAGCGACTAATAGTATCCAATAAACACAAGGACAAAAAATTACCAGAGTTTACTCAAAGTTGAAAGCAGTCTTCGGACGTTATTTTTTTTTATCGAAACACATTTACAATATTTTTTAACGCAAAATTAAACGTAAACATCGTCAATTGTACGTTTCCCATAATGCATCCTCTATAAGCGACGGTTACGTTACATATTTGTAACTCTCAAATATGACTTATTTTTGAAACTTGCGAAACTACCCAAGCGCGCTTTAGTGAATTAATAGATTACATTCAATCGTACCTTCTACTTCTGTGAGCGCTCTAAATAACAGTAACTGAACTCGAGTCATCAGACCTTCAGATGTGATCGAAATTTATGTCTCATCAGGCAAGGATTTGAGACAAGAAGAATATAAAGTAAAAATAATTATTTCAGTGACTTGAAACATTCATAAGTGAATAAGCCAGAAAAACTTGTTGCATTCCATTTTGTATTGTTTATTGTTAATATCTAGACGTATATATTTTGGAATAAACCAAAAAGTTTTTTCATGCAGAATAAATGTCGGAAAATGAATGAAAGCGTTATATTAAATAATAAAAAATATTATTCGTGAAACACTGTGGATCTACGAAATTTCGAGATTACGAACACTATCGACGTAAATTTTCTCGCCCACACGCACCTTTGACCATGAGCTCAAAGTCGTCGGGGTGACTGAGTGAATTGTGGTCCAGGACGGGCGGGTCGAAAGGGTTCTTGGACATGAGGGTTACCGTCCCGACGCTCTTGGGTCTGGCTAGCATCGGGGTCATAGAGAAACCATCTCTTCCTTTGATTGGTTGATAGTAATCATGTATCTGTAAATACAAAAATGAACGTATTGTGCTTATGAAATACAGTGTTATGAACGCCAAAACTTGTCAGAATTATATGTTCAATTGAATCTGTATTTGTCCTAACTTTTTCTGTAATTTTATTTAGCTTAGCTCCTAATTTTTTCCAAGTTAATTAAATTTTTTGTCTGTAAATTAATTTTAATGCCTCTAGCAAACGAAGCCAACTGTTCTTGCTAAAACACGTATCGTATGGTGGGAATTTTGATTGGTCAGTTGTCTAATGTACGCTGTCATATTTAGTATAAGTTGTCTGAGTTCATGGTAGTTTGTCTCCGGTCTTTTTCATTTGTCCACAAGTACTATCAAAATATACGATCATAAAAGGCTTATGTGGAGTGGTCGAAGCGTATAAATAATATAACGTATAAATTGCAGTTGCTTGTGCGCCGCGACATACGAGGGACGACCAAAGCAAAAACCGGACTGCCTGGGCGGACTGGGCGAAGTTTCGGTAGTACCAAAGTCTCCCATTATGTGAATATTCTACTGACATTCTACTTCATTTGAGCGCTCGTCCATTTTTCCTGATGCCTGATTTTCGTGAGCAACATGCTGCCATATAATTTTTTTTTCATGTGAAAAACCGAGAAGAAAATGCTACAGACAACCTACGAAGATGATGCTATGGGGAGAACGCAAGTTTCTTAGTGGTTTTCATGCTTCAAAGAAGACGAATTGTCAATTGACGACCAACCTTGTACAGGTTGTCCTTCCACTTACCACACTAAAGAAAATGTTGAGAAAATTAGTGACCTAATTCCTGAAGATCAACATACAAGTATTGAAAAACTTGCATAACTGTCCCAAGTGACGAAGTTCACTCCATCAAATTATAAAAGAAGATTTTTTGCTAAATCAATAAATGTTTAAAGAATTGTTATTTTTATTTTCAAAATTTTTTTTGGGTCCCACTATAAATTTAAATAAGCTAAGAAAAAGTACAGATAAGCCAAAAAAATGCAGATTCGATCAATCATGTGTGGTGTGGCGACCATAATTTTAGTGTCATTCATGAACAGAATTGATAAAAAGTGGGAAACACATGCGATAAATTCCAACATTCTAAAGAGCCAACGTTCGCTAATGTTTTTATGGTAAATGTAATATACTATATTCAATTATATCTTATTTTTCAGATAAAACCAATAAAAAGATTTATAACAAAAACATGGGAAATGATTATTAAAACCTACCGATTGCTTGTAAGGTGAAAGGGAGTGGAGGCCATAGTCTTGACCCAGCAGTCCACCTTCTTGGCTTATCAGAATGTCCGGAATATGGGGTTCCTCAGGACTGCCTACGTTTAATTGGTACAGAGCACAAATTCCAACTGGAGTTGTCAACGAACCTGCAGTCAAAGAAAGTTACTTTACTGAAATAAGGTTTAGCATTAGAACTAAAATTTCGTATTTTTTGGCGGATATTTACTGTTGGGTCGTAAAATGTTTCGATTTAATCATGAAGAGATTTGATCATTTGGGGTAAAATTTCCGCGATGTTAATAGTTGGACCGAAGCCAGAAATCGCAACTTGAGTTCGGAAAACGTTCCATCGGTGCCAAAGATTGCACGAAAAATTATTAATTTTTTTTGTAATCTAATTTGAAATTCCACGTTTATATTTATATCTATGATAACCCATCATAAGATGGAAAATTATGATAAGGTGTAAATGACATAACTAAATGTTTTTTAGTTGAGTATTTTAATGTTTTGACCAGCTTGATGGTGGCAGTGTTATTACGAATATGAGAAAACAACAGAAGTGCAACAGGGCAACCAGAAAGGATAAGGAGAAATTGAAATGAAATAGTGAGAGGTAGAAGGCGCTAAGTGCATAATTAGGTTCGTTTGTATTAAGAGCTGGATTAACGTCGGATGGTGGAGCTAATAACTCAACAGTGCCATGGTTGGTTTGATGAAGGACCGTGTTATATAATGGGATGTCGCATTGTGCCTGTAGTATTTGTGAGAATACATCAAATCGGACTAGTGTCGATAGTTGATGAATCGTAGGGCTGCATTTTAGACGTTTGTAATTGGGGAAGTAGTGTTTTTGATATTGTGTGTGGCGGTATTCGATGTAACTGAGAGAAGTGAAAGATGATCCAACAATTGCACGATATAAAATATGCTTTATGTTTGGTTGGAGTGGTTGTAATGTATGTTTTATGTGTAGATTTGTGGGGATAATGCTGTTGCCATGAATCTGAAACCACTTGATCATAAAACCATTTAATCTGAAACTTCAATCATAAAACTATAAGCCTTTGTTCATGCATGGGTAGTGAGTGTTATCAATGTAGTTGTCAGGTGTTTTTCGCATAATAAAGAGGATGATTTTGAGCTCAATGGTGTTGGTCCAATTAGCCATTTGTTCTCGAATGTGTTTCTAATGTTCGTTGCTCCGGAAACTCATACACCCTGATTGAGGAAGGAGGCTGACGCGGAGAGGCTACCGCGAGATAAGGGAAGTGAGCGAATGATGGGAGGGAGGCCAGAATGGCTGCAGCCTGGAAATGGATGCTCCATAGAGAGGAGACGGGGAGGTCTTTGGGAAAGGACGGGCAGGAAAAGAGGTGTTCAGTGGGGTGGAGGAGATCCACGAACTTAGGACAAGCTGAGTCTGTCAGAGCGCCCCACCCTGAATGTGTAGGACGCAAGGTGGCTGCAAAAGCTAGACTATAGCTGAGCGAGTTCAGAGCGGTAGGGAGCGAGAGAGCATGGCTCCCTTGGACGCAATTGGGGAAGGTAGGGCGCCAGGTCCCTGTTACATCCCGCAGTCATAGCAGTTTGCGAGGGGATCACTCGGCGAAGGATAGCCTCTGGCCTCCTCATAGAAGCATGCTGGCGGGCAGCCATCTTTCAATACGGGCGCCTCGAGATGACCGGAGCAGTGTAGCCTTTACGAGTCTTTAACCAGTAGGGGCGGAGACAATCGGACAGAAGGATCGAGGGTCTGGGAGGCGGTAGCAATGAACTGCGAGCAAGCGCAATTCAGGTGACAAGCCAAGGGACGAACCTCTGTTTCAGTTTGTAGGTAGTCTATTGCAGTCGTCTTGCGGCAGCGGTAAGCGAGCCTCAAAAGCAGAGTTCTGCACGATCTGTAGACTCGCGACGGCGTACCGGAAGGTAAAAAGATACAAAATTGAAGCAGAATAGTTAAGGATTGGTCGTGTGATGGATTTGTAGGTATTGACTTCCTCTGAGTTTAGTTTAGTGTCTAAATGTTTACTAGCGCTTCAGCTATTAAGCTATCTCGTACCGAAAGTCAAGATGAACATCACCATAGAGGTGGAAGGTCTCAATTATTCATCACCCACAAGGGGCGGAAGGTCTCAGATGTCCAGCCCGCTGAAGCGGGCTCGAAGGAAGCAGCGTTAGCATCTCAAAAGAGACGAAGTGACAAGGAGGGACAGGTGAAAAGCAACAGAAACGAAGACACTCGAACAAGAGGTCGCTTACACGGGACGTCGGCCGCCCGCACGAGAGAGACAGAGAAGGGAAATGTAAGGAATCCTGCCTACATAATAACTTAACCCCACAACTGAAATCTGCAGTCAGACACCGCGAGCTCAGCGGTGGGGCGCTCAGGAACAATCCCCCTAGGAGCGCGAAATCCCATAGGACTTCTGACGAGCACAGACACCCGTCAGAAGTCCCCCCTGAGGGGAAAACTTCCTCTGAGAAATCAAAGCTGGTGCCAGCTAGGATATTCAGGATGCGTAAGGTGCGGGCTGCTTTAGAGGCTATACCCTTGACGTAAGTTGGTATCCCAGTAAAGTGGGTATCCCAGCTAGGTGATTCCTAGAATTTTTGTGTCTTTTCCACCGCTAGGCGGAGACGGTGAACCAGGCGGAGATGCCGGACAGCAGCACCGTCAGGTCCTCCTTCGAGGAGTCTAGTCTGGGAGAAGTGATAAATATTGTGAGGTTATCTGCGTAAGAGGTGATGGTTGAGGTCGGGACCGGGCATTCAGAAATAAAGTGGTTGGAAAGGGCTGGGGAGATAGAGTCTTGAGGAACTGTTGTTTACGGGATTACAGGTAGAGGCAGGAACATGTAGCAACCGTCCTTACTTCTTGATTTGATCCGCTAAAGAAATAGATCACTTTTTGTTAACATGGCTAGATAAATTTTCTCCTGTTCAGTCATCACACGCTTTGTAACCGAAAATAATAAAACTGGATTACCGTATTCCAACTAAGCATCTACCTAACCCTTGTGTATCTCGTCAACTTTTGATCCGACGAGGTGTAGGGTAGATTCTGCAATCATGAATAACAGAAAAGAGTGGTCGACACTGTCGGAGGCTTTCTAAGGGTCCATCGCGGCTGCCACGTTGCGGGAAGGACGCCGTCTAAAGTAGAAACCAGTTGCGATTTGGTGCAATATAGGGAGGAGAGTAGGAATGTAGAGTAGCCGGGTTTGAAACTGCTTTGAGGTGACGGACTGAAACCTAGGGTCTCCGTCCGTCGATTTTCCTTCTCATTCAGTCGGGGTTCGTCGTTCGTTTTCCTTCTCATTTCGAAGCTTCCCTCTACAAAATAATTTGATGATTGTGCGTGTATCCAGTTCTGCTGTCGTGATATTTCGTCTTTAATTTTGCTGGATTCTTTCTGCCAGTGTATTATCGCCTCGCACTCATGTAGATTCATAATGAATACTTAGAACTTATCGTAAGCACTGGCAATTATGGCCGATTCAAAAAAGGGTCTTTGTACGCAAGAGAAATACAACTACACAACATAAACTATGGGATGTCAACTGCAAAAGAATTTACGTGTTATCTAAAGTATAAATAGGCTCATTTTTAACCATTATAACAAGAGACTCGTGTAAGGGAGCTTCTGTGAACAGCCTTAGGTGGAATAATTACCTGATCTCCTTTCGAAATAGTTCAGCATGGCACTCGTCCCGACACGTTCGAAAATGGAAGACGAAATGTTGGGATGAATGGTCCAACTTATTCCGCGGACATATAAGTGGTCTTGGTAATTTTGTCCAACTCCCGGTAGGTCGACTCGGCTTTCAATCTGAACCGATTAGGAATATATATATATATATATATGTTTTATTCGCAATTTTCTTATTAGTTTTTTCAATATATCGAACAATATTTTTAGTTTGAACTGGCAAATCGAAAATCAGGTTACCGATGGACATTTTTATTTCGTTAACGACGTTTCGAATGTTTCTATCATTCATTATCAAGTTAAAAGGCGCATTGAGTGATGAAATTAGCGTCGACATNACGAACCATGTTAATATATATATATATATATATATTTGTATAATTTGGGTTATTGTGCGACACGTTTGTTAAGAGTTTTCGAAAACCGTGTCGCGGTATATTTGTGCTAAACATTAAGCATACTTTAGACAATAGCGCGACATTTTTGGCATATTGTGCGACAAAATGTCGCCCAAAAACTGTCTCGATATGTACCAATGTCGCGGAATCTAGATATGATTAATTTTTGCTAATAGTGCGACACAAAATAAAACGCAATTATGCGACATGCTAATTAACAAAAATCTCGTCCGTTAGGTTAGGATTAGAATTAGAGTAAGAAGTGTAAAAAATGTTTCTTTAGACACTTTTTTTACAATTTTACTAAGGTTAGGTCCAGTCAGGAAAGGTTCTATTACATTAAATAACTAAATGAAAAACGTCGACTAATCACTGTCGCGGAATTACCAATGTATAGCAATATATATATATAGTTTTGAACATGAAATAATTTAAACTCATCCTGCTTCCTCATTTCGGCTTCTTGAAATACTTAAATTTAGCAAAGGTAAGCTACGTCTTTGGCTGACGCTCTATTTTATATGTCGTCTCGAAAATTACGTACAATGAAGCGTGCGATAGTGTTTCAAAATCATCGGATACAGACAAAACTAAATTGATTTTTTAATCAGACCCTTTCCTATTTTAGTGCCGTAAAATTGATCGCTGCCACATGTTTTTCAAATCAGTATCTCGAGATCCTATTTTACTTAGTTTTTAATTTAATTTGGTTATGAAATTGATTTTTTCGCAGTTACACAATGTTTTCAGCTTAATCCAGGTTTAACAGGATCTATTATTGCTATGTTTACTTTTAGTTTTAGGCTGTTTTCAGTTCTACCCGGAGTTAATTTATTGCGATGTATTTTGTTATTTACTTGCAATTTCATATTCTCATCATTGCTGCTTCTTAGCACTATTGTCGTTGATTAGAACTATATACTTCATATCATTTACAAACAAAGCTGAGCGAATGATGGGAGCACGAGAACACGCTGTTTTATTCCAGTAATTATATTGTGGTATAGTAGTGCTCTCATACGTGAATAAGAATAAGAATAAATGGTACAGAACAACGAATGTGGATATAAATTTAGATTCATCTAAATCCATCTAATCTAAAATTTGTTTTCACCTGTTCCTTCGAATTTTACTCACCCCTAGTTTTTCTAGGTGTTTTTTAGGCCCAATGCCCGACAGCATCAGCAGCTTGGGAGAATCACCTGCGCCCGCTGATAGTATCACTTCTCGCTTGGCGAACGCTCGTTTCATCTGATTATGGGTACAATTCGATATAAAATTCAAAAATGACAATGAAAAATATCAATAAAATTCTAAAATCCCTTAAGTTACGCAACGGTTATTCAAATTTTAGATGCAAGCGCGATCACATAACAATTCCCATTAAATGAAACATAATTTTCTGATGAAGCCAACGCCAATAATCAACAGTAATTCTAATTTAAAATGGATTATCTGAGAGCATAGCAAGACACTTCCTTGTGGATTCATGCAGAGTAATCGCTCATGTTCATTATTTAAAAAAAGAAACTCATAAACGAGACCCAAATGAAAATTATAGGGGGAATACCGATTATAATTATTGGTGCATATAGATGGAAATTATTGATGGAGCAACGACGGCGCATCGATGCGGCATCGACGTCGTGTCCAGCCACCTATTACCTGCCGATGGCCGCCCAACCGAAAAATTAATCTTTTACCAATAACTACCTCATGACACCGATAACACATCGATGAGCCATCGATGGCCATTTCTATAATGAAGTTGAACAAAAATTTTGCATTAGTTTCAAATCCGATGGATCTATATTTACTGCCATTACATTATGCGAACACACATTACGAAAACTAGTTGCACACATCCAACAACAGAACAAGCAACAAGGTCGGAAATGTAGCCAGAACATATTATTATCAATGTACCGTACACATAACTCGTGGGACATGGACTAAATGAACTGCTGCTGGTATCAAACACGGCGGGCGAAGTGAAGCCTGTATACCGTTGAACCATCGTAGAGCATGCTAGTCGTTTTGAGAGACTTACTGAAGTATAGCAAGTACTATCTTCAAGTAACACATGTATATACAGTGCCGTTATGATTAGATGTTTCCGTTAACCACTATTCATTTGAAAACGCTGTTTTATTCCAGTAAACGGGCACTGAAAAATGTTTGTTTATCCGTAACGGACCATGGATCAGCTCAGAGTAACGGCTAAGGTAAAATTCATGAACGATTCGAAACATTTTCGCCTAGTATACTCTCTAGTAAAATAAATTGATATCACTCCATGATTTTGGAATGTTAGACTTGAAATATCTTCACCACTTCGTGTCACTTTTTTGCCCGGCTCTCATCTAAAAAATTTTGCGTAGGAATGATACCAAGACAACTTTACCAGAATTATATACCTACACTGAGAGAAAAAAGCCCCCTGTTTTGAAACACTTGGGTGTTTCAAACCCTCCCCGAGCGATCGTGCCCAAACCGAAACACCCAGGTGTTTCAAAAACGTTCAGGTGTTTCAAAATTTGCGATTTTGAAACACTTGGGTGATTCAACGTTGGAACACGGGAAGTCTACGGAGAATGAAACTTTATTTTCAGAATTTATGCAATATCCTTGTCCAGTTTCCAGCGCCTGATGAAATTATTTTAACATATTTTACTCCTCCGGTCGATCGCAGTCTAATACATGCATGGCTGCCTCAATACCAAAATTATGAAAACTATATTTATCCGTATTTATCTGATTTCAACGCTTTTCTCCTTCACAGCGAAATTAGTCACATATTCATTCTTTTATACACATATTTATTACACAATTTTATCGGTATGTACAATCATCATGAAACTACACTCTTTGCTCTCACCTCTATCGAACTCTGGTTGAAGAAACTATGAGTCGCCCGCCGAGATTCGAACCTCTGCCAAGACTGCAACCAAACGCTCGCGAGCAGGCGCCTTAGTCCACTCGGCTACGGAGACGGCAACTACATAGAGCTGCAGTATTGGTTTTGTCTTGCGCGCGGTACTACCAGAATAAATCTTCTATTTTATTATCAACTTCTAGTGTGAGTGAATGGTATAGAGATGTCGCTCGTTAACATTACTATTGACAAAAGAACAGCAGTGATTTGAAACAATTAAACGAATTGAGTTAGGTCAATTAACCGTAAGCAGTGTAGATTCGTGGCATTCATGAGCGGCGGCTCCACGCAACCTCCTCCTATGACAGCATTCGGCGCACTGACCACGCGACCCTAGCCGCACAAATATAAGCGCGTCAAGCTCGAGAGGTTTTGAAACACCCAAGTGTTTCAAAACGGGGGGCCTTTTTCTCTCAGTGTAGAATCAACCTAATTATCAGACGCTATAAGAAAATTTCTTATGAATAAATATATTCCACTGTCACGGTCAGCCAAAGAAAACTGAATTTCATTCGTATCCCTTGCGTTATGAGGATATTTTTTTGACCAGCAAACTACCTTGAAATCGCAATTTCAAGCAGGACATGACAGCTTAGAAGGAAAAAAGCTCGACGCAGAGGCGCGCCAGGTATGAACTCGATACTCTCGCTTCAGATTGAGAGGCCGATCAGCGGCTGGCGACTCCTCAACATGGCTTTACATGCGGCAACTTATGAATATTATAAAAATTATGAAACGCACTTAATCGGTCCATACAATTTTTACTTTATGACTCTGAATTAGTCTCGATTGAAATTTCAATATTTCAGACACTCTAAGTTGATGCATATGCAAAATTCGCACCGAATAAATAGAGTGAACAGGAAACATTTGAATAGTTATCTTTTAAAAAACTATGTTTTGCTAAATATTTTTCCATTGTTTCTCGAGAAGTTCATATCAGGAGATGTTTGATACATGCCCAGTGGCTTTTGTACACGCATTGCTTCTGATTGTCATTATTTCACGTACCTACCCGATACACGCTAAATTTCCGATAAAATTACTCGAATCTTGAAGGCCAAGCTCACAGAACGAGGTCATGGATTTGTCTTGATCTTGAATGACCTGCAACCTAATAACTTTTTTATGTTGAACTAATTTGAGTGGCAAATTACTTCAGAAGCTACACATTTTGATCGAACGATTGATTATCGGTGGCTCAGACTGCGTGGCCTCTCGATTTATTGGTGTTTTACTGTCGATTGTTTGCATAATTGGCCACCCATCGTTACGCCACCTATAACCATAGATGCAACGCCCATCTATATAATCGATGCCCAACCACGCCCCATCTATATTCATCGATTCCCTACCATTTATTTTTATTTGAAGAATAAATAATTAAAAATCAGAGAAAAACTGAAATTTATTAAAAATTTAGCGCCATTATTGTCACTTAATCAAAATTGTAAGAAAAATTTGAATCAAAGGATTGCCTGAGCTATGCGATGACATACAGATACATCTTTTAAATATCAGTTCAAATGAGAATACCATTAATTTGTTCTATTTCCTCACCTTATTGTTATGAACATATTTCACTCCAATTGCCCGATTTTCAGCATCCATGAGTATCTATGTTGGAGTAAAAATATTTCGTATCAATTGAAAAAGTTTATAAAAAGTTTCAGCAAATTTAAGTACATAACAAGAGCTGATGTGAAAACTGATGCGTGCTATTATAATTTCAAATACATTTCAACATTTCTATAGTTCCAGACAAGTTCCCAAACGACATCAATAATCAATTCTCATTCCATTGATTACATCCGATTAATTAACGCAACTGTTTTGGCTTGCCTACTATTGAGTCGACATTGATAAATCATTTGCTGTATCTCGTTACGATTTAAGTTAAATAATAAATATACGTGATATAAATTAAACACATTAAGACAAGTGTATAGGTTCTCAAAATTTGATCTCATATCTGCTTGGAGATGCAAGAACACCACCAACTACACCTCTATTATATGTTCAAAGGAATCTGCATGACGTAATTCGCTACGCAAAATTTCTCACCTTTATTACTCGAGAGTTGATTTGCAGTTTAAGGTTCCGACGTCGTAGGCCAGGCAACAAGAACGCGTCTGCTGTGGTCACCCGTTCTCTGTTTTTGGTTGTGAGTTGGAAGATAGCGCTGCCTGAAAGGTGAAATAATGAAGCATGGTTATGAGAAAATTAGCCCGTCAATAGTGCTCAGAGAGAAAAGTACTCTGATAAATCTAAGTACTCTGATGATTTTACTTCATATGTCCGATTCAGTATTTTAACAATGTTTGGGAGCACATGGATCGAGTTCAATATTATAGTATTCATTTATCACCAATAGTTGTGTCTGTGTTGTAGTCCACCTCAGCCAGCCCCATCTCCTCGCCCGCTCTGATGGCCACCCGACAAACTGGAGGCTTCCAAGCAACCTTCTCCACGCCAATAGGACCTCCAAAAGCTCGGAATGGAGCTGCTCCAAATTTACAGTGGGGGGAAATAAATATTCGTACACTTGAAAAATCGTATTTTAATGTATGTAAGTACACAAACTTAACAGGAAAAGTGATTTAAATTATGTATTCAAAAATACTATCAAAAGAAATTAAATCTCAATGCAACAAAAAACAATGCAACATGTTCACTTTTCGGGTGAAAAAAGTATTCGTACAAAACAATAAATCCGCATTATTTTAATTTAATACTTGGTTGAATACCCTTTATTCAGCTCAACAGATCCCAGTCTATTTCTATACGTATCGACCAATGATTTGCAGATGCTGACTGGTATTTTATACCATTCTTCTTGGCACACCACCTTAAGATTCTTAATGTTTGTTGGGGACCTTTTCTTAATTTGAATCTTCAAATACCGCCACAAATTTTCAATTGGATTTAAGTCCGGCGACTGGCTTGGCCACTCCATAACGTGTACATTTCTATCAGCGAACCATTTCTTTGTGGATCTTGCAGTATGCTTAGGATCGTTATCCTGCTGGAAAATCCAATCACCAGGTAGCTCTAGTTTCTCAACAGAAGTCGTCAAATTATTTTCCAGGATTCTCTGGTAGTTTGCAGCATTCATCCTACCATCTATAATATTCAACCAAGTATTAAATTAAAATAATGCGGATTTATTGTTTTGTACGAATACTTTTTTCACCCGAAAAGTGAACATGTTGCATTGTTTTTTTGTTGCATTGAGATTTAATTTCTTTTGATAGTATTTTTGAATACTATGTGTCTCTATACATAATTTAAATCACTTTTCCTGTTAAGTTTGTGTACTTACATACATTAAAATACGATTTTTCAAGTGTACGAATATTTATTTCCCCCCACTGTAAATTTCATTCAATGCTTTATTAATCATATTACTCGCAAATGTTTAACATTAATTGTTTTGTACACAGTAAAACCCAATTGAATGAGTTCTTGCTACTTGAATAAGCTAGATGAAACAGCGATGTGATTAAGACCGAACACCACTTATACTAGACAACTTCGATTATCAATCAGTACAGTTGGTCTAGATTCTAGAATGTGACTCCCCATCACAGTTGAAATTATTTCAGAAGACCTTAAATTTGTGTTATTCAAACTATTTGACTGATCAAGAGTTCCAAAATAGATCAAAAAGTTCTATTCTCCTCATTTTAGTTCAGCACCTGTCCATTCTCTGTCCAAAAAGTGTAATCCACCTCTTTATTGAAAAGAAACATAATTCATACACGAAATTCAATCGGAATTTAATTTATTACAAATTTCTACGTGATTTAAGTTTTTCAGTAATAATATTAGTCATTTTCTCACCATCTCGGGACTTGAGAGGACCCTGGTAGTCTTCAGTTTTCTTGAAATACTTCAGGACAGTGTCATAATCCCAGCCTGGATTACCTTGCGCTGCCCAGTTTTCGTAATCCTGAGGAATACCGCGATGATGCATCATCTGGTTGATGGTGCCTGAGCCGCCAATCACTTTTCCTCTCATGTACAGGCCGCCCTAAATGGAAAAGTAAAATAGACTGCATAGTTTGCTATGCACTATCATTCAACGAACAAGCTGCGCGTAAATACGGCCTGTCGTTGTTTGCAAATGAGGCTCTTTTCAATTCGTGTTGAGCAGTGCACTATATAGCTGTTACTAATACTAAACATGTTTCATTTTCGTGCCTTAATGTCTAATCCGATAATGTCTGTGACATTCATTGTCTACTTGCTACCTCTGACACCTCTCTCACGATACCACCTACGCTCCAAACCCAAACGGGTGGTCCTAAAGCAGTGGTTCCCAAACTTTTTCAGCCTGGCGCCCCCTTTGGCTCCCCAGTGAATCACTAGCGCCCTTCCCCTTCTCGACAGACAAGTATAAAAAACGCATCTTTCTTGATATTTAGTATGCTGAAATTTTAAAAGAGAAAGGTTAAACACAAATGTGTATTTCACAAATAGAGCCCCATTTAGTAAACCAATATATTTTTTACAGTTTAAACTCTTTCAATCTCCAATCTCACGGCCAATCTCCAAATTCAGTGACCAAGGAATATCTCCCAAACTAATGAACGCAGCTCGATAAAACTTTGAACACGTATTTATTATGGGACCTAACGGTAAGGTTTAGCTCATGAAAATTTTTTAAATTTCACCTTACGCGGGAGTTATACGGCGATACGGGCCGAAAGTCGCCGTGATCAAAGAATTTCTTCCAAACTGCTGAACAGATTCGAACGAAATTTTAAATATAAATTTTTAACTACCAAACGGTGATTTTTAGCTCGTAAAAATTTATTCGATTCGGAGTCATGTTCTACATGTGTTGTGTACAAATCGTCAAACAAACGTACAAACTTCTGACTTCGACTTCGCGGACTGCCGCCTCCCTGCAGCCCCTCTTTCCACCGCCCACAAGGGGGCGATATCGCCCATTTTGGGACCTACTGTCCTAAAGGGTGATTCACGTCAATTTCCTGTTCTATATTACGCGCCATGCAGTCAGATGATGTTGAAATAGAAAGCGGAGTATTTGATATGAAAAGCAAGGCCATTAAGTTTTGTGTCCCACCTAGTCAGCTACCACTTTGCATTGGACAAGTAAGCAGCGTGCGATTGCTTTCAAGGAGTACTTCTCCGTGTTCCATTATCGCTTCTCATCGAGCATTCCGCACTCGGTTCTGTATCCGTTCTTCAGGACGGGTTTCTGATCGGAAATATATTGTTTCGTGGGTGAACACATTTAGACCACATTTCCGGCAGAGTAAACATGCCCAACATGCGTTATTGGAGTGATAACAATCCGCGTGATTTCCATTAGTGGTCACTTCATGAGGAACGCATAACTGTGTGGTGTCGGCATAATTGGCCCTTATTTCTTTGAGGAAAACGAATGCGCAGTAACGGTGTAGCAACCATCCGTACTTCTTGATTTCATTCACTAAAGAAATAGGCTCAATTTTTGTCAACCTATTTAGATAGATTTTATTCTGAGCAGTTCATATCCAGCTCTGTATCTGTTAACAATAAACTTGACTCGCATAGTACTCCAGCCACTCCCTAGGCTCTGAGTGTCTTGAAAACTTTTCTTTCAGTATTAGTATCTCGATATTTACACTGGTGACCCCAGATAGAGGTTTAGAAGAAGATGGAGACCGACGGCAGTTGCATCAACGGGAAAGAAGATTCGTCACCAACGAACTTAGTGATTAAGATTCCACAGTTCATGGACGCTGCTGCTAATGTCATGTTCATCATCTTGGAATGCCAGTTTAAGCTACGCGGTATCACCTTAGACTCCACCAAGTTATATCACCTCATTTCAGCTCTCCCACCCGACTTGGTATGTAAATTACTACCTGAAGTATATAGTGAATGCATATATAGTTCCCTGAAACCAGCAGTTATAGACTGCTACGAGAAAACCAAACCAGAACTCATTGAGAAACTAACTACCGCAACACCAATGGATGGCAGACCATCTGTCAATTTACAGGAATTACGATCACTCACAACTAATGTTGGTTTCTGTGACGATTTGGTAAAGTTCAAATTTAATCAATCCCTGCCTCCTGAGATAGCACCTGTAATAGCAGCCCAACGAGAAATGTCACTTGCGCAATTAGGAAGTTTGGCCGACGAATTGATGCCGCTGGTCCGCAACAACCTTACTAGAACAACCGCAACAATTGGAGCTGTGCGAGCAAGAAAAAAGCTTCATCCTCCGATCAAGAAAGTTCCACCCTTCATTAACAACTCGATCCCGTACGGCTTACGTCCTTTCAGCATAGACCAGAAGCCCCGCAAGTCCCACAATTTACTTCGCTGAAAATGCCATGCCAGGAGTTGCAAACCTTGGTGCCAATGGCCGCTCAAGGACAGCTGTGAGATGGAACCTAATTCGCGACAGTCATCCCCCGCTCGACCCACATCTTCAAAAAAGGGAAACTAGCAGGGCGGGTCGCCATCGTCACCTCCGGCCCGCCGCATCTGGAAGTTGCTGCTCAACTCGGAGCAATGAAACTAAAATTTGTTGTAGACATAGGCGCCGCCGTCTCTATTTTGCCTCGTAAGTTTGCGGAAGGAATTCCCCTGCACCCGACTGCAGTTCGGATGAACTCAGCTGCTGGGGATGAAATTCGCTTCTAAAAGGCCTCCCACACTCACCATTTCAACAAAAAAAAAGGAATTGATTTTATTAATTAAAAACAGGGAATGGTTTCATGTCAATGATCAGGGCCCCGACCTTAACGCCTCTGATGGTGGCCTACACCGACTCCGAGGGTCACTGAGCTGTGACGTCCTACGGCTCTAAAGTCCTCAACGAGTTTTTGTACTGCCCGGAGAACTGTCTCTGGTTTATCGCCCAAAGATCCATCATCCAAATACCAAACGTTAAACTCAGTGTTCACCCGGCGAACCACCTCGTCAATTCCTAAAGAGAATAAAGCAGGGCCAAAAGGATCGCCTTGCTGTATGCCGTTCGCGGATACCAAACTCGACCCTCCAAAGAATAGAGGGGACGGTTCCGAATACGCTTGGTACAGCATTTTATAATGCTGTACCAAGCATTATTTTTCTATTTTCTTCTATTTTTTTTGTTGGAATGGTGAGTGTGGGAGGCCTTTAAAAAAAAAAAAAAAATTCGCTTCTCACGGAGAAGCAACAGTGGACATTGTTATCCCAGAACTTCGCCGCTCTTTCTTTTGGGCTATGGTTGTTGCCGGCACTCTTAATCCCCTAATCGGATGGGACTTCCTTAATCATTTTAACTTGCTGGTTGATTGTGGTGGCAATAAATTGATAGAAGAACAGGCACGCAAACTAGAGCATACAGACTACCGAGCAGCCCTGTGCAGACGGTAATCATCAACGATACCTCGACCCTTCCAGAAAAAGTACAAAACATGCTGCAGAAATATCCTTCACGCCTTTCAACCAAGACCCAACACCTCTACTCAGCCTGGCGCGATCTCTCACCGCATCAATACCGGAAGCGCTGCGCCCACATTTTGTAAACCACGATAACTTTCGAACGAAAAGTATGCTGCAGCTAAGAAAAATATCAGAATCTACTGTCGTCTGGCATTGTACGACTGTCCAACTCACCGTGGTCCAGTCCTATTCAACTCGTGCCCAAAGCGGAACAAGGCCAGCACAGGATCTGCGGTGACTACTGGACCCTCAACGTGCTGACCGTGCCCGACAGGTACCAAGTACCGCACATCCACAGCATTGCAAACAAACTAGAAGGTAAATCAATTTATCCATAATAGACTTGATTCAGGCCTACATTCTTTTGGACTACGGAATGCTGGTGCCACATTTCAACGCTATATTGATAGTTTGTTCATTCATTGTGATTTTGTTTTAGTGTATTTAGATGACCTACTTGTATTTTCGTCCAGCCCTGAGCAACATTATGCAAATTTAGAATACGTTCTCAAATTTCTTGCTGACGATAACCTGCGAATTTCTCTATCTAAATGTAAATTTGCAGTTCCACAATTTGATTTCCTGTGTTACTCTGTCAATTCCGATGGCTTGAAGCTAGCAAGACAACAAATTGAAAGAAATCGACAAATTTGCAATGCAAAACGATTCAAGGTTCCTGAGACGTTTTCTCGACATGGTCGGAGTTTACTGGCGTTCTTATACCTAATTTTGCCGAATTGGTGTACCCGCTGACTGAACTGATGAAGATTAGTCTGAATTCACAATCATTGTCTCTCACTGACGAAGAACAGTCAGCTTTTGCAAACATTAAGACAGCTTTATCAAATGTTAACCCTCTTGCCTATTCCAATTCTTCAGTAACCCATTACCAACTGGTCACCGACAGCTCTATAGTTATGCTGTAGGCGTCGCACTGCGTCAGATGGTCAATTCGGAGTCAATACCGATTGGTTTCTTCTCAAAGAAATTAAGTGAAGCTCAATGCAAGTTTTCATCGTTCGACAGAGAGTTACTTGCTAGTTGCCTTGCTGTCATTTATTTCAAATCTCAAACTGAGAGAAGGTGTGCAACCATTTTTATCGATCATAAACCTTTTTCCCTTGCTTTCTATAAACAAGCCCCTCGCAATGATAAACAGCAACGTTACATGTCGCTGATAACTGAATTTGTAACCGATATTAAATATGCAAAAGGCAGTCATTATGTGGATGACCATTGTCTTTCTAGACCAGTTTACGCATTAACCATTGATACATATGATTTAGATGCTTTAGCAAAGCAGCAGATACAGGACGATGAAATTGCATCGTATAAAACTAAACTTAAACCGTTTAATATAAGTAAACAGACTGTCATTTGGTGCGATACATCTTAACTGGCAAGGATGTTAACCCGGCCTTTTGTGCCAAAACAGTCCCGGTTTTCAATTTTTGAATTGTTTCATAATCTTTCGCACCCTAGTATCAAATCTACCATCAGTATAATTGAATAAAGCTTTTATTGACCGGACATTGACAGAAACCTTAGGGCTTGGGTGCGCGGATGTCAGTCTTGTCAGCAAAACAAAATACTTAGGCACACAAAATCTAATGTTAAAACCTTCGATCAAGTGTCTGAAAAGATTTCAAACTGTGCAAGTAGATATTGTTGGTCTTTTGCCTTTGGTTGTACCCAAAAATGAAATGTATCCTAGTAGAGCCACGCTCCTAGATAGAGCCACAAGATGGGTTGAAGCAATTCCGCTATACTCGATCTTTACAGCGGTGACTGTTGCTCGGTTCACGCAAATGGTTGACGCTTATTTTTCCCAAAACTGGCTGAAATGAATATCAGGGATGTCTGATCACACAAGGTTGGAGCCACGGCACACAGCGCAATGTTCAGAGGATCTTATGAGAGCACATTTTTCAGAGCACCTCATCTTCTTGAGAAGTGACCTTCTTTGGCCGGCCCGATCCCCCGATTGGGCTTCGTGTGATTTTTTTTTATGGTTGAAAGTTGAACGGTACTTGAAAAAATCGACTAACTGATAGCATTGACAATGAGAGCCGTCATTTGTCCGATGTCATCTTTGAACTAAATGATACAAAATATCAGGAAGTCTTTTCCATAAAATTTGTATTTACTGATATCTTTACTAGTTCTTTAGTAGTAAGCTTTCAAACCGGGAAGTTTCCGTGTATCACCCTGTAGAAGGCTTAGGACCCGACCTCGGTCACCCATATACCACAATGCCTCGTATCCCTGTATCTAATTTCCTTTGCATACCCATAACCTTATGTTTCCGTATCTCATATCCCCATACCCTTGTATCCCCGTGCTCCAGTATCCCCATATTAATACCACCATAACAATTACTCGTATCCCACTACCTTTATCGTTAACCTAACCACCTCATCAACCATCATATCCATTCGAAATTTCGCGACCACGAGCCGTTTGTGACTTCAATAGAACAACCTCTTGATATCATCTGACTGTCCAAAAATTATCCGGTAATTTTTTGCCGCTGTGAAAATTATTTACCACAGTCATATTTATGTTATAAGAGGGAAACGGTGAATTAAGTTTCGAAATCGAAACAAAAATTAGGATTTATAACCTAGAAAATTTAATATCATGAAAAACTTCAATTTATTCTAAGTTCTTACTATATTTTTCGCGAATTGCTCAGAATATTTCTGAGGACGCTTCTTGTAATAGTTCACGTATGAAGAGTTGGTAAAATCTGAGCCGAAGTGGAGGAATGGAACTTTGGCAAAAGCTGGAGGTTGTCCTCCAGCTTCTAAAACCAGCACATCCCATTCCGAAATCTCGGCCAGCCGACCAGCTACCACACTTCCCGCCGAGCCTGAGCCCACTGCAAGAAAAACAAGATAAATGTTGATAGATGTAGCGAGCGTTCTCTATTACTACTATAATTTATATTTATCAATCCATGGTTTCAATCGATTAAGATTTTTGAAACATCAAAAGGATCTATAAAAAATTTCAAGCGGACAAAGAAATGCGCATTTATCAGGCAAGGTTTCGTAAAGAAACAAATGTGTCTTTAAATCCGTGAGCTTGAAGCAGCGGATTTCGAAGAAATGAATATAAAATTGACCTGGGACACAGGGTGCCGTACCTTCAAAATATGCTGAACTACAAGTAGCGGCCCATTTCTCGTCTAAGATTGGTGGGCTCAGCTTGAAAATCTAATTTATTGGGTGACGGAACTATGTTTTTTTTCCTAAATACGTTTCAGTCAATCAAACAAGGAAGTCCATGACAACGCAAAATTCTGAATTTATTACCAAAGTTGATATTACCAAAATTATGTATTGCTCACTACCATAACTTAACTCTATGAATGAAACTATGTTCAAAGAATTTATAAATTTCACTTCTAGCAACGTTTTCCAATATGTACTAGCAGAACACCTTTACTTAGAAGTCCTTGCCTACAAGTATTGATTTCGATCAGTCGTATGGAGTTTATCGATGGATTGTTGAATCCCTGCTTATTTTAAAGAGATGCGTTGCTCGATTAAATCCCTGACAGACGGCAAGCATTTGGCATTGTTTATAGATCATTCGATATAATAGCAAAACCATATCGCAAATAACGTTTTTTTATCAATTTTATCAAACTTCATCGTCTGATAAAATCGATAAAAATGATGTCATACAAATTTTTCAGAAAGGCTCATTGAAATTACTCTCATCTAACTCGACGAAAATGTTTTTAAAATCTATTCTGCTCACCCTTTCTTGCCAGTAATGTAAAGAAGAAAGAAATTTATTGAATCAAAGCACTGCTCCTAATGTGTCCTAATTACTATGTGAGGTTTAGAATTCTAAACTTAAATTTTTCTTTGACGATGGGAAACGGTTAAATGGACGAAAAGTAATTTTCATAATATTTATTTTTTTATTTTTCATGAGCCCTGCTACTATTTATAAGGCAACATTGAAAACTCTTCCGTTATATCGCAATAACACGGAGTTATCCCACCCGTAAAATGCATGGGATTGACCTCCCCCAGCAATTTTTAAATGCACAAATATTGAGGAGAGTTTGTTGTTGAACGAATTATTTGTTAGTTGTACAAGCGGATGTTCCACTTCATAATAATGAATATATGCAACTCACCGACTATGAAGTCTACGTTGATATCATCAGGCATGACACTCGTAGGATATCTAACGGGCTGAAAAAAAGTGCCTGCGATTATGGCCGTGAATCCCGCGAGAAGATTCCCAACAGAAAATTGAGTCATTTTTGATTCAATAAACACGTCCAATATAAACTACAAAAACGGTTTTCTCGAAAATGCCACGTTACCGTGGAATTCAGATTTATTCTGAATTGAGATTTTCCGATTGACTCGCACAACCGAAGTAAAGTTCACCAATGTTGCTTGAACAGCCAAATCAGGCGTGAGGTATGACGCGCTTTTATAGCCACACAGGGACCAGCTGATCAAGAAAACTCGTTTTCTGCTGCAAGCAGGGAAGTCCTAGACGCGCAGACTAAATTTTCCCCACAATCTGAATGTCCAGCGTCAGTGTGACGAACCAGTTTTATACGTATGTATATTGGCCAAACTAATGTAAAAATAAGCGTTAGAATAAGAGGATAAATGTAAAGTGGAGGAATATCTTTTTAGGAGATAGAAACGTTACACATTTGGGAAATCTCGAATGAAATTATTTGAAAAAGGCTACATAAACATTTTTGTGTTATAAATAAAATTTTTACTGATAATTTGTGCATCTATAGATTATGTTGCAACTATTTGTTGGCACTGCTCCACGACGTGTCAAATTAGAGCCACGACTAAATTATTTCATTATTCACGACGTCTGTATAAGAAACACATGTTTTGCATTGCTCTGTTTATCCAAGCAATCTACTTAATTTCACTAAAGGTGCCTGCACACGGGACAGTACTGGCGGTAAGTAGATCTGACAAACGCCAAATGTCTGCCGCTTGGAGTCTATCCCACAAGTGGTGTCTATCCTAGATACCGGCACGGCGGCACGTCAAACTTGCCTCGTGTCTAAGCTTACTTGCGGGATAGACACCAAGCGGCAGACATTTGGCATTTGTCAGAGCTACTTGCCTCCAGTACTGTACCCGTGTACAGGCACATTATCGCACGAACTGATTCTAAAGAGAACAAAATTTGAACTTTGTAAATAATTTTCCAATATAATCTTTAACTTTGAATGATCGAGAAAACTAAGTACTAACCTGCATACTATTAAATGTTCGTACAATCACGGTCAATGAAAGAGCTGCATTGAAGCTTTTTCATAACCATCATTGAATGCAAATAAATATAGGTTAGAAACAAATCTAGATTGCCAATAATTCTAGATTGTAAATAAATATAGAATGCAAATAAATCTAAATTACAAATAAATAATACGATGTAAGTTTAGCACCCATGAAATTTCTTCCCTCTCGCGATTTCAGGCTCGAGTAGCCTTTTATTTTTAGCGCTGAGCCCGATGCACGTATTACCGTGTATATTAGCCGAAACTTTTATCTGAAGGCCGACACATAAAAAGTAAACTCATTATCCTCGCCGAGTTGTTTTCTGCAGCCGAAAACCTCAACTCTATGATACACGGAATGTAAGATTCAATGTGCACCTTGAAGAAATATCATTGAATTAATGAAACATTCTCTGTTTTCAACAACATGTAACTGTTTAATATGCGTTGGAAGTTTTATCGTAAACAACTTGTATACGATATAGGTTAACTTTTGCACCTGATTTTAAATTTCTTTAATCGATTTCGTTTAATTTAATCGATTTTTCGATTAATTTCTTTAATCGTTATGAACGGATTCAAGAAGCGACTAGGCAAAGTTATGCAGACATATATTTTCAGACCTCAAGTTCCCATCACCCTATGGGCTTGGTAGACGACCAGTCGGTATTTATCTCAACGTTAGTTTGAAAAGATGTGGCCAAAATGCAGATTTTCAGAGCTCTTGTGAATAAATCATGAAAATTATATGAATCGGTGATAGTCCAGACTTGACCTATTTTTCAATGAGGACAATATTATACTGTACTGGATGCGCGAAAAACATCAAGAAATTTCATTCGCGTAAATTAGTAAATGTAAATTTCATAGATAACGACATGTCACGCCGTTCGTATTAATTCCGATGTAACGGTTAATGTTCATCTGTATTGTCCGTATGCCACAAAAAGCGATCTGCTTTTATACTTAAGTCAAACTCCTTGCAATTTCTTAACATGTTGAGAGCTGCACGATCCACCAGCGCTGCCAGATGGCATAAAAACGGCCAAATCCGCGGATAAAAAGGCCCATAAATCAAAATATATGTACTGGTAAATTTGTAGGTTCCCGTGCAAAAATTAAATTTTCATTTTTTCTGTACATTTTAAATTTAATGAGAAAGTACTGTTATCATGAATTTTGGTCGACAAACGCAATTGAAACAAACTAAATCGCGGAATTTGTCCGGAAAAAAAGACCCTGCAACCCACCGGTGGGTCGTGCCGCACTCAACATTCAGAGGAAACTTGGTAATTGTTTTATAAGTAGAAACTACACGAGTCTCCATTTTTTTATTGAATGAAGATAAATGTGTATAATTTGGTAACTATACAGTACTTAAAGGTATGAAACGATAAACACATAGGAGAGTTATTTCAATTCCATTATGTAAAAATAAACAGTAAATTTTACGACACACTAGTAACATAGCATCGAAATTCTAATCGTGGGTTCACGTATTTGGCCGAAAAAATAATCGTTATAAGCGAAATGTCGTTGGCGTAGTTCCAGTACATTTGATCCGCGTAAAGTTAGTTAGGCAAGGTTTTGTAGTTGAAATATTTTAAAAGATGAAAATAAAGATGGGGCACATAAAAAAACAAGCGTTTGGAGTTCAACTGGAAAAACAGTGAAAATCGAAACTTAATTAACGTTAATTAAATTGAATTAACCTCCGAAGATATGGATTGCTTGATAAGCATTTGCATTTATAAATAAAATTTGACTGCTCACTGAAGAATATGATGATATATAGTAGCAAATTTTACTCTACACAGTTTTTTAATTAAAGTTAATGGTAAATGTTGTACTTTATAAGGTCATAGACCTTACACAAATATATTGAACGTAAAATGGGAATATACGAGCTACTTCATTGTAAATTCAGTTTAAAAACTCACCGACTTGAAACATATCGGTCGATTAGTTAGTTAATCTTCCGAACGTGGAAGTTTGTAAATATTGCTTTCTAGAACCATATGACCAAATGATGAGTTAAGGTTTTCGTGGTCCACGGTCACGCTGATGCGCCGCCTTCGTCGTCCTCAGTCTCCATCTCCAAGTCAAATTCCCCCCCTGCCCTCGGGTCCCGGATAAAGCGCTGAACGTGTTCCGTCTATTTGCCCTCCATTGGGCCAGTTGATGCTAGATGCTTGATGCAAGATGGCCAGTTGATGCAAGATGCTCCAAATGCTGTCGGCCTGCTTGCGGTTGGAGCGCGGCCCGGATACGGGCCCAAATCGACAGCAAATCTCTCCCCGTCCCCCGAAAGGGGGACCCGAAGCCCATGTTTTTTGGTGCTGCCGGCCTGCGGCTCCCCACGTGTGGTCGGCGTCTCTGTTGCTACTAGCGGGGGATGTCGAGGAGAACCCGGGTCCGAGGAGAGCCCGGGTCAGGGAGAACCCGGGTCCGACTTGGATGTGTGACATATGCAATAGGCAAATCACAGAAAACCAATACTCAGTTGTTTGTAATAGTCTTGCCCCACATTGGGTCCATAAAAAATGCACAAACATAACACTCCGTCAATACACAAATTCCTGGACCTGTTCCCAACACACTCCACCATTCCCTCCCAGGCCTGATACAGAACCACCACCAGCATTGCAACTTGTTCCGAACCCAGCCACTGCACCCCAACCTCCGTTGCCCCCGCCAGTCACAACACCTAACAATCCCACACAACCCCTATCTCCACCAATCAGACTCCGAAAAACACCCTCTGATATCAAGATAATGCAAATTAACACAAATGGACTCACAAACAAAATAGAAGACCTCAAACTAACCACAAAACAACATGACATCGACATCATCACAATCCAAGAATCCAAACTTAAACCAACAACTCGCACACCCACTATACCTGACTATACTGCTATTCGTCTTGACAGGGCTCACAAGACAGGAGGTGGACTCATCATCTACATTCATAATAACATAGTTTTCACAACTATCACTATTCCACAACACATCAACCAAGAAGCCACTGAAACCCAACTAGTCAAAATACATCTCTCTAACAACAAATTCGTCCACATAGCTAACATATACATCCCTCCCAGGGACACACGCCTACCACATCACAACCTAGACCAACACATCACTGACTGTTTCACATTCCTCCTCAACAAGCCCCACACCATTATTACCGGAGACATAAATGCCCACCACCCATCCTGGTACTCTCCTAACTCAGACCACAGAGGCATCCTCATCAACTCACTTATACAAAATTCCAACCACATCATTCTCAATGAAAACTCGCCAACACGCATATCCACTACAAGAGAACAGCAACCCACGTCACCAGACATATCTACAGCCTCAAACGTCATCTCAAGCAAAATAACATGGTCAACTATCACAGCTCTCAGTTCCGATCATGTTCCTATCATATTGCACTTTCGCACCAAAATCAACTACCGCATAAAAACCTATAACAGATCTTTCACAAATTACCACAAAGCAGACTGGACAGCTTACTCGCAGGAAATAGACCAAGAGCTCCGTGACACTCGAGCACCCACCAACGTTCACATTGCCAAAAAGATACTTACTGGACTCATTCTACAAGCAGACAAACACCATATACCCAAAGGAAAAATAAAAACAAAACAGACACCTCTACCCCAAGCCATCAGAGACAAAATACAAGAACGCAACCACATCAGGACACAAAACAGACATGACCCAGCAATCCAACAACTCAACAGAGACATAGACCTTGAAATAAACACGCATAAATTACACTCATTCCAACAGTTCGCAACCCTAAAATACTTGGACTTACCTTTGACCCAAAGCTCACCTTCAGCACTCACATTAGCAACACTCACGATAAAGCCAATAATACCATCAAAATAATCAAATCACTTACAGCCACACAATGGGGAAAACAAAAAGAACTACTCACAACCACATCTCAAACAATCACGCGTCCAATCCTTGAATACGCAAACTCATCCTGGTCACCAATCATATCACCCACGCAAATGAACAAACTCCAAACAGTCCAGAACGCAGCATTCAGGATGGCTACAGGCTGTACCGCAGACACCAACATCCACCACCTTCACCAAGAAACCAAACTCCTACCCCTAACACAACACCTCAAACTTCACGCCTCACAACTCAGACAGAAAGCACAATACCCAACCCACCCACTACATACCCTCACCCTTCAGCCGCACCCACACCGTCTCATGAAACAAACCATTTTCCACAACACAGGTTTCACCACCAACATAGATACTCCGCCTGCGCAAGCTACACAGGACACAATCAAACAAAATCTCAAAACAATCCACACCACAATTAAAGAAAACTATCTTGCAACCCTCCCTCACAATAAAATTTTAAACATGCCCGCACCACAGATTCACCCATCTGAAATCAACCTACCTAGACCTGCACGCAGGAACCTTGCCCAACTTCGCACAAATAAATCACCGCTACTTCTCTCATATCTAAATAAAATAGACCCTGCCACACATCCTTCTCCACTTTGCCCACTCTGTCTGTCCAACACGCACGACACCATTCATCTTTTCTCCTGCCCTGAAATGCCCACATTCCTGTCGGTGGGTGACCTTTGGTCGGACCCCGTAAACGCTGTAGGGCTGCTGGCCCGCTGGGGCGACCGACTTGGCTGGCCCCAGAACTGGGTCTAGGCCCCGCCTCGCGCCATGAAGCGAGGCGGGGAGGGTCAACAACAACAACAACATGCAAGATGCTGTTGCTTGTCACTTGCTGAGGGTAGTTTCCCAAAACTGGGCAATCCGGGACCTTTCTCTTCCACTTGTCCAATCGTCTCTTGAATGTCGCAAGGATAAACTCCCCTACTCTCAGCACCTTTGGCAAGGCATCAAACAGTCTCGGTTCTGCCACGGATAGTGATCTCTCCCGAAGAGTCTGTACTCTGGCAGCGGCGCGGTTATTAAATTTTATAGATTTTCCACAGTCTCCCCCTCCTTTATATGTCACTATTTTGGAGGTCTCACTTTCAAAGTTGGGAGCCAGTCCAGTTATCATCTTCCAAGTGTACAATATGATGTACCTCACCTCTCCAGTGAGTACAGTCCCAGGTGTTTCAGCCTATTCCAGTAATTCAGCTCCAGTTCCCTCTTACCACTGATCCTGGAGGTGAAGGTCCGCTGGACTGACTTCGGTTTCCACACCGCGCCCGCCTTGAGAGGCGCCCAAAGCTGGCAGCAGTACTCAAGATTGGGGAGCATGAGGGCTCTGAAGAGTGTAATCATTGGTGCTGCTTCTCTCGTTCGAAATGTCCGCCAGATCCATTCCATCCGTTATCTGCTTCGCGAGACTATTTCATCGATGCGATCATCGAATGTGGCTTCTGTACACATCAACACTCTGAGATCTCGAACAAGTTGCTTCTCCACAATTTCTGTGCCATCCGATGTCAAGTAGCGATGTGGCATCCCTGTCTCAGCGTCGACTCTGTATTTCATCACTTCGAACTTAGTGCCGTTGAATTGCATATTATCCACTAGGGCCCAATGGTAGATTGTCGACAAGTCATCCTGCAACCTCTCGCAGTTTTGGTTCTCGGTGATCCTCATCAGCACTCTTGCATCGTCCGCAAATTACGATGTAGATTCGTGCGTAAGCTCCACGTCAATATCGGCGATGTGGATGAGGAAGAGGATCGGTCCTATCACCCAGCCCAGTGGTACTACAAGTTTCACTCTCGCTTCTCTCGATTTCGAGTTTCCAATTGCGACAGCTTATACTCTGATGGTAAAGAAATTCCTCCTCCTACCCCCAACAGCTTCAGCTTTCTGAAGAGCACCCAATGGTTAACTTTGTCAAGAGCTTTAGCGAAGTCCAGGTACCTATATACTACGTCCACGCCAGCTCCCTCCTCCAGCAGGACCACAAGGCGGTGATGGTGCTCCAATAACTGTGAAAAACAGGAATGATTTGGCGGGAAACCATGCTCGCCATTATTATACAGATCAGCCTCTTTCATATACTGGATACGCCTCCTGATCACTACTTCCTCAAAAACCTTGATCAACTGTGAGGTCAAGATCACCGGCCTATAATTTCGAGGTCTGTGCCTCGTGACCCTTTTTGTATATTGGAGTTAACAGTCCCACTTTGAGGCCCTCAGGAATAATTCCCTTCATTATCGAGGCTTTCCAGACCATTGTGAGCGGAGCTTCCAGTGCTCCAACACATCTCTTCAACAGCACCGCCAGAATTCCATCCGGTCCTGGTGCTGAAAACGATGTTCACCAACCCCCTTCTACCTGGCAGCTCCTGGAGAAATTCGATTTCGTTCTCCTGTCTTGAGTAGCGGGGGTTACTGAACAATGATTCAGACTGCTATCCTAGTAACTCACACATGCCCATATCTCCAATAAGGACATCGTTATCTTTCAGCGGGCCCACTGGCATTGAACTGGGCGTATTCGAAAAAAATGCATGGGGTTCTCTCTGGTGACCTCAACTACTCGTTCCTCGGCAGCTTGTTCTTCCGTCCTGTGCGAGTCCTGCAATTTACGTTCAGTTTCATTGTGGAGCTCTACTAGTTTCCGTCTCATCAGGTCACTAGTGTATTCATTTATTTGTTTTGTTGAATCGCTTGCGTTTCCTCATGAGGATTCGACGGTCTCCCGGAATTCGGCGGACTTTGGGGCCCGTTTTTTTCGGGATATGACGTACACACACCTGTGCTAGTTTCTCACATAGTTTTGTGTAAATTTCCTCTGCATTCATCCCGTGAAACTCTTCTCTCCAATCAGTTTCGTCAGGTTCATTCCAAATTGTCTCACAATCCGTTCTTCGATGCTGGAAATAAAGTCCTGCCAGTCCTTTCTGGGGAATAACCCTGGGCAGTTCGAATTCAGTTCGAATTGTCGTATCCACCATAACCAGGCAGTGGTCGGACACTGAAGTTTCTTCAACCCGAACGTCAACCACTATTCATCATTAGTAAAAACGAGATCGAGGATATTGTGTTCACTTGTGGGCAGCAGAACTTGCTGACTGAGCAAGTGTTTAGCAGCAAACTTCACTAGTTAGACTTCATGACTTCTGTCGCGGTCATCAACCTCTAAGCAGCCAGGGCTTGTCCAACGGATACGTGGGAGATTAAAGTCCCTCCCCCCCTCCTTAACGAGCTGGGGGCTGGGTCACACAGTTATGCCACCCTGGTCACTATTTTCTTAAGGGTTTTGATAAATTTTCTGCTGAACAAGCAGGCGTTCTATAGACAATGGCTACGCAGCTGTCAAGTTCTAATGTGGAGTAGCACGTATTCAACAAAGCCATCAGAGTTACCAAATTCTGATCTCAATTCCACCATGCTTCTTGCGAGGGAGGTTACTAAGGAAAACAATTACTCCTCCTTTCTTCCTCCCTTCTTTCCGGTACGCGCGTTAGTGTTGCAATCCTTCCATTGCAATTTCTGCATCAAGGATATATTTTCTTAGATGCGACTACGTTGGTGCAATTATAAAGATCCCACCTTCGTCGACCATCTCTCTCAGCACGCCAGTCTTATTACGCGCTCTTTGTGGGAAGAGCTCCTCGATGTTGGCCAGCAGAATGCCTGACTCCCCCTTCTTGTTGCGCTTACCTGCAGCGTCACCGCTCTGTCAGGTCACAGGTGTCCCTTGGTCAGTAGCTCCTTCATCTCGAGTTGCATTAGTTCCAGTTGCTGCATCTGTTGTTGTATATGCTTCCTCATCTCTAAAAAAGTACTGAAGGTAACTTCTTTTCCCCCAGCGCGCGTCCCTGTCCCATACGCATGGGCCACTCACTTGAGTAGCTAGGTCGTCACTACTCCAAAAACTACCTTCTTCATCGCTCCTTCTAACAGTGTTTTCCGCCACCCTATCGCTGCTTTGTCTTCCCTGTGATGGTAGGGCCAGTGAGTGTGTGGGCGGGTCATGGCGTCCAGCAGGAGCCCTTCTTTGTGGAGGTAAATCCTTGCTGCCTCCTATTCTGTTAGCTTCCTCCATTCGTTTCCGGGGTTTTGTGAAGAAACGAACAATTGACATTTGTGCAATCCTCTTTGTTCATAATAATCCAGCATTGCTTAGGGTGATAGAACGTGCAATCCCTTCCTTTTTTGCACCCTCGTGGATGCACGCTTTCGTAGGTAAAGAATTTATAGCACAGTTTGGGATGTGAAAATCTGAAACCATCGCCCCTTTTCCCGCGTTCACATTTCATTTGCAGATACTTCCAGTAAACACGTATCTTTGCTGGTGACTTCCTTGAGGGTACTTCTGCAACTTGGGTGGTTGGTAGGGATGGTAGGGTTGGAAGAGTTGGAAGGGATGATGACATACCATCTTCTGGGTCACTCTTCTCGGGGGTTAGTGCGGTGGCCGCAGCATAGGTGGTTTGAGCGTTTGAGCCTAGATCAGACGGGGAAAGGCGGCAGAATGTGATGTTGGGGCACTGAAAGAACTAATGGCAAGAGCAAGGCTGTCGGTAGAGGTAGGGTTAAAAGTGAGGGAAGGGGTGGGGGAGCGGGTATGGGATGAGGTAAGGGTACACTTAGCTGCGAGGGAAGAGGAGATGGCACTGGGGGAGGAGTGGCCAGCACCACCGGGCACGCAACCCACCAGTTTAGGGGTTTCTTTCATGGCTGCGATAAGCTTAGTTTAGCTTTATTTGAATCTTTTACAAATTCTCATTTCGCAGTTCTTATATTCATGTGAGATTTTGGTCTGATCGATCCGAACAAGGCAATAAATAGGAAATTCTGTACATTTTAGATGAATGAATAACCGGCATTGGCTGCACTGTAGTAGAACTGCTGCATTTCAAAGCTCCTTGCAAATTATGCACGAACTACCCGCAGGGGGTTTCATCACAACACATTTTGCCATCTTACCTTGTTTTTCTTATTATACTAATACACTGGATAACTTACACTATTACACAGGATATCACTGGATTACACTGAGCTTAGACACCGACCACAAAACCTTGAACTCGGAACGCTAAGCTCACACACTGAGCTGCAGGTTCGACAGGAAGTCATAAATATATTCAAATTCGAGCACACTTGCAGCTTCCCTCACTTACTACTGCTCAACTCTCTTATTTGTTTCGCTGATTTAATGAAAACACTGCACTGCTTTACGCATTGAATGCTGACATTTCATTCTACAGAGCTGTTTTTTGCCGAGTCCTTTTTATATATAAAAGAGTAATTTTCTGAACACTTTAAAACTGAACAATTTGTACTCTTTTTGTATTGACTTCCCTTATTTTCCGCCGAAACACTGAATTCCGTCACTTGGGCCCAAGCTGTACAGTTAACTTCTGGCTAACTAGAAAAATAATCGTCAACGATTTACTTCTGTGAGAGCCAACCGCAGCACGTCCTATCCCGGCCAACGCGTCTACAAGGGAAGTCCCAAGTTTATTTATATTCACAGTTAAATTTTTCCATAATCTTCTTTGATTAGATCTGCCCCTCTTTCCCCTATCATGACTACCGGGGCGTTCGTGTTGCCTGTAAGAAAAGAAATGCATTACTGATCCATACTTGGGTGAGTAGTGAAATTAACTCGAATGTGACAATAATATCGCTTTCCGATCACAATTAAAACATCAGTGACCTATTCTTATGACAGCTTAGAGGAGCTATGTATTTGTGAAGGGCCAGATCTACACCACTCTTGTTAAACTAAAGCTCACATTGCTTTCCGTCGTTATCTAGCTTAGAACAAGTTATCTTTAAAGTCAGATCACAAACGTTACTCGCTTCAATAACGGCGAGTGGCCTCAGTTGACCGGTAAAAAGCTGGCATTTGACAACCATTTACCATCAAAGTTATCTTACACATATGAACAATGGAAATGAACCTTGAATTTCAAACAATAATAATGAACATCGCTCTTCTTAGATATACGCGGTAACCCTTTTTCGCAATATGAGCCCTTATTCACAAATGGTATTGATATATACCTCCTTAAATTTTTCACTTCGTAACGCATTTTCAATGAGAAATATCCACTTAAAGCTAGCTGACACAGCATTGTGAGCCCCGTCATTTCGTTGAAATGGAAAGTTAGAAGGCGCCGACGTCGATGAGTTGCAAACGGCGGCAAAATTAATGTTCTAAATTTTCCAGCGCAAGGATTAATGTTGACCGTAGATTACGAGTTAACGTGCGAAGATTGGTAATAAATAATTTGAATTGTCATGGATAAATTCTTCCGGTTGCTTCATTAAGACTAGAGATCTAGGTCCCATTAAAGGAATTTGTCGCAAAGATGGAATATAATAATGGTTTTCAACCTCAATTATGCTTTAAAATCTATTTTATATCCATATATCAGATCCAAACAAAAATACATTTGATGCAACTAACTTTTTAAACAATTACGCTGCCGAAATGTCATATGTATAATTATATCTCTATAATTTGATTGGATTGATGCGTAATAATATACGCTTAAAAATTACTTTTTAAAGACAATACTTCTAAAGAATCAAGTGTTTCCAATGTTAAAGATGTATAATGAATTTCTCATTTTATTTTCGAATATTAAAAAAATTAATTTTTAATTTATTTTATATATACAAATTATTTTCTCAAAATTATTTATTCTGTCAATTGATTCAGGCATTGTCTCCGACTTCACACAAGTATGCAAAATTTTCTGATCAATTGGTCAGGTAAAAGTGTGTCAAATATCAGTTATAAGATTTGTAGCTGACAAAATTATTTTTTCAATTTTTTTACTAATGAAAATTTGTTTTTTTATTTCTAAAATAATTTATTTTGTCATTGTATTCATGCATTGTCTCCAACTTTACACAAGTGTGCAAAATTTCAGATCGATAAGATAAGTTGAAATGTGATAAATTTCGATTATAAGATTTGTAGCAGACGGACAAATAGACAAACAGACAAACAAGAAGTGAAGTTAAAGAGAAGTGTTGTAGAAATGCGGTTTTAAAATTATATGGCATTTGAGTTATGATTAAATAGAAAGATATAATTACTCTATTCGTAATGAACTAACATAATTTATTTCTCTCACCGGAAACTATTTGGGGCATGATTGACGCGTCCACGACGCGTAAATTCCTGACACCTCGCACGCTGGAATAAATAAAATGCAAATTTTGAAGCAGAATTTTCTTACTTATTAAAGAGGACGATTCACATACAATGCCCATCTACATGAGCCTAAAAATTCTAGAGTTATTTTAATTTAGTTAATTCATGTTAAAATGAAATTTTTAACTAATTTTCATCAACCAGCTCCAAAAAGTTATCGAAACAATGACGATACGCACATGAAAGATCCGTCAAAAATTTCTACCCGCTTTCAGCAACATAGCACTATTTTAGACTAATATTATTTTATTAGCTCTAAGTAAGACAGTGTAAAGTCTCACATGAGCCGCGGCGTCACCACCCCCATGGGGTCGGAGTCTGGAGCCATCTTGCAGGTGCCGCTGATGTGCGACATCGCACCCGCCATGCCGCGCACGAAACATCTCCAGTAGTCGTCGGACTGGAACTCAAGATGCGCGCAGCCAGGAATTGGCTGCTCGCAAGCAACCAAATTCATTTGACGCATATTGCAAATGTGACCTTACATTTGAGACACATTGGTGTTCCATCTAAGGCTGGGGGTCACACCATACTGCCGGGCATGTACCAGGCACATGACATTCACAGTTGAGTCCAAAATTCTCTCTACTGCATTTCTATAGCAGCATTCACACCATGGTCATGGCAGGTGCTTTGTACGGCTGGTGTGAATGCTTCTACAGGGTCATCAATATTTAGCGTTACATTGTTTTTTCAAAATCAATTCACTCGCAAAACAGTCAAATGTGTCGTATGGAACCATGTCGACTTTTCTCCGGAAGGACCTAAAGTTGTCCCCATTCAAGCATGTCAAAAAACACCAACTGTCTGCTCAGGTTGTTGACAAACGCCTCCAAAGATCCAAGATTCTTCTTTCCGGCATTCATGATGGCACGCTGCCAAACCTCGTTTTCAGTGATGAGAAGATATTCAATGTTGAACACCACTTCAACTCCCAAAATGATTGAATTTGGTCGAAGAATGGGACGAAGGATCCCGTGTGGTGACTAGGGAGCAATGCCCGACCTCAGTGATGGTCTGGGCAGCCGCAACAGAGTCCTCTCTTTTTGTTGACAAAGGGGTGAAATTGAATCAGAAGAACTATCGAGATGCCATCCTTGTTGGTGCATTGTTGCCCTGGGCACGAAAGCACTTCAAAAAACGCCCCTGGTCGTTCCAGCAGGACTCTGCCCCATCCCATGGGGCCAAATCGACTCAGGAGTGGCTGTCCGAGAATGTTCCCCACTTCATTACCAAAGATGAATGGCCCCCATCGTTACCCGATCTGAATCCTCTGGATTTTGGGATCTGGTCATACCTTGAGAGCAAGGTCTCGACCGTTCACCTTAGCAGTTTGGACGCCCTAGAGGTCAAACTGCTGAAGGAGTGGGCCAAAATCCCGCAGTGTCATTCGTGACTCGTGTAAGGCTTTCTCTAAGCGTCTACAACTCGTTATTGATGCAGATGATGGACATATTGAATGAAAAACTGTGAGAATTCTATCTCTGAACCTCTGCCTACTTAAATACATTTTCAAACATTCACAATTGTGTTTCATTTCATAGTTCTAAACACTCAAAGTTGTAACGCTAAATATTGAACACACTGTATAGGAATGCCTCAAACTATATTGGATTGGACCTTCACTGGCAAATCATGGCATGTGCCCGGTAGTAAGGTGTGAACCCGGCATAAGGGTCTGAGTTGGGAATACACCCAGGAAAGTAATCAAATAGATATTTTTTGTTAAAGATCACTAAATGGGCTGACAGCAAACTAGATTTTGAGAGAGACAGATTTCTTAAGTTGAACAGAATTAATTTTTATATAACGCAAGGGGCTTGCCCAAATGTCAACCATCGCTGAACTGCAAAAAGCGCGATTATGATTAAACTTAATTTTTTCTTTTACTTCCCTCGGAAAAAATTACTCATATTCAATCTGTATAATATCCGATACTAAACCAGCCACGAATATTTTTATGCATTATAGATGAATTAAATATAAATCGGTTGGCTTGGAGTATTTCAGGTTGGACTGATAATTATAATAGACGTTCAATGTGCAATTGAACCAGAGCATACTATTTCAGAAACGAAGGCGTTCAGAAGAAAATAAACTTAGAACTTAAATAAGAGTTTAGGTAATTAGATTAGCTTATGAAAAAATCGTGCACAAGTAAAACATAGAATATATATCATAAAATCACAATTTTAGTCAATAAGTTAAGAAAGAAATTACTTGTCATACAGGGTCCACCATATTTATGGCAACGGATGTTTGCTATATAAAAATAAATTGGTTTCTAGGAGACTTTTATTTTATAATGAAGCTTAATATCATCTATAAATTCATCTACTTTATATTGCAGAAGTCTAAGGTGTCTAAATTTACTATTACTTATGGCAGTAGAAATGCAATTGTAACCCTTTATTAAAAGGGCGAGAGTAATTCAGTTATTGCAAAGAAGCTCGAAATTCGTCGTGAAACTGTGTGGAAGGTGGTAAAAAATTTCAAGGAAACTGGTGAAACATGCAATCGACCTGGCCAAAGAAAGAAACGAAGTGTCCGAACAAAACAATTGGTCTAAAACACGAGGGAGAAGTTGAGGAGAAACCCTCGTCGCTCAGCTGCAAAATTGGCTGCAGAAGCAGGAGTCAGTCAGACATCAATGCGTAGAGTCTTCGAAGATGACCTCAAAACCTACCTTTACAAGATGCAAACAAGTCATGAACTAACAGACAGTCATGAACGAATGAGGCTCGAAAGATGCCAGCACATTCTGGATCTAATTGAAAATGGCATGTTCCCCAAAGTGGTGTTCAGTGACGAGAAAAAATTTGAGAATGAACAAAGCGTTAACCGTCAAAATGACAGAGTTTATAGTCGGGATGGATCTGTGGCAACCAGAACAACAACATGACGTCAAAATCCCATGCCCGTGATGGTAACCGCCTCTGGGAGGTCCCCACTAGTTTTTGTCCCCTCAGGAGTGAAATTGAACAGTCAGCGATACATTTCGGACATTTTGGAAGCTGTGTTGTTACCTTGGGCCCGTAAACACTTCAACGGCTCACCATGGAGTTTTCAACACGACTCTGCCCCATCACATGGCTCAAACATGACCCAAAACTGGATTCAAGGTCGCATCCCAGCATTCATTAGCAAAAATGAATGGCCCTCAAGAAGCCCTGATTTGAATCCTGTCGACTTTTCTGTGTGGGCAATTTTAGAGAGTAGGGTCTGCAGAACACCTCATGATTCTTTGGTTAGTTTGAAGTCTAAATTGATACGAGAATGGGACTTGATCCCTCCAGAAATGCTGCGTGTCTCCTGTGAAGCTTTCCCGCGTAGATTGGAGGCCGTCATTAAAAATAAGGTTGGTCACATTGAATAAATATGTCTGAGAATTGTTTAGGTAATTCTTGGCTACTAGCTCATCCAATAAAAAAAAAACAATGCCATTTTTTGTTTCATTGAGGAATAACAAAAAACATGCGTTGCCATATATATGGCGGACCCTGTATATGGTTAATAAATTTTTCAGTAATCTTAAGCAACTGTAAGGAAAAATATAAGATAAAATTTCCTGCTAACAATTTGAACGCCAATTATTGTTCTGCTCACTTTTTTGAAAGGTTCTGCTCCGAGCGCCCTACGGAAGATCTTGGCATTCCCTAACTTCAGTGAAGCCTTGGCAGCTGCGAATGAGTAGAAATTCTATCACACAAAATAAAAAAAAGGAGATTCTTTCACGCAAAATACATCAACAAACTAAGAACATAACACTATCAGTAAGTAGTCAATCCCGATGTCAAGCAATATATAATATTTTGCAATTCATTTTTAGTGTATATTTTATCAGAAGAAAATTTTTGGCTAAAACACAGTCTCAATATTGTAAAATTGGCAGAAGATTAAAGAAACGACGCTTTTATATTTAACAAATTTCGGTGAACTTGAAGCCACAGTGTACTCGAATATGAGACTGTTAGTAAAATTCAATTAATACCAGACCGTATTCTTCCCGTGTACCTTTGACCATCAGCTCGACGTCGTCGGGGTGACTGAGGCAGTTGGGGTCCAGGACGGGCGGATCGAAGGGATTCCTAGACTTGAGAGTCACCGTCCCGACGCTCTTCGGTCTGGACAGCATCGGAAGCATGAAGAATCCATCTCTGCCCAGCGTCGGTCGATAATATTCTCGGACCTGGACAGTATAAAAAGTAATACTTACTAAAACATTAGCACGAAACATTAAATTTAAGGAAAATGAGATGAAAGGAAGTGGTATATAGGTAATAAGATACGCAAATCATACATGTAGGCCGAGAGTATATAGGCATGTTGGATAGTAATGCGTTACAGCAAGTAATGTGGAAAATTGAACATACATATAGTGACTCTAGAGATGGTTATACATTCACAACCTGAAATACTTTGATTCTACTATTTTGATTGGCCGGGTTAAAAATATAGCCGCGACTTCCTTGATTTACGAGCGGGAAGGCGAGGAGCCTCGTCTCTCAAATTTTGCAGTTCTTAAACAGCGCAGTGCCAGAAAGAAAACGTTTAAATTTATTGATAATAAAAAGAATACGTTCCCAACTTGACGTAATTCCAGTGATGACAACAAACGACGACCCAGACAGCATAAATTGGGGTGTTCCATGGCCAGGTATTCTATTTATTCTATTGACAAGCTGAACTTGCAGACAAGGTTGTATGACCGTGACCAAACTCATTGTGGTTGTTAAGAGGTAAAAATTTGACAGAACCCGGTCAAATTCGTCTAAATCCATTCCGGTAGACGGCCACAGTACGGCCGCTGCCTTTTGATGGTATACAGTAGTACATACCCTAGCGAAACTTTTATTTCTGTCAGCCGCTGGCACAAGGACGCCCCAAACTCGCCTAGCGGGTACATTAGCGGCTCTATGTCCGCTTTGGGTTCCGATAGCCGGAGCGAAATAGGCGCCAAAACAGAATCTTGTAAAATACCTGTCGAGCTTGAGTCGATGCCTTCCAGAGACGCACGGCCGAACCTAACAAGCGACTAAAAAACGCCCCTTCCTGCCCCCTCTGTGGAGGGCAGAGAGGGGGCTCTCAAATATTCGCGTTACTTGTTTTCGTTTCTGTTCAGCGAAGGTAATAGGAAAAACAAGATAAAACGCAATCAGTGGCACGATAATGTAATTTGAAAACAATATAAAGCTTTTGGAACCTGAAAATCTTTCCATTCGAAACTAATTTTACATGATTCAAGTTGGTCTTTAGCTACAATACAAAGGGAAAACTCACTTCTAAAGTAAGCAACTTTGTCCTCAATAACAAGTGCTCACTACTTTTTAGCATTCACCGGTGTGATGTGCGTTCTCACATTAACCAGAATCGAACTTTGTCCCATGTTACCAGCACCATGCATTTTACCACGTTTCCTGCATCATGCATTCTTCCATGTCTCAAGCACCATGCATTCTACCATGTCAAAAACACCATGCATTCTACCATGCCAAAAAATGCATTCTTCCATGTCATCATCACCATGTATTCTTCCACGTCATCATCGCCATGCATTCTTCCACGACACCAGGACCATGCAATCTGCCACGTCACCATCACCATGTATTCTATCACGTCATCAACACCATGCATTCTACCACGCCAAAAGCATCATGCATTCTGCCCCGTCACCAGTACCATGCATTCTCCCACGGCACCAACACCATGCATTCTACCACATCAAAAGTACAATGCATTCTTCCACGTCACCAACACATTCATTCTACATCGTCACCTTCACCAAGCATTCTACCACGCCAGAAGCACCATGCATTCTTCCACGCCAAAAGCATCATGCATTCTTCCACGTCACCAGCATCATGCATTCTACAACGCCAAAAGCATCATGCATTCTTCCACGTCACCAGCATCATGCATTCTACCACGCCATAAGCACCATGCATTCTTCCACGTCGTCAACAGCATGCATTCTCCCACGCCATAAGCATCATGCATTCTTCCACGTCACCAACACCATGCATTCTACCACGTCACCATCACCATGCATTATACCACGTTAAAGCATCATGCATTCTGCCACGTCACCAACACCATGTATTCTACCACGTCACCATCACCGTGCATTCTGCCATGCCAGAAGCATCATGCATTCTTCCACTTCACCAACACATACATTCTTCCACGCCAAAAGTATCATGCATTCTTCCACGTCACCAACACCATGCATTCCACCACGTCACCATCACCATGCATTCAACCACGCCAAAACGCCATGTATTATTCCACGTCATCAATACCAAGCATTCTACCACGCCAGAAGCACCATGCATTCTTCCACGTCACCAGCACCATGCAATCTACCACGCCAAAAGCATCATGCATTATTCCACGTCACCAGCACCGCGCATTCTGCCTCGTCACTATCACCATGCATTCTATCACGGCATCAGCACCATGCATTCTACCACGCCAAAAGCATCATGCATTCTTTCACGTCACCAGCACCATGCATTCTCCCACGTCACCAACACCATTAGCACCATTACACCACGTCACAGTGTGATTCAAACTAATTTGTAACACTTGTTTTTCTTAAAATAAGACAGGTTGCAGTAAATAATTTTTTTGGCCATTTTATTGTGGTAAATTTTTTCATGGTTGAACTAATAGCGCAATAATTTCCCTAGCGCAGCTGCGCCTTGCGGGTGTCGTTTGTTATTCCAACTGTGACGTCACCTTGGCTCTTGTTACGTCACTTTGTGACGTCAAACTCATTTGTAACACCGGTTTTGCTTAAAATAAAACTAGTTGCATGCAGTAAATAAATTTTTGGGGGCCATTTTGATGAGGTCAATATTTTTTAACTGCTTTCAAAGATAACATAAAAACAATGTGTTGATCTACACTATTTACATTTTGTGCCTTGAGTGACGTCACTCTAGAGATGCGCCGAACGGCGAAGAATCGTCATCGCCGTGAGTCAACCTTACATTAGTTCAACTCTGTACCGACTCTCCGTGCGTTGTCTGAAATGAGCAATGCCACTGGCAGTCAAGCACTACCTACCTAGTAGAACATTTTAAGTCTTCTAGCAGCTAATTTATGCACCCAACACGCGAAAGCAACTATACGAAGAACCGTAAAGCACGGACTAAGTTTTATCACCATTGTCGTTTGCACCAATGAATACAATTTCTTCGAACTGTTTTGACTCGTGAGGGACTGAGGTCCTTGGAAAGAAAGCCAGCCATGACACTCGTAAGCGATGAGTCATGATTATTACTAAAATAAAACTTAAACTAAAACTAAATAATCATAATTCACTGGTGAAAATGAATTTTGTCCAACACCTTAATAGAAAATGGAACGATAACATATTCAGTTCTGTCAGATGCAAGTTTTCCTTTTTACCTCTGTTGAAATGCCAATTTTCCATTACAAATCTAAGCACTGCTCACAAATGGACATCAACCACGCTGTCACGAGGAACACCGGTTACTTGGGCATTTGGCCCAAGTAACCAATTTGGAAGTTGAAACTTGAGCATTTGGCCTCCGCTGTTGGTGCTTCAGCTACAGCAGAAAGCTGTAGTGCATTCGGGCGGAATTTGATGCTTTGTTACACGTTTTGAACAAAGAACGTGATTAATGTCGCAATAAGTCGTTACATTTATTCGCTCGTTATCGCTATCATATTATTTTAGAATTCAATGTCAGACTGCAAGATGAATTTTGTGAACCGCACCACAATATCATGTTGACCTGTAAATATTTCAATTTTGTAGACCTTGTTTGGACAACAGAAAGTACATTCTAATATACATACAATGCCTTTCACCAGGCCGTGTACAGTCATCATTATATCAAGTATTACCATTCCAATATCATAGTAAACTGAATATCAATATAAACATGTTAGCCCTGAATGTAAAACCGAACGTTCATCTGTTGCTGGTTCTACCAATTATATATCAGTCGTAATCATTATCACGTGATCATTATCAAGTTCGTCAATGATTTTTGTCACGTACGTAATGGAAATACTGGCTGACTACCACGTTAGCCAAACTCTAAAGTCAATTCTCATTCTGTTCTATCGTATGATTCAACAAGCGTACGCGTAAACATACATCGACGCCATACCATGAGCCGGAGATGGTCATGGTTCGCTCAAATAACAGCGTCTGCTTTTTTTCGGTCTGATTTCGTATATTTGGGCAATCTACTCCCACAATCGGCTCTTGAATAGCCGCCGAATGCAGTTAGGTGGCCGATAGGCGTCTGTGTCACCTCGAAGCCGACTACTGTTTGTACTCTGGGGCAGCCGCTAATGGAACGTAAAACTCGACTGGGTACGATCGAACTGTCTACCAGAAGCAAGAAGTGCTTAGAAGTTTCCATGTTCTTCTTTGCTTGCAAGTTGATAAGAAAATAGTTTACTAAAACTTACTGATTCTTGGTAGCCGTTCAAGGAGAAAAGACCATAGTCTTGTCCGTCAAGCGCACATATCAGGAACACTTGAATGTCCGGAACAGTTGGCTCATCTGGATTGTGGACATTCAGCAAATACGATGCGCAGATACCGAGAGGAACACTCAACGGACCTGGGCAAGATAGCTTGTAGAGTTAGTATCACGTATCCGAGCGTGAACATATACCGCACGGAGTTGTGCGTTCTACGAGCGTGCTTTTATAATTCAGAAAATATAATTCCGAACTACAGGGGCTTGATGCGTGAAAAATCCTCAGTTTATAAAGTTAAAGTATAAGTTAAATCCATATAAGTTATATAAGTTATAAGTATAAAGTTAAATCCATAATGAAATTGGACACAAAAAGTGTATCTTAATTGATATAGAAAATAAATTATTTAAAGCGCATCAAGTTTAACTTTTATTTATTATCTAGATGTTTACCTTCTGAAAATGTTTTTATACGCCTCACAGTATAGATGGCCCTATTGAAATAATGTTGGTAAAGTTTTTTTTTCAATTTTTTTCTCGATGTGAACGAGATTTTAACAGATTGTTCTCATACTAGAACCTCCGCGGCCAATGCAACTATTGCGCGGAATTTAAACATAAAACATTTCATCTTCAAACTATTTTTCATAGTAATATCTAATGATATGATAAAGTTGAGGCACATTGAGGATACTTGAGCGCTTGAGTAGTAGAAAGTTGGCTTACCGTCCCTACTGTTCTGATAGCGCAGCATCGCCGACGGGCTGATCCGTTCAAAAATTGAAGACGATATATTTGGGTGGATGGTCCAACTTATTCCTCGGAGACCTACATGGTCTTGGTAATTCTGCCCTACACCTGGCAAGTCCACGCGAGTATCAATCTGCAAATTAGATAAATAATGTATTAACTACAACTTCAGGTAATACGTAATTACGAGCGGATGATAATAATGATATGACTGATCGTTGAGTGAATACATAGATCTTTCAATCTTGGCTGAGTACTTGTGGATAATTTGTGCACTCACTATGAACTATTCAGATTCATTTAAAGCTATTCAAAGAATGAAAAAGTACGAAATTATTTTTCAATTTTTTTAATCAACTATTCCCGTAATGAAAGTACCTGATTGTGATTACGTATGAAGTATAATTTGCTGTTCAATTCATTGTCGCACAACTAAATGAATAATGAAGCTTTCATTACACGGTCAATTTATTCATCCATTCATGGAAGAAAGCCACTTTTAACTTATGATGAAATACTTTGTATCTGGAAATTTCTTCAATTGCGCTTACATCAATTCGATTATAATTAATGAGAAGTCAAATAAATCTGCGTTTGCAAACCTGAGATAAAAAAAGCAAACTTTTGACTCTCGTTGAGCAAATGGATAAATTATGAACTTGGGTTTTTCGTATCAATGCGAGTATTGCTTCACAGATTTTTTCAGTGTTTAATAAATTAAAATAAAAATTTAGATACAGGAAAAGAAATATTCGATGTCTGTGTTTTATAAAACGGATTAAACTGTTTATGGTCGCTTACCCCATGCTTGCGTAGTTGCTCCCGCGGTCCGATCCCCGACAGCATCAGCAGCTTGGGAGTGTCAGCGCCACCTGCTGATATTATCACCTCCCGCCTAGCGAACACTCGCTTCACCTGATCAGGAACAACAGTCATTTATTCATGAGACTTTTGATGGTTTTCTTGCAAGCTTGATTTCAGTTGAGTTAAACTCTATAGCGAACGCTCGCTTCACCTGATCAGGAACAACAGTAATTTATTCATGAGACTTTTGATGGTTTCCTTGCTTGCTTGACTCGCTTCACCTGATCAGGAACAACAGTAATTTATTCATGAGACTTTTGATGGTTTCCTTGCTTGCTTGATTTCAGTTGAGTTAAACCCTATAGCGAACGCTTGCTTCACCTGATCAGGGAGAACAGTCGTTTCTTCATGAGACTTTTAATGGTTTCTTGCTTGCTTGATTTGCGTTGAGTTAAATCCTATAGCGAACACTCGCTTCACCTGATCAGGAACAATAGTAATTTATTCATGAGACTTTTGATGGTTTCCTTGTTTGCTTGATTTCAGTTGAGTTAAACCCTATAGCGAACACTCGCTTCATCAGATCAGGAACAACTGTCATTTATTCATTAGACTTTTAATGGTTTTCTTGCTTGCTTGATTTCCGTACGATACCTAAGAACGATCAAAAATGTGGTGAATTATTTGAAAATTTCCTTGATGAAAGTCCATTGAATCCCTTTTCGAAAATCCAATTTCTTGTATGCCGATGACTGCAGATGCCCGTTGAGGGTAAAAAACATTTTCATTTGAGTATAATTGTTATGAGAGACAAATGGAACCCGTTTATACTAATATTGAGTACCTTAAATTTAAATTTTATTTCGCTTGTGGGCTACAGATATTCAAATCAGAAATCGTTTAATTGTATAAGTTCACAATAAGAAGCATTGACAATTAAGCAATCCTTTTCAATGTGAATAAGTGGAGTTATTGTTTCACAAAAAAATGTGTTTGTTGACTTCAATGGAAGATTTTCTCCGTGTTGTCAAACATATTCTTCTGATATCGTCAAGTTCCTCACCTGATAATTAAACTTGCCTTATTTTCATGAACGTATTTGACTCCTATTGCATCGTTGTTCTTATTCAGTAGGATCTGCAAAAAAATAAAAGAAAATGTTGGAATTCAACAGGTAATAATTTATAAGAGATAAATTATGTACAATGGATCTCCTGCATAAATTAATTATTCATTTTTACTAAACACGCTAACTCTACATGTGTGTTATCTCCATAAAATGAAATGCTGAAATTTTTTTTTCTCGCTCGGAATCGAACAGTGGAACTTCCTGACCCCAGGTGTCATGGCCGCTCCCCATGCTGCCCACGTTCAAAACATGAGCGAATGTATTCGCTCATACCTGAGCTGCTACTGCGGTAAAATCCGCTACATGCTTTGGCAAGTTTTAAATCCTTAAGGATGTTTTTATATCTTGTATATGCTGCATTGCAAAGCCAGTTAGGATGTTCTGGAAATTCGATATGGAGCTTTTTCCTCGAGCCGACGAGTCGCTTTATCACCACGACGATGAAGAAGTTATTAATTAAGTTATATTTAATTTACTTATTCAACTAATTTATTTTCTCGACGAATGAGAATGTAGGAGCTGCCACTGCGCATTCTGCAAATGAGAATGTAGGAGCTGTCACTCCGCTTTCACTTTCGAGTTTGATGGAATAAATTGCCAGTGAGTTCTCTAATTATTACTACAGTATCCGAGGTTAGTGATTTTCAAAACATTGCAGAAAAATCTCCGAAACCATAGGAAATTTGTGTGATTATTCGCCCGTAGAAACAGCCATAAAAAATTAGGGATATGATCGATTAACTTTTTTTTTCTTGGACATATTGATGAAAAAATATTAAAACCCACTAGTTCTCGCTTCGTTTAATCGACATTTCAACACTAAATTTTTAATTCTAATAATAGTTTAAAAAATGAAGATAGATATCACTAACCATCTTTTGGGTGAAACAAGATAACTCACAAGAAATAAAGGTAGAGGAGTTAGTTAGAAAGAGTAATTCCAGCGAGGTATAACAATGATGGAAACAATTTTATTGTTGAAAGTTTCTTCCCAAAATAAAATAATGATAATTAATCTGCATAAATTCGGGGGTATATACTATTTTCCCCCGTTTCCTATGTACAACGGTCACGTTTTTAACTGCGTAAAATATTTTAATGGATTCCAGCAGAATTTAACAAATTTTACCAGATTAGTTTCAAATGCAAAATTCCTAGATTCTATTAAAATTTTGTAAGAATTTTGATATCATGGGAGTAGCCTTTCACAGACATGTTCTCCCTAGGTATTTTCACTTTTTTATCAATTATTTTGATGCACAATTGTAGCTATACTTATCTATAATCTCATATGAGATTATAGATAAGTATATGCTGCGATCAGAATGCTCCATTGAGTTATCATCTATGTAATTCATTAGTTTGAATGTACAAGGCCATTCCATAGAACATTTTTCGTCATTTTTTATTATGTTACTTCATTGTTGAGTGTTTGTCTACTCCAATGTGAAAAAAGACAAGAGGATACATAATATCAATTAATTATATCAATGAACTCCCTCTACTGGTTTTAATGCGTTTGTTTAACCGGACTGTTTAAGTACAACTGTTCATACACTCGGCATGATTATGACGTAAAATTATTCAGCCTGACAAGAAATAAGCCTCGACTCCGCCAAAGCGGGCATACCGGCCCCATACCAGCTCTCATTCGGCGCCGACGCGGCTATCACCGTGCTTCAAAAAAATTTTTAATGTGAAGTCATAGTTTTATGCAACGAAGTGGAGATTGAAAAAGAAATTTAGTTTCGTACACTTGCGGATGCTATGAACCACTTTAAACATCCTGCTGACGGTTGTATTACTGTGTGGTGTACTCGTACTTCGGATACATTTAAAGAAACGAGTTTATTTTCATACCTTGATAACTTGAGAGTTGACTAGTAGCTTCAGGTTTTTGCGCTGCATGTTTGGCTTTAAAAATGCATCTGCCGAAGACACTCGCTCGCCATTACGCGTTGCTAGCTGTAAAATACTGCTACCTGTTGCGCAGAAACAAAACAGATATTCAGAGACATGAACGACCATACATTTATTTAAACTCTCACATTGGTTACTACAAAGTTTTCGCTCAATGTCTCTTTCAAATACTGAAATCTCACGCGTTGAAAAACTGAGTCCAGAAACAGTTCTTTAGCTCCGCATTGTAGACAGAATTGATGAAATCATAATACGTAGTGAGTTTTGTCCAGAAAAAAAGTTGAGTGGCCCAACAGAATTTTCGCTCTGGCAAGTGCTAATAAAGAAATATTCATGAATATAATGCTAAAAAAACTCTGACTCTTACCGATTTTTGTATCTGTGTTGTAGTCGATTTCCGGTAACCCCACCTCCATGCCAGCCTGTATAGCAAGTCTACCAACCGGCGGCATCCAGCCAAGTTTCTGCACACTCATAGGACCGCCGATCCCACGGAATGGTGCTGCGAAGGAATTAATATGTCAAGTGTAGAAATATCACTTAATTACATAATTATCAATGTGTTCAGCGATTAGATAGGCCACACTTACGGGGTTTGATCTTAATTATTTCTCCTGTGCGGGAAACTCGTCCAGAAATATATAAAATATGTTTTTCAAAAACAATTCATGGCGAAAAAGTTAAAAAGTTTTTTATTTATTGCACACCAATCCGAATGATTCTAATATGAAAAGACTATCATTGGAAAAGTTCAAGATCAAAAGATTTAGAAATTATTAATCAATCATAGAAACCTCTAATCCATCATGATCAAAGATTTAAATCACAATGAAATGAGATTTAAATCCCACATTATAGAATGAAACTCGTGTGGAATGCATTTAGCATAGTTTATTGTACATTCCTTAGACGAACCACCTTTCGAGTGGAAAACTTACATTTTCAATTTGCGCCAAAATCATTTTTCTATTAAATGCACAAGACTAATATTGCTCATTTGGAAACCGAAGCATCTAACTTTAAAATCTTCAAATATTTTTCAAGCGGTGCCGGAAAATAATGTTATTTGACAAAAAAAAATAATTGCTTAGCCATTAATATGCGCATTGCATGATAAGTCAAATTAATACTCATGGTATACAATCACGTAACCTGAAACTGCATTGGCTTTTAATCTGATGTATCATCAACCTTCAGTCGATTACTGCCTTACTAAAAATTTGTCACTCCTTGACGTTATTTGGGACTTGAAGCCTTTTTGTGCTTTAGTTATAGTTGCCCGGGGTCATTAGATTATTGAAATATCATCTCACCATCTCTAGGCTTCATGGGACTTCGGTAATCCTCAGTTTTCTTGAAATATTTCAAAACTGTTTCCCAGTCCCAGCCTGGGTTTCCTAACTGGGCCCAATTGTCGTAATCTTGGGGGTTGCCTCGGTTGTGTATCATCTGGTTGATGGCGCCTGATCCTCCGACCATTTTTCCCGTGGTGTACCTTGGATCCTGTATAAAGACGTTGCACTCATTATAGGTCGACTATAAAGAATAAGAGCTTAGAATTCTCTGCCTTTAATTCGTCAGTGACATTTAATCGTTTTATGGACCTTTTATAGTCCAGTTAAAAAATATATATATATATAATATATGACCTATATATGGATAATTTTCTAAACCATTCAATCATAATACTAAACCTACAGAACTTACTAAAATTTTTTGATGAAACACCAATACAAAAATAAATTCCGGTAATTATATAGATTCAGATCAGGCATTAGTGATAGTTTCGTCACGAAGAGACCATGAACATTCATGATATCCATGCTATGAGTCGATTCAATCAAATAGTTTGAATAAAAAAAAAGTTGTGGAGTTTTAGTGAAAAGCTATGCGGCAAACTATTGCATTTGACGATTCGAATGCATCTTTTTAAGGGGAGCATCTATGGTAAAATTTATCTCGGCTATTTACAGACGGATCACTCTAAAACTTGGTACACATATGTAAAACAGAAATCTAAGACTTTTTGTTCATGTGAATTTAAAGAAAAATGAAAGAAAACGTGAAAATCTTAGAAAACGGCCATAAAGGGAGTACCGTAGAAATCTATCTTATAGGATTTTCAAGCGAGAACATCGAGAGACATCATTCGATGCGTAAAGACCATATCTAAAACTGAACACGGCGGTTTTTTGGATTTCTCATTTTTGTGGGTGTGGGAGCATTTTTCGTAAATTTTTTGAAAATTTTCAATTTCAACCCCCCTTTTTGCGGAATAAAATCCAAATTATAACGAAATTAGAAAAACGCCCATATTCAATTGTAGATAATTTTGTTGCGCATCGAACGGTATATGTCTCATTGATGTAGCTTCAAAACTCTAGGAGGAGATAGGTTTTCCGTGACAATAAGTGTGAATGTTGAGGAGAGCGCGACAAAGTCCCGCGCGCACCACAATATGCGCTCAATGTAGCAAAGATACCAAACTAAACGTTTCTGGAGCTTGATTCCACTCAAAGATGATGGGAGCGACTACATGCACATTTCTCCGTACAACGCCCGGAGGCACACTGAGTCAGACCTCATAGAAACACTGTATTTGTAGTGCTGGGCAGCGAATTAGCTCCTATGTAATTACTGAAAGAACTCCCCCCCCCGCCCCCCTTTCATGAAGTGTCGTGAACGTATAAATCAACGTACAGAGATGGTAATGATACCGTTGGATAGGCCAGAATGTCAACTTTAAGATGAGACTAAACACGTAGCTGCAGCGCAAATCAAGTAGACACTATATTTAAAGAACTCAGCAGCTAATTAGTTCCTATCTAATTACTTAAAAAACTCCCCCACCCGCCTCCCTTTCATGAAATGTCGTGAAATCATAAATCAACGTAGAGAGATGGCAGTGGTACCGTTGGATAGGGCAGAATGTCAGCTTTAAAATGAGTATAAAAACCGAAAAAGTGAAAATCTTCAACTTTAGGGTAGACGCTCCCCTTAAACTGCATGCCATTTGGAGCGTCAAGAACTCGAGTCCAGGAAGCATGCAAACCTACAAATGAATTACTTCTGACGTTAAGCCACATTGCATAACTGGCACCTTGCATTACTGGCACCTTATTCCCCAATTCATTCCAGAATTTCGCTAATCGATTATGAAGAGATTAGAACTTTTCCAGAAGGCAAGCTAGTCCCATTCACAGTAATTTGAATATATAAAATAAGTTGAAAACATTCTTCGAAACTTTCTGTTGAATTCAGAACCTTATTGGTCAAGGATAAATTAAGCATCGTTAATGCTTTTGGTATCCCAAGACCTGGTAACGTGAGATACCATCGGGAGGCAAAGTTCGTAATGCAATGCCATAAGTCGACATGCACCTGCATTCATGTCTATAACGTTGGAAAGCAGATGCAAAACCATCATAAATGATAGTTACTGAAATCCAGTGCATGCTGTCATAGAAAGAAATGCGCCCTTTTCGAAGCAGACAACAGGCCATTGTCTTGACAAAACACACCCGTCCACAATCACAGCCACAATTCTAACAGAGTTTCTTTGATTCTTCCGTAGAATTTTTTAACTTTCCAAGTCTGAGTCTAAGTCACTTTCATTTTTTATTGTTTCCAAATTTACTGTAACTCGAATGAAGATGAGCACATTAATATTTTTATCTTGAAATGAAGCTACAAGAAATCCTTGCAAGTCACAAAAAGGGTTCAATTTACTTATAATTAAGGTTACAAATTGTCACACTCACAGTTAACACGCCAAATTGACTAGAGTATTTTGGAGCAATTGTCGGATACTTGTTGACGTAAGATATGTTCGGAAATTCAGAAGCAAAATGTAGGAACGGAATTTTCGTGAACGAGGGAGGTTGTCCTCCGGCCTCCAACACCAGCACCTCCCATTCCGGCACCTCGGAGAGTCGACCAGCCACCACACTGCCCGCCGAGCCTGCGCCCACTGGCGGGTGGGGAAAGAGAATATGGGTTTAATACATCAACAAAAATGCCAGCTGATCTTTGTTTTCCTATGGGTTCACCTCATGCACGTACAAAATATCTACCGATTTAATTCATTACAACATTTACGTTTTAACAGTTCGAGCCAGGTGAGGAAACGTATATACATATAGACGTGAGTTTCAACTTGATGACACTCGTTTGCTTGAATCGCAGACTTACTATAAATTTGAAAATCGAAGAAAATTCCACAAAAATCATCATGACCTTATAGAAAACTTTTCGTAGCCTAGCTCAATCTTTAGTTCGAAGATTCTAGAGTGCAGTTAATTATCGCAATTTAGACAAATTAAATTCAAGAGGCCAAATTAAAAGTTAAATTTGAAAATAAAAAACAAAGTACTAGAAAAAAAGCTGCATAGCCCATCTATTCGCAATTTCAAGTGGATAAGAGCTAAAAGCTGAATTAAAACTGGGCCTCTTTTTAAAAACTCAAAAGGATTCGAAAATACGTAAATCAGAAGTACCGCAAGTGGAAGCTAACACCTTAAAGTCATTGTCAGATGCAGGAACGTCATATTGCTCGGCGTGATTGAACTCAGCCGAAAGCGGGAGGGGGCTACGATAGTAACTGACTCACAGTGCGAGTCAACCTGTGGTTACTGCCTGGCTCACAGGCTATGGTGGCGCTGGCCAGTCCGTGTTACTGCTGGGCTCACAGGCTGCGGTGGTGCTGGCCAGTGCCGTGTTACTGCCGGGCTCACAGGCTGCGGTGGTGGCTGCGGTGGCGCTGGCCAGTGCCGTGTTACTGTCGGGCTCACAGGCTGCGGTGGCGCTGGCCAGTGCCGTGTTACTGCCGGGCTCACAGGCTGCGGTGGCGTTGGTCAGTGCCGTATTACTGCCAGGCTCACAGGCTGTGGGGGCGCTGGCCAGTGCCGTCTTACTGCCGAGCCGACAGGTCGCAATGGCGCTGGCTAGTCCCGGGTTACTGCCGGGTTGACAGGCCACGGTAGCGCTGGCCAGCACCATTTTCCAGTAAGCTCAGGAGAGCTTTTAGATTAGCAGTGTAATGATCATGACTGGGCTTTGAATGCATACAGTTGTGAAAACAGCGGTATTGCGGTGCCATGCAGGTAATAGTTATTTATACGAAGTAAATTTTAAAGCAAATGATAACTTTGAGAAAAAAGAGTTAGAATCACTTGGGTCTTCATCTTTGGTGTTACGCAGGTCGTGATGCGGCTAAGAAGATTCTACAGGGTCACTGGCCAAAAATTACAGAACGCCCGAAAACCTCTTATAGGGCGCACGGCATTATAGATTAAGAGATCCATCAACATCAATCGCTATTGTTTTATATCAATGAAGATTTATTGATAGTTTGGAACCACATTGTGATTCAAGATAGTTTGGAATCACAATAAAAACCTCTTCTTATGTCTTCGGTCCCAAGACGAACCTTGCAGGGTTAGAAATTTACTCGTTATTAGACCTATTCGTCGACTAAATATTTGTCCGGATATGAAATCACTCATAAGATGATCTGTATAAATGGAGGGAGTGCAGTTTTATTATTACTTGAATGAAATCCATACGCCGTCCAACATAATCTTTTCCTCAGAAATTTAACAAGGTTGTTCCTTTACCTGTTCTCAGAATTTTTTGTTACGGCATCTTGTTCTTCTCAATGTCTCATTGAGACATTTCATTCCAAAATTCCAAAATTTTTTATTACTGCTCGTGCATGGCCTGTTATTATCACAATGCCATGTTTACGAGCGAAATGGGAATTGTTTGCGACGCTGCCCATTGCCGGCATTCAGAAGAATGAATGGGTCATACTGACCTAATAGTGACACACTGCCTCACCCACCTGCAGCATGAGTAAAGAGCCGACGGAACACAGATAGACCGTTTTTGCCAGAGCATATTTTTCCGAGATAACCCACTCAAGGGCAAAAAACATACCGCTATTTGGATAAAATCTCAAGGACACTCACTCTGTGTGGGCGCCACGATCAACACGATCTCTGCCATCGTGGCACATGTCGATTCAACTCTTTTCACTTCTTTGTTGTTTCTACTTATAAAAAAAATAATTTTCAATTCCTTTCTTTTTTTTATTGGGAGGAATATTTCACGCATTTTACTCTTAATCGTGCTTCTCGTTTATGCTGATTGAAAGAGCTCTTATTTCCGACAACTCACAAATTAATTTTGCATATACAATATATGATCGGTACCCATTGATTTCAATTTATCGCACTTAAATATACTCGATTTCACACTTCCAACCAGAGATCAAGCCAATGACAGGCACGAGTTAAGATAAACATATTCCATGGAATTTGTCACTTTTTCACATTGGCTCTGACCCAAAAATTTCAGAGAATCAATTGTGTAATGGAAAGTTCGACAGAACTAAATTCGAGAGCATTGGAACGGCATGCCATTTTAATTAAGCAAGGGAGTTGTCTTACTATAGCATGTAAATTGGGAGTTTTCTTGCCATCACATGCCACAAGGAAGATCTCCAGCCAAATGCCACGCAGGGAAGTTTTTTGCCACCATTAACAGCAAAGAAGTTCTTCTGCTTCCATGAGCCCCTGTTGATCTCCTTGAACTCTACTTTGGTCTCCTTCCTCGTAGAAATCTTCCGTCTACTTCGGAATTCGTTTCCTAGTGAAGCCAAATAACCACTGATTTTTTTTAACACTCTGAAGATTTCAAGCTGTTCATATATTTAAGTAGTCATAAGAGTTTACTTAGCAACTCACGAAATCATTCAAATTTAGGTTCATCCCAGACAAAAAGCTTGGCAAGTCGTTAGATGTCTTTAGAGATATGGTGTTATTATAATCAACGACGTGCAATTGCATACAGGAACACAGCATATTTGCAGGCTGTTGCACCTCCGGGTCATTATGCAATATGTAGCTTGGATCATAATTTAACCTATTGTAAGTTCAATTTATTTTTTTACTATCTCATAATCACAGTTTTCACTGTGAAATAATAATTCTAATAATCAACATATTAATAATTATAATAATCTTAAGTATCAACAGCGAAAATGAGTTTAACGTGTGATTTCAAAAGTGTCAGATTAGCTGTTATCAAATTTTTTTAACCTAAAAACTTCCTTATTAATGGCCTAGTATCTTATGCAGTCTAATCACATGTATCAGAAGTTTTGAATTTTCTTCTTTTGAAATTGAGGAATCACGAGGAAAATTGGTAAACTTGCGTGCATGGATTCCCCACAGCAGATAACCTTCAATCCTGCTGATGCACAATCGCGCAGGGTAAAATTTCCAATCTTTCAGTAGCAGTAGGCAGTAGTAGAAAATGTAGAAATAAGTTGAAGTAAATGGATTTATGTAGGAATACATTTTTAATTTTTATTTATTTTATTTAAATAATTTTTATTTGAAATAAATTTATAATTTAATAGGTAGAAATGATTTTCTACCTATTAAATTATTAAAATCAGGCGTGAACTTCATTATAAATTGATGGCATTTTGTTCCGAAGAGTTTTTGTATAAACGTTAAGTGTATTTTAGCTCACCTACGATGAAGTCGACGATTGTATCCTGAGGCATAACACTCGTAGGATAAACTGTTGGCTGCGTGAATATCCCAGCAATAATAGCAGCTAATTTTGTTATGAGACTCATAACTGATAAAGAGCTCATGGTGACGAAAAGTGTTGAACACTCTGAATCGATTAAACATCTACTGAGCTGTACCTTGAGGTAGGTCCTTGAACCTTGGCTATTAGTTTATTTTGCTTTCTTAATGCAAATAAATGAGTCTTCATGCAAACTAAATATGCATAAGTTATCATTCATAAAACACAGATGACAGATCTATGAGGCTTCACACGCCTCGTTGCTGACCGTTGCTGTTACACTCAGTACCACAGCAAGTTAAATTGTGAGCCCATACAGAAAACGCTGCGGTATAAATACTGGACTTGTAAATCCTTGCCGGGCAATAGAGAAAAAAAGGGTGCACTTCAGTGGACATGAGAAAAAAAAAACATTCCCTGAGCATTCAAACTATTAAGTCGCTCGATCCTCTAACAACATTATGGGGAAATAAGGGCACTACACAGACTTACGCAAGAACTTGTAGGATTTATCAAATTAATTCCTTATACTCGACTCATATCAGGCGAATTTTTTTTATAAAATACGCACCTAGCTAGACAACAAATCTGGATGCCTTTAATAAAACAGTTTGTCGTAGACAATTAAAATTTCCCTGTCGAATGAAATAAATGCAGTGAATATCTTTTCAAAGATTGGAAAATTTATTGATGAAGTATTTCAATAAATCATACCTAGATAGTTTGTATTTACTTCGAGTCGGTTTTTAAGGGTTTATATTTCACTTAAATAATATCAACGACTGAGAATAAATATTATATGTAGTGTAGCCATATTATATAGAATGCATCAGCTTGACCATTTAAATAATTCATAACAATGATTAATCTCAACATTACCACCTATTCAGCTGTATATCGAGTCTGTAGCTGTAATATGGCATAATATCATCTTATTTGATAAATTTCTCGCAAAAATAACTTTCCTTGAGATTAATTAACAAGCACTTATCACATAAAATTTTTACTCGCTTTGTCCAGTAGACGAATTTTAATAAATTTTATGAATTCAAACGTCGGTGGTTACAAATGAAGCAAGAAAATAAGCGAAAATGGAAGATAAATCAAGCTTTCTATTATTTAGGTGATTCTCTAACCCCTCTTCTTGTTCCTGCAGTAAATTACTCAATGTGAAAGTTAGCTGATCATTATATGGTGAAACTTCTTATCTAATTAATGCCATAAATTAGTCATTATTAAGGCTTATTAATCATTTTCTCCGCATTATTATTGCGTCATCATCTACACTATAGACATGCAACGCCACGCAGACTCAAACATTTGTACGTAATTTAGAGAACTTGTTCTACAGTACCGAAAAATATATATTAAATAACCGCGTTTGTTGATCAAATGCACACAATTTCTCAACAATTGCGGCGAAATTTCTTCTTATGTTACACAGTGTTGTTTCATGCTTGCATAAATAATGCTGACTAGTTCCACCAAGCGACCTAATTCCACTCGCTAGCAGAAATGATAACACTTGAATTCTTACGTTGAATGGATACTTTTTTTCCTAAGTCCATCCACGCTCATAGGAATTATTTGCGTATTAAATACATTTCAGAAAACCTTTGGAGACTTGATTGTATTTATGACACAGAGTTAAGGCATAAAATCGTTTTAAGATTGCCGCTCATAACTTCTGCAATGGATCCATGATTTTTGTATGTGTATGGCGGATAAAGCTTTGCAACATCGCCCATTCAGACTACAAACACTATTGATGGTTGGCATTAACACCAACATCAACATAAGCGATGAAGTTCTTTCTCGTCTCGATCAAAAGCGTGCACATTCACCTGCAATTTCATTAGGGGACCCAGAGGTTGAATGAATGGAATCGGATGAACTATGAATAAGTTCTACCAAGCTTGCAGCAGATTTAGTTCCGGATCACACTTCCTACATATCGGACAAAAGATCATGGATATTATATGAGAGCCCAGTACGGGCTGTATGACCAAGAAATATTGTGAGGAAGACAAGATACTGAATATTAATACAATCTAATAAGGTAGAGGGTGTCGTGGTATGTCGTGTGGTTCTATAGGCAGAAATACGACCAGTTTTTGTCCATGTAGGTGCAATGGCTCCAAGAGGCTTAACCTTGGACACAACAAGGCTATTCTACTTTTAACGGTAACAATTAAGAAGTTGCGCTGCTCGCTGCACTGCTATGTAAAATTTTGCACACCAGCTGACGGTTTCGTTGCATGAGTCTCGATATATACGCGTCATGAATGTCTGCATAGAGCAGAAATGGTTAATTAAGCTTTTGGCTAAGACAAATGTAGGTTATAGATTATTTTCATCTTGTGGTCATAAAAATCTTCAGTTATATTTCGTCGATGAGGTACACATTAGGAATATATTAATTAGACCCTGAAAATAATAACAAAAACCGAAAATAAGGCATAGGAGACAAAATGTGGATGGTATATTGAATTGCAGAGATCTACAGAACCAATTTGGCAAATAGATTAAGAAAATTACCAACAAGCACAGCTGAGCTCATATAACTGTGAGTGGGCCCGACGCTCCTTGAGGTCCTCATTGTGATGCGTTTTTTTTTTGTTTATTCTATTATTTTTTTTTTCGATTCAATTTTTATCTGACAAAGATAAATTATCTATAATAAGATCATGAGAAATATATAATTTAATTCATGCCATTTAGAGAAAGATCAGAGTGTAGTCGGGTGTTCTTTAATCCTACGAATAATAACCATTCACGAGTTTGTTTCACCTTTGAGCAAGCTACCTGTGAGATTTTTTGTAGATTATACGATGTATGGATTTAAATACACTGTCAACACTGTGGTAGTATTCTCGGAAGTTCAAATGGATTTGAACGGGCTGCACATTCGTTCGTTGTTCTAGAGCACAGAGTGCAGCATAATGCGAGCGCAGATAGTGCAGCATAATGCACAATAAGAGCACAGAGTGCAGCATAATGCAAGCAGAGATAGTGCAGCATAATGCACAATAAGAGCACAGAGTGCAGCTTAATGCGATAAAAGCTGAGACTTGTACTCCCAACCGCGCTCCGTCCAGTCTTCCCTAGCTTCCATGATCTTTATATGACTGTTCAATGCGCAGCAATATTCCGACGTTCAAGCGAACATGATTGCTTATAGAATATTCATTCATTGCACTTAACAAACGTGTGTTTAATATCTAAGTCTTTGGGAATTGAGGGAAACGTACTCCAATGGATCAGAGATTTTCTAGTAGGTAGACGACAACGTGTCAGTATTAACGGAACCGTGTCAGACTGGGCATCAGTGCGCAGTGGCGTGCCACAAGGAAGCGTTCTTGGGCCTATTTTGTTCGTTGCTTTTATAAACGATCTGCCAGAATCAGTGTCCAGCGTGTGCTCCATGTATGCCGATTGCCGACGACACCAAAAGTTTATAATACAGCGATTGCGTCAAATAAAGCGCAATTGTAAGATGATCTTGACAGTTTAGTTTACTGGGCTGATACGTGGCAGCTGCGGTTTAATGCAGACAAGTGTAAAGTACTTCACCTCGGGAAGAACAATGAACAGCAAGATTACAGTATGAGAAGTCATGGTTGCAACGAGAGAGTAATTAATGATTGAAAAGTCTAGTGTGGAAAAAAATCTCGGAGTTTATATCGACAAGGAGCTGAAATTTTCTAAGCATGTACAAACGCAAGCTAACACATCCAACAAACTTCTCAGACTAATCAGACGCTCATACGAGTTCCTAGATGCAGAAGCGATGAAGCAGTTGTTTGTTGCTGTCGTGCGCCCGAATCTAGAGTTTGGAAACGTTGTGTGGTCACCAAGATTTAAAAAAGGACAAAAATTTAATAGAAAATGTTCAATGACGTGCAACAAGGATAATTCCAGGCTTGAAGGGCAAGTCATATGAAGAAAGATTAAAGATTATGAAGCTTCCAAGCCTCAGATATCGACGTCTGCGTGGGGACCTCATTGAAGTATACAAGTATACTCATGGCTTATACAAGGTCCCCGAAGGATTACTAGAATTTGAAACAAGAACCAACACCAAGGGCCACGACTATAAACTAAAAAAACTGTGCTGCAACTTCTCCCCGCGACAACATTTCTTCTCGCTTCGAATAATCGACATGTGGAACAGCCTCCCCGAGGACATCGTTGGCGCTCCAAGTATGAACGCGTTCAAGAACAGACTAGATAAAGCTATGGAAAAACATATGTTCAGATTTGAAATGCCTAGCTCCTTATCGAACCCGGTGGAAATCTAGTAGCTACTTCAAACTATCGTCAGTCATGAAAAGATCCGATCAAATGACACGATTTTAGATATTCTGTGAGCAAGGCACGAAAAGGAAAAGAATCGGCGACAGGCCACATCAGGCCTACACTTCAGCGCTGACATCTTTATGTTGTGTTACACTATAAATAAAAATCATAGGCTTAAGAAAACCTTTAAGGACATCAGGATGGAGATTTTCCTCGAGCCATCGGCGTAAAAGCATCTTCTAACAACACTCCTCTATTCGTGTCTCCGACATGTGAAACAGCAGTCCTACTGGCATCGTATGCATTTGGTTATGAACGGATTCAAGAAGCGACCAAAGTTATGCAGACATACATATTTTCACGCCTCAGGTACCCATCACCCAACGGGCACGGTGAACTTCCCGTCGGTATTTATCTTAACGTTAGTTTGGAAAGATCTGGTCAAAAAGCAGTTTTTCAGATCTCCCGTGAATAAATCACGAAAATTATATGAATTAGTGACAGTCCAAACTTGACCTATTTTTCAGCTGCGACAATATTATACTGTACTGTATGCACCAAAAAACAACAAGAAATTTCATTTCTGTGAATTATTAAACATAAATTTTATAGATAACGGCATGTCGCGCCGCTCGTATAATGTTCATCTGTATTGTCCGTATTCCACAGAAAGCGATCTTGTAAAAATGTCAAACTCCTTGCAATTTCTTAACACGTTAAGAACGGCACGAACCGCCAGCGCTCCCAGATGGCCTAAAAACGGCCAAGTCCGGGGATAAAAAGGCCCATAAATCAAAATATACTAGTAAGTTTGTAGGTTCCAGTGCAAAAATTAAATTTTCCTTTTTTTCTGTACATTTTAAATTTAAGGAGGTAGCACTGTCATCATAAATTTTTGTCGACAAACGCAATTGAAACTCTCCATTTTTTTATTGAATGAAGACAATTGTGTATAATTTGGTAACTTTATAGTTATCAAAGTTATGAAACGATGAACACATGTAAATTTTACGTAACACTAGTAACATAGCATCGAAATTCTAATCGTGGGTACACCTATTTGGTCGAAAAAAAAATCTTTATAAGCGTAACGTCGTTTGCGTCGTTCCAGTAGATTTGATCCACGCAAAGTTAGTTAGGCAGGGGTTTGTGGTTAAAATATTTTAAAAGATGAAAATAAAGATGGGGTAACATGAAAAAAAACAACGTTTGGAGCTTGATTGGAAAAACTGTGAAGATCGAAATTTAATTAACGGTAATTGAGTTTAATTAATCTCCAAATAAATTGTATTGATTGATAATCATTTGCGACAAAAACTAAAATATATGTGCTTTCTGAAGAATATGGTGCTATTAGCAAATTTTACTATACACAGTTTTTCATAATTAAAGGTAATGGCAATAGTGGTACTTTATGAGGTCATAGACCTTACACATATATACTGAACGTATTATGAAAATATTTGACCTATTTCATTGTAAATTCAGTTTAAAAAATTCGCAGAATTGAACTCATCGGTCCATTAGTTAGTTAATCTTCCGAACGTGGAAGTTTGTATGTATTGCTTTCTATATTTTCACAGTTTAATTTTCCCATAATCTTCTTTGATTAGATCCGCCCCTCTTTCTCCAATCATGATCACCGGGGCGTTCGTGTTGCCTGTAAGAAAAGAAATGCATTACTGATCCAAACTCTGGTGATTAGTTTAATCAGCACAAATATGACAATATCTCTTTCCGATCACAATTAAAATATCCATGACCTATTCATATGACGGCTTAGAGGAGCTATGTATTTGTGAAGGGCCAAATCTACACCACTCACGTTAAACTAAAGCTCACATTGCTTTCCGTCGTTATCTAGCTTTCAACAAGTTAATTATTTCTAGAGCCAGATCATAAACGTTACGTGCTTCAATAACAGCGAGCTGTCTCAGTTGACCGGTAAAAAGTTAGACAGCCATTTTCCATCAAGGTCATGTTCCGTATGTTCCGCTTATGAACGCTGGAAATGATCATTGAATTATAAACAATAACAATGAACATCGCTCATGTTACATGTACGCCGTAACCCTCGTTCGCAATACGGGCGGCCATCAGCCGCCCATATTCAGGAAGATTCACACACTCTCCTTAATTTTTTTCACTTCGAAATGCATTTTCAACGAGAAATATCTACGACAAGGCAGCAAGGCAGCTGACACAGCATTGTTAAATCCGCCATTTCGTTGAAATAGAAAGTTGAAGGGCGCCGACTTCGATGAACCAATCAAATTCGCGAACTGCTGCGATATTAAAGTTCTAAATTTTCCATCGAAATATTTGATGTTGTCAATAGTTTCCGTGTTACATGTTAGCGTGCAAAAATTGGTAATGAATAATTTAAATTGTCATGGATAGATTCTTCCGGTTGCTTTATTAAGACTGGAGATTTAACTTCTCTCTTGGGAATTTGTAGCAGAAAATAGACATATATAAAAGTTACCTCATTTATGCTTTAAGATCTATTTTATATCCGTATATTAGATCTAAAATAGAATACATTTGTAGAAGCTAACTCTTAAAAAAATTACGCTGCCGAAATGTCATGTATAATAATTCTATAATTTGATTAGATTTATGCGTGAAATTTCGGCTTTGAAATTATATGACATATGATTTAAAATAAGCTATAATGTCACTAGATTGCTTGAATCAAAGATTCACTAGAAATTTAAAAGCGAAGAAAACTCCACAAAAATTCAGCATTTCTCTATTGAAAACGTTTCGGAGACCAGCTCCATCGTCAGTTCGATAAATCTAGAACACAAATACAGTCAGAAAATTAATAAAGTTTTGAGTCATACGAAAAAAAAAACAAAAAAAAAAACAAGTTAAAACCTTAATTTACGGGCAAAGGGCAGAATAATAAAGAAATGCCTATCCACCCACATTTTCTAATGGATAAGAACTATAGGCAGCATTTAAACTAGGCTTCTCTTAAAAAATATACAATATGATTTCAAACTGCGCAGATCGGAAGCACCAGAACTATAAGCTAAAACCTTTAAGTCAGTGTCAGACACCGGAACGTTGCACTGTTCGGCGTGAGTGCGCACATAGCCGAATGAGGAGGGTGCGATAGTAACTGCCCAGTCCTATAACTCCTCCCTTTATGCTCAGCGACCCTAGTGTAAAGGTTGAGTGCCGTCGTCCCAACGTACGCAGTGTACATCGTGCACAACTAAATTTATAAACTAGGGACGATCGCCTTCTCACATGCGATCGTCCCTAGTTTATAAATTTAGTTGTGCACGATGTGCATCTGCGTACGTTGGGATGACGGCACGCAACCTTTACACTAGGGTCGCTGAGCATAAAGGGAGGAGTTATAGGACTGGGCAGTTACTATCGCGCCCTCCTCATTCGGCTGTGCGCACTCACGCCGAACAGTGCAACTTTCCGGTGTCCGACACTGACTTTAAGGTTTTAGCTTATAGTTCTGGTGCTTCCGATCTGCACATTTTGGAATCATTGTTTATTTATAAAGAGAAGCCTAGTTTAAATGCTGCCTACAGTTCTTCTCTATTAGAAATTGTGAATAGATAGGTATTTCTTTATTATTCTGCCCTTTGCCTGCAAATTTAGGTTTTAACTTCTGTTGTTTTTGCCTTTTTCTCTTATGACTCCAAACTTTATTAATTTTCTGACTGTATTTGTGTTCTAGATTTATCTAACTGACGATGGAGCTGGTCTCCGAAACGTTTTCAATAGAGAAATGCTGAATTTTTGTGGTGTTTTCTTCCCTTTTATATTTTAAAATAAGCTAGAAAGTTTCAATTACTCTATTCGACATGACCTAACATTTATTTTTCTCACCGGAAACTATTTGGGGCATAATTGACGCGTCCATGATGCGTAAATTCCTGACACCTCGCACGCTGGAAAAAAAATGCAAATTTTGAAGCAGGATTATCTTGGTGATTAACGAAGACGATTCACATACAATGCCTACTTCCATGCGTCTAAAAATGTTAGAGATATTTTTATTTAGCTCTTTTTCGCTGAAAATGAAATCGAGAACTAATTTTCATCGATCAACTTTAAAAAAGTTATCGAAATAATGAGGATGCGCATATGAAAGATTCGTCTAAATTGGCTACCCGCTTTCAGCAACATGACAATCTTTTAGACTAATATTATTTTATTAGCACTAAGGAAGACTGTAAAGTCTCACATGAGCCGCGGCGTCACCACCCCCATGGGGTCGGAGTCTGGAGCCATCTTGCAGGTGCCGCTGATGTGCGCCATCACATTAGCCATGCCGCGCACGAAACATCTCCAGTAGTCGTCGGACTGGAACTCAAGATGCGCGCAGCCAGGAATTGGCTGCTCGCAAGCAATCAAATTCATTTGACACATATTGAAAATGTACCCGTTCATTTGAGACACATTGGTGTTCCTTCTAAGGCGGGCTCATACCATACTGCCGGGCACGTGCCAGGCACATGACATTTACAGAGTCCAATATTATTTACTGCATTTCTATAGCAGCATTCACACCATGCATGGGCATGGCAGGGGCTTTGTACGGCTGGTGTGAATGCTTCTATAGAAATGCATTAAACAATATTGGATTGGACCTTCACTGGCGTGAAGGTCCAATACTGGCTTGGCTGGCAGTATGGTGTTAATCCGGCGTGAATTAAGAGTCTGAGTTGGCAAAAGAAACAGGAAAGTGATCGAATAAATATTATTTGTAAAAGATCACGAAATGGGCGAGCAATAAATTAGATTTTGAGAGAGACAAATTTCATAAGTTAGACATAATCAATTTTTATATTCCGCAAGGAGCTTGCACAAATGTCAACCGGCGCTGTACTGCAAAAAGCACGATTATGATTAAGCTTGATTTTTTCTTTTACCTATCTCGGAAAAAATTACTCATATTCAATCTGTATAAATCTGATTCTCAATTAGTCACGAATATTTCGATGCATTATAGTTGAATTATATATGAATCGGTCGGCTGGGAGCATTTCAGGTTGGACTGATAACTATAATGGACATTCAATGTGCAATTGAACCCGAGCATACCTATTTCAGAAACGAAGGCGTTCAGAAGAAAATAAATTTAGGTACAACTTAAATAAGAGTTTAGGTTATTAGATCAGCTTGAGAAAAAATTTTGCACAAGTAAAACATAGAATATACATCGTTAAATCACAATTTTAATCAATAAGTTAAGAAAGAAAATTACTTGTCATATATGGTTTAATAAATTTTTCATGAATCTTGATGGCAACTGTGAGGAAAAATATAAGATAATATTTCCTGCTAACAATTTGAACGCCGATTATTGTGCTGCTCACTTTTTTGAGAGGTTCAGCTCCGAGCGCCCTACGGAAGATCTTGGCATTCCCTAACTTCAGTGAAGCCTTGGCAGCTGCGAATGAGAAGAAATTCTATCACACAAAATAAACAAAAAGAGATTATTTCACGCAAAATACATCAATAAAATATGAACAACAATATCAGTAAGTATTCAATCCCGATGTCAAGCAATGTATAATACAGGGTCATCAATATTTAGCGTTACATTGTTTTTTCAAAATAAATACACTCGCAAAACAGTCAAATGTGTCGTATGGAACCATGTTGACTGTTCTCCGGAAGGACCTAAAGTTGTCCCCCATTCAAGCATGTCAAAAATAACCAACTGTCTGCTCAAGTTGTTGACAAACGCCTCCAAAGATCCAAGATTCTTCTTTCCCGCATTCATGATGGCGCGCTGCCAAACCATGTTTTCAGTGATGAGAAGATATTCAATGTTGAACACCACTTCAACTCCCAAAATGGTCGAATTTGGTCGAAGAGTGGGACGAAGGATCCCGTGTGGTGACTAGGAAGCAATGCCCGACCTCAGTGATGGTCTGGGCAGCCGCAACAGAGTCCTCTCTTTTTGTTGACAAAGGGGTGAAATTGAATCAGAAGAACTATCGAGATGCCATCCTTGTTGGTGCATTGTTGCCCTGGGCACGAAAGCACTTCAAAAAACGCCCCTGGTCGTTCCAGCAGGACTCTGCACCATCCCATGGGGCCAAATCAACTCAGGAGTGGCTGTCCGAGAATGTTCCCCACTTCATTACCAGGGTTGGTGATTTTTTATTATTTTTTTTTTAAAATCAAAAAATCAAAAATCAATGATATTTTTGATTTTTTCATGATTTTTTGATTTATTTGATTTTTTCAGCTTTTTTGTCTTTTTGAAGTGCTATTTTTTATGTTGCAATTAGCCTACTAACAATAACAGTATATGGATCATAATGGATGGCTAAAAAGAGCACTTATTGCCTTCAATAATGGCCAACAGGCCAAGGTGGTGTTTACCACTTTGGGATTTTTGGGTAAACAATTATTGATAAGTCTATTCATTAACTTTCTAAAGTTTGGATGGAGCAAGGTAATGAGCTAAATATTGACCAATTAACTGGCTTCAATATACAAAAACACTTCAGGAATGCAGATCTTCTAAACATTGAAGAGTCACATAACAGATAGGTAGCTGATAGCACAGTGCACAGCACTATCAATAGATCTACTAGTTTTATGTCCTATAAATCTACCAGACTCTACCCTCTATACACACCGACTACACCGACTAGTAGTGACTGAGTGACTGACTGCACTGTTCCCATTTAATTCAGACCAATAAACCAATACTAAACATAAACTGAATGATAACCAAACAAACCTCATACGACTTGAAACGAGACTCACGTTATGAGAAAATCTAACACTGTTTGAAATAAACATGTGCACAATTGAAATATTTTATATCTATTCACTGCATTTAATTATTTTATATATAGTCTTATAATTGTAATTGTTTTGTTTCTAGTTTTAAATTCACATATTTAAAGATTGAAATTAAATATTTCATTAGAATACTCATATTAGGGTGGAAAATCTTTCTAATTGCCTAAAAGGTCAATACAATCTCAACCTTCCAATATACGGGGAGGGGCAGAACCGATTGAGCAATTATGAGGTAAAATAAAAGAGTAATGGAGGTACATAAAGAAGAAAGTTTATTTTCTTAGAGGTTTAGCATACCATACCATTTAGAATACTTATGTTTTGAAAACAATATCTGGAAGATAGGGGCCGTTAGCTGCAACACACTGTTGGAGTCGTTCTCAGAGGAAGGAGTAACCGTAACAGTGAATTACGATACAGCTATGCTGCAATGTTGCAAAATTTCTTGCAGCCCATGATGGAAAACATTGTTGAAAATGAAGCATTGGGAGACGTGTGGTTCCAGCAGGATGGGGCTTATGGGGCTACAGCTCACACAGCCCAAATGTCACTCAATGTTTTTAAATGCATGTTCCCAGACACTGAGGGGTAATTTACAGTGGCCTGCGAGTTCACCTGATTTGAGCATTTGCGATTTCTTTCTTTGGGGACATCTAAAAGAAAGGGGTTCAGAAGTCGCCCTCACACCCTACCACAGCTAAGGGAACGGATTATTGCAGCAGAGGCTATGGCCATACCTCGATCGCCATATGTGTGAACGTGCTGTAGAAAACTTCCGAGAACGACTCCAACAGTGTGATGCAGCTAACAAACCCCATCTTCCTGATAACAAACATAAGTATTTTAAATGGTATGTTATGCTAATCTTGAGTAAAATAAACTTTCTTCTTTATGTATTCTTCTTCTTTCTTTATGTATGCAATTTATTGGAACCTAATACACACTAAAGGCAACAAGTTTATATACCTATTTGTCATTCATAGTACATTTATACTAAACCATGAATAACAATACCTCAATATAAATTTAAGACTGTCACTCAATATATTTAAATATATGAAAAAATGAAAAAAATAAAAAAATCTGAAAAATGAAAAAAAATCATGATTTTTTTACAAAAAAAATCCAGTGATATAATCACATGATTTAATCATTTTGATTTAATCATTGCCAACCCTGTTCATTACCAAAGATGAATGGCCCCCATCGTCACCCGATCTGAATCCTCTGGATTTTGGGATCTGGTCAAACCTTGAGAGCAAGGTCTCGACCGTTCACCATAGCAGTTTGGACGCCCTAAAGGTCAAACTGCTGAAGGAGTTGGCCAAAATCCCGCAGAGTGTCATTCGTGACTCTTGTAAGGCTTTCTCTAAGCGTCTACAACTCGTTATTGATGCAGATGGTGGACATATTGAATGAAATTGTGGGAATTGTATCTCTGAACCTCTGCCTACAAAAATACATTTTCAAACATTCACAATTGTGTTTCATTTCATAGTTCTAACCTTTCAAAGTTGTAACGCTAAATATTGATGACCCTGTATTTTGCAATTCATTTTTAGTGTATATTTTATCAGAAGAAGATTTTTTGGCTAAATACAGTGTCTCATAATTGTAAAATTGGCAGAAGATTAAAGAAACGACGCTTGTTATATTTAACAAATTTTGGTGAACTTGAAGCCACAGTGTACTCGAATATGAGACTGCTAGTAAAATTGAAGAAATACCAGACCATATTCTTCCCGTGTACCTTTGACCATCAGCTCGACGTCGTCGGGGTGACTGAGTGAATTGTGGTCCAGGACGGGCGGGTCGAAGGGGTTCCTAGACTTGAGGGTCACCGTCCCGACGCTCTTCGGTCTGGACAGCATCGGAAGCATGAAGAATCCATCTCTACCCAGCGTCGGTCGATAATATTCTTGGACCTAGACAGTGTAAAGCCATACGCACTGAAACATTTGCAACAAAACTTAAATTTAATGAAAATGAGTATGCAAGTGTTGGTAGGTAATATGATCCGTAAATCTTGCAAAAAGGACGTGGGTATAGGCATGTTGGACAGTAATGAGCGCAAGTAATCAGAGCAAGTAATGTAAACAATTGAAAATACATATAAAGACTCCACAGGTAGTTACACACTTCACAACCTGAAATACTGTATTTCAAGTATTTTGATTGGCAAATTTAAAAATGGATTCTTCGATTATGAGCGGGAAGGCGATGAGCCTCAACTCTCAAATTTCATAATTCTTGAGCAGTGCAGTGCTAGAAATAACGTTCAAATTTATACATAATAATATGTCCGTAAAAGAAGATGTTCCTAACTTGACGTAACTCTAGTGATGACAACAACGACGACCTAGACAGTAAAAATTAGGGTGTACGGTCAGGTACTCGAGAAACTCACAACTGCAAATTTCCCAACCCTGATTGTATTGACAAGCTGAACTTGCAGAAAAGATTGTATGGAATTGAACGAACTAATTGTGGCTGTTAAGGAGTAAAATTTATTAGAGGACACGGTCGAATTCATTTAAATCCATTCTGGCAGACGGCCACAATACGGCAGCAGGCTTTTGATGGTAACCAGTATTGTATCATTCGACCTGTTTACCGAGAGCAGGAGGTGCTCATAAGATTTCATGTTTTTCTGAGCTTGCGATTTGGATAGAAAATTATACTTACTAAGACTTACCGATTCTTGGTAGCCGCTCAAGGAGAAAAGACCATAGTCTTGTCCGTCAAGCGCACAAAAGAGGAACACCTGAATGTCCGGAACGGTTGGCTCATCTGGATTGTGGACATTCAGCAAATACGATGCGCACATGCCAACAGGAACACTCAAGGGACCTGGGCAAGATAGCTTGTAGAGTTAGTATCACGTTTACGAGCGTGAACAAATACCGCACGGAGTTGTACGTTCTACGAGCGTGCTTTTGTAATTCAGAAAATATTATTCTAAACTAGTCACTAGTCATTATTTGATGCCTGAAAAATCCTCATTTTATAAAGTTATGTAAGTCCATAAAATAATAAAATACAAAAAGTGCATCCCAAATGGAATAGAGAAAATATATTCAACGCATCAAGTTCGATTTTTGATTAATATATTCAGATGTTTACTTCTGAAAATGCTTATATACGCAATACTCAGTATAGATGGCCATGTTGGATAATGTTGGGTATGGTTTTTCAATTTTTTTCTCGATGTCGACGAGATTTCAACAGATTATGATCATACTAGCACTTCCAAGGCCTATTATCACTTGATGCAACACATTGTGCGGTATTGAAACATAAAATATCTCATATCCGAACTATTTCTTATAACAATAGCATATGATGTAATCCGTTTGATGCTAATTGAGGATACTTGAGTGCAAGAGTAGTAGAGAGGTAGGTAGCTTACCGTCCCTACTCCTCTGATAGCGCAGCATCGCCGACGGGCTGATCTGTTCTAAGAGTGAAGACGATATATTTGGGTGGATGGTCCAACCTATTCCTCGGAGACTTACATGGTCTTGGTAATTCTGCCCTACACCTGGCAAGTCCACGCGAGTATCAATCTGCAAATTAGACAAATGATGTAATAACTAAAAACTTTAGGCCATTCGTAACTGCGAGCGAATAATAAGACTGATCATTGAGTGAATACATTGATTTTTATTTCTTGGCTGCATTTTTGTGGATTATTTGTGAACGAACTACGAACTATTCAAATTCATTTGAAGGTAGCCAATTAAGGAATGAAAAAGTACGAAGTTATTTCTCATATTTTATACTTCAACTATTTCCGTAATGAGAGTACCTGATTATTTAATGAAGTATGATTTGCTGTTAAATTCGTTGTCGCACAGCTAAATGAATAAACAAGTTTCTAATGCGCAGTAAATTTTGTTAATATTTTCATCGACGAAAGTAACATCTAACTTATCATCATAAAATACTGTGTCTGGAAATTTCTTCAATTGCGCTTGCATCAATTCGATTATAAATAACGAATGAGAAGTCAAATGTATTACTACACAATTTTTTCAGTATTTAATATATTGAAATAAGAATTTAGATACAGTCAAAGAAATATTTGATGCGTATGTTTCACAGAAAATGTTAAACTTGTTTATGGTCGCTTACCCCAAGTTTACGTAGTTGCTCCCGCGGTCCGATCCCCGACAGCATCAGCAGCTTGGGAGTGTCAGCGCCCCCTGCTGATATTATCACCTCTCGCCTAGCGAACACTCGCTTCACCTGATCAGGGACAACAGTCATTTATTCATGAAATTTTAAACGGTTTTCTTGCTTACTTGAGTTATACCCTAGAACGATCAAAAATGCTTGCAAATGTGGAGAATTATATGAAAACTTCTTGACGAAAATCCCATTAAATCAATTTTCGAAAATGTAATTCCTTCTATGTTGATCACTGCAGATGCCCGTAGAGTGCAAAACCCTTTTTTATTATATTTTAATTGTCAGGAGAGGCTCCCCGTTTATACTACTATTAAATACCTTAAATTACAATTTTATATCACTCGTGGGCTACAGATATTCAAATCGGAAATCGTTTCAGCAACAACAAGAACCATAAATAATCAATCTTGTTCAACTTATTGTTTCACAATAGCAACATTTCAATTGTTTCACAAAAATTGTATAAATTGACTTCAATGGAAGATTTTCTCTGTATTGTCAAATACATTCATTAGGTATCGTTAAGTCCTCCATACTTCACCCGATGTTGAACTTGCCTTATTTTTATGAACATATTTGACTCCTATTGCATCGTTGTTTTTATTCAGTATGATCTGCAAAAAAAAAATAATAGAAAATATCAGAATTTAAACAGCTCATAATTTTAGCGAGATACATATTGAAAAATGTATCCCCTGCATAAATTAATTATACATTCTGACCTATGCACACTAGCGCTACATGAGTGTTAGCTCCATTATATAATGAGCTCAATTGTTTTTTTTTCGTTCGGAATCGATCAGAGGAACTCCCTGACCTGACCCAAGGTGTCATGGCAGCTCCCCATGCTGCCCATGCTGCCTAGGATTATACATGCTCCCAAGTTTAAATCCTTAAGGATGTCTTTATTTCTTGTACATGCTCAATCGCAAAGCTTGTGAGAATGTTATGAAAATTCAGTGTGGGGTTTTTCCCTCGAGCCGATGAGTAGCCTCATCACCAGGACGATGAAAAAGTTACAAATTTCCTTATATTTAATTTACTTATTCAATAAATTTAGTTTGCTACCAATGCGAATATAGAAGCTGCCACTCCGCTTACTACGAATGAGAATGCAGGAGCTGCCACTCCGCTTTCTACGAATGAGAATGTAGGAGCTGCCACTTGCTTTCAACGAATGAGATTGTAGGAGCTGCCACTCCGCTTTCTACGAATGAGATTGTAGGAGCTGCCACTCCGCTCACTACGAATGAGAATGCAGGAGCTGCCACTCCGCTTTCAACGAATGAGATTGTAGCAGCTGCCACTCCGCTTTCTACGAATGAGATTGTAGGAGCTGCCACTCCGCTTTCATTTCGAGTTTAATGGGGGTAAATTGCCAATGGTTTTTTAATTATTACTATAGTGCTCAAGGTTAGTGATTTTCAAAACACTGAATAAAAATCTCTGAAACCTTAGAAAAATTTGAGCGTTTATCCACCCGCAAAAACAGTCATAAAAAATATGGATGATTGATAGTCTTTAATTTTTTCATTGAGGTACTGGTGAAAAAATTAGAAAAATTTACTATTTCTCGTTCCCAATCATCGACATTCCAATATTACATTTTTATTTCATATATTAGTTAAAAAATGAAGATAGATATCACTAGCCTTATTAAGGGCGTTACAAGGTGAAGTCATAACAAATGAAGGTAAGGGAATTAGAATGAACAAATCCAGTGAGATATTCTAATGATGGGTGATTAGACCGCCGGTTATTCTGACTTAAAATATATTATTAAAATCACTTTTTTGCTTAAATCGCAAGTTAACCAGGAATTTAAAAGATATGGTGAATTTTTGTGGTATTGTTTTTGCTTTTAAAATATATTATAATGTATAGAACGTAGTTTGATAGGTTGAGGCTGAATTAATTGATAACTTGAGGTTTGAAAGTTATTGGAGGTTAGAGACTTAGAGTTAAGGTGTTAAGAAGGCGATGGGAATTTGAGTTGAAACTGTGTAAAGCTTGCATAAGACGCTATTGTTCGCGAGACCGTGAGACTGAGGGTTTATTTATAGTTTGGAATGGCCGAGGGTATAAAAATGCTGACCCTTGTGGAACTCACAACCGTCACGGCGTCCCTGGGAGGGTACAGGCTTCAGTGTGGGCGACACCAGCGTATATAAGAGACCTAAAATTCGCGCCAAAGGTTGTTCTACTGTGGTTACCGTCACGTCAGTACGGTCTGTAGCTATCTCCGCAACTTCTTCGGCCGTTGAGCGGCGGGTCGCGAAATAACGGCCGCGTGAAACGTCAAGTCATTCATACCACCACGACTACAATATAACAACGCCAAAAGTTAACAAGGAACGGCCACGACTTCGCCATATATGTACGGTCAACATCATTGCTGCGGCTGTAACTCAGCCGTGAGACGACACGAGAAGCTCCGAGTGGTCTAACGAGTACAGCACCTTGTAATTGTCCACCAGATAGCAAAGATAGCCTTGAGAACATGGAAAAGCTAGAGAATCGGTAAAAGCACTTTTCCACTATGAACTCTGTGTGACTGACGCCTGAAAAGCTGGCTTTTTCAATCCGGACCATCGAGACTGGCGCGACGGGGATTCAAGCCCTGTTCAATCTTTCACTGGACTTGCGTGACGGGCAAGCGCGGAAGCGGCAGTGTCGCTGTGACTTTCGTTCGAGTAGATTGTGCGTTGGGCTGGCGCTCCAATAGACGCACCATTGCCTGCCTCTTCTCTTAACTGACCTTGTCGCACGACGGAGACTGGAGGAGAGATGTCACTGAAAGGCTTATCGATTTATATAGAGAGGCACCTTGCCTCTGGCAAGTAAAAAGCTTTTTACAGAGACAGAATCTTAAGAATTAGATAAAATAAGTAAAGAAATGGAAAAATTATATCCATCCACGAACATCGAAAAAAGAAAATAATACTTCCTAACTTCTTATTAACAAATTTTATCAGTTTATTAACATGGATTCACTCGTCCGTCAATTAAAAAATATTAATTATCTTATTAAAATTACAGTGTATGTATACTCAGTAAATAGTAAATAAACACAATAACCAATAATAGTAGTAACATTTGTTAAACACGCTATGATACCTATCTAAATCTGTAGACCAAAAACCAGATATGGTTAAACATTGTGACGTATTTATTGCATTTAATTTTCTCGACACATTAAAGGTATAATAAGATAAAGCTGTTTCTTAGTCCCTTGGTGAATGCATGTTATTACATGGAAAAACTATGTTAATGAGGAGTTTGAAACCATTCATGCGTTTCATAACTGCTATTAGGTAAATAGATCTTTGTTTCCTTCGCATAGTGACAACAGCTAGTAAAGCAAGAGCGGCAGCATAATCTATCTTCAAAGGCCAAAGAGTGCGGTAGCCCAGACGGTCAGTCTCGGTCCCAGCACTCGCGCGTAGTGGAAGCGCTCACGCCAGTTCGAGGCCCAGCCATGTGGCTTATTGGTCTCAGGCGGGTCGCCTGCCGAAGACCACAACTGCCCTGGATGTAACGGACCATCATGATTCCTGCCTTCCGGAACGTGGCCTTCAACACTTCAAGCCGTCCGTATCTAGGCCGTGGGTCGAACCAGCCCTCGGTCGAACGGCCACTTGTCGAAGGACAATAAATTTTGGAACAGAACTATGCTATCTGAAACCTAACCTCAGATGCGGTGAACGTGTAAAATTACGTAATTTAACGATGCCCGGAAGTCAGATTCGATCCGCGGCCTGGTGGTGCACGGCAGGTGGTGGTCAAGGCCGGAGGAGGACAAAGCCGAGTGGTGCACGGCTGATTGGTGGATATCCGGAGAGATCCAAGGCGTTCGATTCAGGGCTTATTGGTGCACAAAATTGGTGGTGCACGGCTGCGCTCCCGTCTCAGGCCAATCTCAATCCTTCAGAATCAGTCCCGTAGCGGAAAACGGCCTTTACGAAGAGGCATCAACTGTTGTGACGTGCGGGATACGAAATTATCAGCGAAGCCAAGAGCTACGACAGTATCTACCAAGAATAAATATGAGTGTCAATGTAGAAGAAATTGCGATCGACCTATGAAGTTCCTCAAGTCCTAAACTAATTTAGTCACCACGAGAGTTTGCGACCGGACAGCCGCCGACCGAACTTGCTTCCCAACTATAGCTAGTCATCACCCACTCCAATTTACGAGTAAAAACGAATTCAAGGGGACGCGGACTGAAGAACTCATAGAAGCCACGCACTAGGAGCTCATAGGAGACTACGCGATTGAATCTCGTCCAGAGAACATCGTCAAGATAAACATTCCAGGCATCATACCGAAGCTCTGCATTCATATTTCCGTTGGATTGCCCTCCTCCACAACTCTCGGTGATGTACTTGTTTCAAAACTTGAGCTAGGCAGTGGTATTGCTTGCGTTGAAATTTGGGTATAATTATCCGGTATGTGTCAGTGTCTGATTTCCTTTTGACCTATTAGGACAATATTATTAGCTATTGTGCATATCTAATTAGATCGGGGCTAGACTATTCCGTAATCAGGATTGTGATTTGAATTATTAGCACCGTGCTCCAGCCCTGTAATTAAGTGCCCTGATTTTTTAATAAAGGAAATATTGAGATAATCATGTGTCGTAGCTATCCTCCTATGACAATTCGTTATTTGTTAAGACTCGAGAACTTCTCACTCGCGCCGCTAAAGTAAGCCACTCGGAACCAACCTGACAAAACGATAAGCTATGAACATCTGGAACCTGAACGTAACGTTAAGCAGAGAAATTTCAACATAAATTATATATGGCGATAGACGAAACACTATCATCCACAGTTCCATACTTCGTTCATAACCATGTAAAAAATTATATTGTTTAAAGCAGCGATTTTCTTGCCATAATAAAATGATAACAACGAATCTGCATAATTTCGGGGGTATATTTTAATAGATCCCTGCACAATTAAACAAATTTTACATATTAGTTTCATGAGCAAAGTTCCTAGATTTTATTCAAACCTGGTAATAATTTAATTATAATGTGAGCAGCTTTGCACAGAAATGTTGTCCCCTATAGTTATTTTCAGTTTTTTATCTGATATTTTGGGCACTTGTTGCTATGCTTATTTTTAATCTCATGCTGCTATCAGAATGATCCAATGATCCATTGAATTATCTGTGCAATTCATTAGTTTGTATGTGCAAGGACATTCCATTGAACGTTTTAAGTAATTTTTTTATTATGTACCTTTAGTATTATTTAGTGTTTTTCTACTCCAATGTGAAAAAAGACTAGAGGAAATAATATTAATTATTAATATCAACGAACTGCATGTAGAGCGCCCTCTACTGGTTTCAACCCGTTTCTTGTGGTTTCAACCAGACTGTTTAGATACAACTGTTCCTACACTTGGTACGATTTTAACGCAGTAAAATTATTCAGCCTGACAAGGGATAAACCTCGACTCAACCAAAGCGGGGGGCATGCCGGCCTCATACCAGCTCTTATTCAAAGCCGACACGATTATAACCATGCTTGAAAAAATTTTTTCATGTGAAGTCATACTTTTATGAATCGAAGTGAAGATAGAAAATTTTTCGTAGTTAGGACACTTGCGGATGCTATGAACCGCTTTCAACATCCTGCTGACGGTAGCACTACCGCGTGGTGTACCTCGAAAATATTCGAAGAAACGAGAGTATTTTCTCACCTTGATTACTTGAGAGTTGATTTGTAGTTTCAGGTTTTTGCGTTGCATGTTTGGCATTAAAAATGCATCTGCCGAAGACTCTCGCTCGCCATTACGAGTTGCTAGCTGTAAAATAGTGCTACCTGTCGGGCAGAAACAAAGTAGAACCTCAGAGACTTGAAGACTATATATTTACTTAAATGCTCACATTCGTTATTTCGAAGTTTTTACTAAATGTCTCTTTCGAATACTGAAATCTCACTCGTTGAAAAACTCAGTCCGGAAACGATCTTTTAGCGCAGCGTTGTAGCCAGAATTCATGAAATCAGAATACGTTGTGCGTTATGTCCAGAAAATGATTTGAGTGCCCTAAGAGAATTTTCGCTTGGCTGGCCAGTGATAATAAAGAAATATTCTAGAATATAATGCTAAAAAATTCTGACTCTTACCGATTTTTGTATCTGTGTTGTAGTCGATTTCCGGTAAGCCCACCTCCATGCCAGCCTGTATAGCAAGTCTACCAACCGGCGGCATCCAGCCAAGTTTCTGCACGCTCATAGGACCGCCGATCCCACGGAATGGAGCTGCGAAGGATTTAATATGTCAAGTGTAGAAATATCGCATAATTAAATTGTCAATATGTTCAGTGATTAGAGAGGACGCATTTACGGGTTTTGATCTTAGTTATTTTTCCTGTGAAGAAACCCGTCCAGGAAAATATATAATATGTTTTTCAAAAACAGTTCATGGCGAAAAAGTTGAAAAGGTTTTAATTTATTGCACACTGATCCGAATGATTGTTATCTGAAAAGACTATTGTTGGAAAACTTCAAGATCGAAGGATTTAGAAATTATTAATCAATGATTGAAACCTCTAATCCATCATGATCAAAGATTTAAATCACATTGAAAAAAGATTGAAATCCCACATTATAGAATGAAACTCGTGTTGAGTGTATTTAGTTTAGTTGATTGTGCATTCCTTAGACGAATCCCCTTTCTAGTGGAAAACTTACAATTTCAGCTTGCGCCACAATCCTTTTTCTATTAAATGCACAAGACTAATATTCCTCATTTGGAAACCGAAGCATCTAACTTCTAAATCTTTAAATATCTTCCAAGCGCGGCCGAATAATAATGTTATTCGACAAAAAATAATTGCTTAGCTATTAATGAGCCCTTTGCATGACAAGTCAAATTAATACTCATGGTTTACAATCCCGTAACCTGAAACTGAATTGAATTTTAACCATGATGTATCATCAACCTTCAGTCGATTACTGCCTTACTAAAAATTTGTCACTCCTTGACGTTATTTGGGACTTGAGCCTTTTTTGTGTTTAGTTATAGATGCCCAGGGTAATTAGATTATTGAAATGTCATCTCACCATCTCTAGGCTTCATAGGACTTCGGTAATCTTCAGATTTCTTGAAATATTTCAAAACTGTTTCCCAGTCCCAGCCTGGGTTTCCTAACTGGGCCCAATTGTCGTAATCTTGGGGGTTGCCTCGGTTGTGGACCATCTGGTTGATGGCGCCTGATCCTCCGACCATTTTTCCCGTGGTGTACCTTGGATCCTGTATAAAGACGTTGCATTCTTTATAGGTCGACTATAAAGAATAGGAGCTTAGAATTTTTTACCTTAAATAAACAAATAAAAAAATATATATATGACCTTTATTTGGATATTTTTCTAAACCGTTCAATCACAATACTAAACCCACAGAACTTACTTAATTTTTTTGGTGCAAAATCAATACAGAAATAAATTTCGGTTATTATATAGATTTAGATCAGGCATTAGCGGTAGTTTCGGCACGAAGAGACCATGAACATTCATGATATCCACGTTATTAGTCGATTTAATCAAATGGTTTAACTTAAAAAAGTTGTGGAGTTTTAGTGACAAGCTATGCTGCAAACTTTTGCACATGACGATTCGAATGCATCTTTTTAAACTGCATGCCATTTGGAGTGTCAAGAATCCCGGAGCTGCCGTCGACGTTCGCAGATAGTTCATAGGGGTGAGTAATTTGATGTGTATATTTCCTCGATAATTGAATTTGTTAGTTTCTAAATATCGTTGCTAAAGTCTAGACGATGTGAATGTCAAAAACCGATGTCAATACAACCTGCCATTGCAAGAGAGAAAACTAGGTGATCTCTGAGCGAGAAGGAAAATTTTTTTTAAATCGTTGACAAACGGTAACGCGTAACTGCCGCGCACACTGCCAAAGCAGCCCCAGAGCTTGCGTTGGGCTGGTTTGAGCAGGCGGTGCTCAGTGAGGGCTGCGTGTCGGCAGGACAGAGCACACCTAGGCAGATACTCAGAGGTTAATTAGCGCTGCGACGCGGCTGGCGATATCGTCTCTAATGCGGACATTTCTGCTCTATCGCGACTCTGTCGCGTCTCTACGTCGGCTCTATACAGCCGGCGACGGCCTGCTCTATTCCCTGCCCTAAATTTTAAGTGGGTATGGGCCCTATAGTAGCTGGTAACGTGAGATACCATCGGGAGGCAACGTTCGTAATTCAATGCCATAAGTCGAAATGTACCTGCATTCATGTGTACGTCGGGAAGAAGATGCAAAACTGTCATACATGATAGTTACCGTAATGCAGTGCATGCTGTCATAGAAAAAATGCTACCTCTCCGATGTTGACAACAAGCCATATTCTTGACAAAACACACCCATCCACAATCACAGCCAAAATTCTAACAGAGTTTCTGTGATTCTTCTGTAGGATTTTTTAACTTTCCAAGTCTGAGTCTAAATCATTTTCATTTTTTATTGTTTCCAAATTTTCTGTAATTCAATTGAAGATGGGCACATTAATATTTCTATATTGAAATGAAGCTACAAGAAATCCTTGCAAGTCACAAAAAATTGTCAATTTACATATAATTAAAGTTACAATTGTCACACTCACAGTTAACACGCCAAATTGACTAGAGTATTTTGGAGCAATTGTCGGATACTTGTTGACGAAAGATACGTTTGGAAAAGCAGAAGCAAAATGTAGGAACGGAATTTTTGTGAACGTGGGCGGTTGTCCTCCGGCCTCCAACACCAGCACCTCCCATTCCGGCACCTCGGAGAGTCGACCAGCCACCACACTGCCCGCTGAGCCTGCGCCCACTGGCGGGGGGGTAAAGAGACGATGGTTTTAATACATCAAACACAAATGCCAACTGATCTTTGTTTCCCTATGGATTCGCCTCGTGCACCTAAAAAATATCTACCGATTTAGTACGCAAGCCAATAAATCCCACAAACTTTTTGGACTGATCAGACGCTCCTGCGAGTTCCTAGATGCAAAAGCGATGAAACAGTTGTTTGTTGCTGTCGTACGCCCGAATGTAGAGTTTGGAAACTTTTTGCGGTCACCGAGACTTGCAAAGGACAAAAATTTAATAGATATTGTTCAAAGACCTGCAACAAGGATGAAGTACAAAACACAAAGATGTGAGGTCCCCAGGCTTAAATGGCAAGTCCTATGATGAAAGATTAAAGATTATGAAGCTTCCAAGCCACTGTTATCGACGTTTGCGTGGGGACCTAATTGAAGTATACAAGTAAACTCATGGCTTATACAAGGTCCCCGAAGGATTACTAGAATTTGAAACAAGAACTAATAACAGGGGCCACGGATATAAACTAAAATAACTGCACTGCAACTTATCCACACGACAACATTTCTTCTCGCTTCGAATAACCGGAATGTGGAACAACCTCCCCGATTACATCGGTGGTGCTCCAAGTATGAACGCGTTCAAGAACAGACTAGATAAAGCTATGGAAAAATATATGTTCAGATTTGAAATGCCTCGCACCAAATCGAACCTGGTGGAAGTCTAGTAGCTATTTCAAACTATCGTCAGTCTTGAAAATATCCGGTCAAAGGACACGATTTTAGATCTTCTGTGAACAAGTCACGAAATTAATTAAGTGCAAGAATTGGCGACAGGCCACATCAGGCCTACTCTCTTAAGCGCCGACATCACTAAGTTATGTTATGTTATTACGAAATTTATATTAATGCATTGATTCAACTTGATGTAACTCGTTTGCTCTAATCGTCAACTCACTATACATTTCAAATTCAAGAAAATTTTACAAAAATCATGTCCTTGTATAAAACTTTTCGAAGTCTAGCTTAATCGTCAGTTCGAAGATTCTAGAATGCAGAAAAACACAACACGGGCTCACAGTCCGCAGTGGCACTGGCGAAAGCCGTCTTACTGCCGGGCTCACCGGCCGCGGTGGCGCTGGCTAGTGCGGGTTTGCTGCCGGTGCCTACAGGCCACGGTGGCGCTGGCTAGCACCGTTTTCCAGCAAGCTTGGAAGAGCCTTCAGATTGGCAGTGTAACGATCATGACTGGGCTTTGAATTCCAGCAGTTGAGCAAACGGCAGTTTTTCGGTGCCAAGCAGGTAATAGTTATTTATACGATGTTGATTAGGAAACAACTGGATAAATTTGAGAAAAGAAGTTAGAATCACTAGGGTCTTCATCTTTGGTGTTACGCAGGGCGTGATGCGGCTAAGAAGATTCTTCAGGGTCACTAGCCAAAAGTTACCGAAAGCCCAAAAAACACACAAATGTAGGAGGCATGGCATCATAGATTGATAGATTCATCAATCAATCACTATTGCTTTAAATCAATGAAGATTGAATGGTAGCTTGGTATCACATTGCGCTCATTGAGAAGAGGTAGTCTTCGATCCTAAGACGAAAGATGCAGGGTTACAAATTAACTCGTTAATGGACCTTTTCGCCGACTGAAAATTTTTCCTAACATGATATCATTCATAAAACTATCTGTATAGATATAGTGGCAAGCAGTTTTCTTATTACTTGAATAAAACCTTACACCGTCCAACACAATCTTGTCTTCAGAAATTCATCCAGGTTTTTTTTTTACCTATTCTCAGAATTTATTGTTACATCATCTTGTTCGTCGCAATGTCTCATTTAGCAGCCAAAAATTTTGATTAGTGCTAGTACATGGCCTGTTGTTATCACAATGCCATGTGGACGAGCAAAATGAGAATTGTTTGCGGCACTGCCCATTGCCGGCATTCAGAAGAATAAATGGGTCATACTGTCCTAATAGTGACAAACTTTCTCATCCACCTGCAGCATGAGTAAGAAGCAGACGTAACACTGATAAGCCTTTTTTGCCATGCCGATACGGCACTAGCGAGTGCCGTCTTACTGCCGTGAAGCTGTACGTATTTACGTAAGATGGTCTCAAGCTGTACGTATTTACGTAAGATAGTCTCACGCTGTACGTATTTACGTAAGATAGTCTCAAGCTGTACGTTTTTACGTAAGATAGTCTCACGCTGTACGTATTTACATAAGATAGTCTCACGTGGCTGACAATAGATATTATTCCAAGATAAATCACACAAGGGCATAAAGTGTATCTCTACTAGGACTAAATCATGGACACTCATTACTCGATCAGTGTGGGCTCCACAATCAACATCACGCGAACCTTTGCAACGTGGCACATGCCGATTTCCGAAACATGTTTGTTGAAACTATGTTGTTTTTAAAACAAAAAATTAATTCTTTTTCCAATGCCTTTCCCTTTGTTTTTAAAAGAATTATTTCACGTATTTTACGGTTAATCGAGGTTCTCATTAATGCTGACTGAGGAGCAAAGGAGGTCCTATTTTCAACAACTTACTGATTTTTTTTTGCATGTATATGTTCGGTACCCATTGATTCCAATCTATTGCCCGTACATATAATAGTTTTTATACTTCCAACCAGAGATCAAGCCAATGACAGGCACGAGTTAAGATAAACAATGTTACAGGGAACTGTTACTTATTTTCATTATCACAGACCCAAAAATTTCAGAGAATCAATTGTGAAATGGAAAGTTCGACAGGACTGAATTCGAGAGCATTGGAACGCTACACAGTTTTTTTAGGCACGGGAGTTGTCTTTCTATAACATGTAAATTGGTAGTTTTCTTGCCATCACATACCACAAGGAAGATCTTTAGCCAAATGCCACGCAGGGAAGTTTTTTGCCGCCATTACCAACAAAGAAGTTCTTCTGCTTCCATGCATGGCAACTGTTAATCTCTTTGAATTCAAGTTCACTTGGTGTCCTTCCTCGTAGAAATCTTCTATCTACTTTTGAATTCGTATCCTAGTGAAGCCAAATCACAACTTAATTTTGTTAACACTCTGAAGATTTGAAGCTGCTCACATATTTATGTAGTCATCAGAGTATACGTAGTAAATCACGTAATCGTTCAAATTGAGGTTCATCCCAGACAGTAAAGCTCGGCAACCAAGTATCACAGATGTCGTTAGAGATATGATGTTCTAATAATCCACGACGTGCTATTGCGTACAGGAACACAATATATATGCAGGCTGTTGCGCCTCCGGCTCATGATGCAATATGTAGATCGGATCGAAAATTAACCAATACTAACTTCAATAGTGACTCGTTTGAAATTGAGGAATTACGAGGAAAATTTGTCAACTTGCGTGCATGGATTCCCCTTCAATTCGGCAGGTGCACAATCGCGCAGGGTAAAATTTCCAATCGTTCAGTAGCAGTGGACAGTAATAGAATATGTAGAAATAAATTAAAGTAAATGAATTTATGTAGGTAGGAACAAATTTTTACTTATTTAAATTTAAAGAATTTTTTATTTGGAATAAATTCAAAATTTTATAGGAAGAAGTAAATTCTACCTATTAAACTATTGACATCAGGCTAGAACTTCATTATAAATTGATGNTACTGCCGGGCTCACAGGCCGCGGTGGCACTGGCGAGTGCCGTCTTACTGCCGGGCTCACAGGCCGCGGTGGCACTGGCGAGTGCCGTCTTACTGCCGGGCTCACAGGCCGCGGTGGCACTGGCGAGTGCCGTCTTACTGCCGGGCTCACAGGCCGCGGTGGCACTGGCGAGTGCCGTCTTACTGCCGGGCTCACAGGCCGCGGTGGCACTGGCGAGTGCCGTCTTACTGCCGGGCTCACAGGCCGCGGTGGCACTGGCGAGTGCCGTCTTACTGCCGGGCTCACAGGCCGCGGTGGCACTGGCGAGTGCCGTCTTACTGCCGGGCTCACAGGCCGCGGTGGCACTGGCGAGTGCCGTCTTACTGCCGGGCTCACAGGCCGCGGTGGCACTGGCGAGTGCCGTCTTACTGCCGGGCTCACAGGCCGCGGTGGCACTGGCGAGTGCCGTCTTACTGCCGGGCTCACAGGCCGCGGTGGCACTGGCGAGTGCCGTCTTACTGCCGGGCTCACAGGCCGCGGTGGCACTGGCGAGTGCCGTCTTACTGCCGGGCTCACAGGCCGCGGTGGCACTGGCGAATACCGTCTTACTGCCGTGAAGCTGTACGTATTTACGTAAGATAGTCTCATGCTGTACGTATTTACATAAGATATTCTCACGTAGCTGAGAATAAATATTTTTCCAAGATAACCCACACAATGGCATAAAGTGTATCTCTACTAGGACTAAGTCTCTTGGACACTCATTACTCGATCAGTGTGCATGCATGGGCTCCCCATTCAACATCACGCGAGCCTTGCAACGTGGCACATGCCGATGTCCGAAACATGGAAAGAAACTTTTTACATTTTTTGCTGTTTATACAACAAAAAATAAAAAATCAGTTATTTTCCAATGCCTTTCTTTTTGATTTTGAGAGAATTATTTCACGCATTTTACTGTTAATCGATGTTCTCATTAATGGTGACTATGGAGCAAAGGAGGTCCTATTTTCAACAACTTACTGATTTTTCTGCAAATATATGATCGGTACCCATTGATTTCAATTTATTGCCCGTATATATACTCGATTTTATATTTCCAACCAGAGATCAAGCCAATGACAGGCACGAGTTAAGATAAATAATATTCAATGTAATTTGTCACTTCGAGAACATTAGAACGGCAAACAATTTTTACTGGGCACGGGAGTTATTTTTCCAAAGCATGAAAATTTGGAGTTTTTTGCCATCACATGCCATAAGGAAGGTCTCTATATAGCCAACTGACACGCAGGGAAGTTTTTTTGCCACCACTAACAACGCAGAAGTTCTCCTGATTACATGGTCACATGTTGATCTCCTCGAACTCAAGTTTGGTGTCCTTAATCGTAGAAATCTTCCGTCTACCTTGGAATTCGCTTCCTAGTGAAGCCAAATCTGAAATCACCACTGAATTTTTTTAACACTCTCAGAAGATTTGAAGCTGTTCACATATTTATGTAGTCATCAGAGTTTCCGTAGGAAATCATGTAATCGTTCAAATTAAAGTTCTTCCCAGACAGTAAAGCTCGGATGTTAGAGATATGGTGTTATAATAATCCACGACGTGCTATTGCATACAGGAACATAACAAATCTGGAGGCTGTGCACCTCCGGCTCATGATGCAAAATGTAGCTAGGATCAAAAAGTAACCTATTGTGACTTCAATTTGATTTTGTTGTGAAAATTTCTCAGAATTAAAATTTTTACTGAAAATGCAATATAATTCTTCCAAAGTTTCAACAGCGAACACGAATTTACAATATGATTTCCAAAGTGTTTGTTTCGCTGTAAATAAATTCATTGATAGGTGCATTATCTTATCAAAACTATGCTTTCCGCTTTTTAATATTATACCCTAAAAACTTGCTTATTATACCCTATTCACGTGAATAAGAAATTTAGAATTTTCCTATTGAGGAATCACGAGGAAAATTGGTCAACTTGCGTGCATGGATTCCCCACAGCAAATAACCTTCAATTCTGCAGGTGCACAATCGCGCAGGGTAAAATGTCCAATCGTTCAGTAGCAGTAGGCAGTAGTAGAAATAAAATAGATAAAAAAACTTTCAAAAACCACGTTTTCTTAACGGACAAAAAAGAAAAACATTTACTCTTACATAACATTTAAGTTATGTAAAATGTTATGTAATGTTATGTAAGAGTAAATGTTTTTCTTTTTTGTCCGTTAAGAAAACGTGGTTTTTAAATTTTTTTTATTTATTTTATTTCACTATTTTTAATTTTGTAAAAACCAGAAAAACAGGGTTTTTAAAAAAATTTTTAGATTTATTTATTTTCTACTTTCTAGTTAGCAATTTTAGCAATTCAAATCAATTTCCACGGTAGGCAAGTGTGGATGTTCGAGAAAAAACTCAATTCCAAACCATGAATTTTTAGTGTTTTTTTTTTACTTCTAATTTTTTTTTGCAAAAAAAAATTTTTTTTAAATTATTATTTCTGATGATCAAATCTTGAATTGTTAGGCAGCATAAGCATGCATGCCAAATTTCAGCTTACTAGGATGTTTAGAAATGCTCTAAATTAAGGTTTGAATTTTTGATGACAGACGGACACGAAACGAAGTCAAGAAAAACGTGGTAATATGTAGAAATAGATTAAACTAAATGGATTTATGTAGGTAGGAAAACATTTGTACTTATATCTATTAGAATAATTTTTTATTTGAAATAAATTTATAATTCCATAGGTAGAAATAAATTTCCACCAATCAAACTATTAAAATGAGGCTTAAACTTCATTAGAAATTGATGGCATTTTGTTTTCTATAAACGTTAAGCGTATTTTAGCTCACCTACGATGAAGTCGACGATTGTATCCTGAGGCATAACACTCGTAGGATAAACTGTTGGCTGCGTGAATATCCCAGCAATAATAGCAGCTAATTTTGTTATGAGACTCATAACTGATAAAGAGCTCATGGTGACGAAAAGTGTTGAACACTCTACAGCGATTATATATCTACTGGGCTGTACCTTGAGGTAGGTCCTTGAACCTCGGCTATAAGTTTATTTTGTTTCCTTAATGCAAATAAATGAGTCTTTATGCAAACTAAAATATGTATAAGATATCATTAGTAAAATACAGATCTTTGAAGCTTCACACGCCTCGTTGCTGACCGTTGCTGTTGCACTCTGCATCACAGTAAGTTTAATTGTGAGCCCATGCAGAAAACGCTGCGATATAAATACTGGGCCTATAAATCCTTGCCTCGGGCAATGCAAAAACGAGCCAAAACGATGCCCTTCAGTGGACAAAAGACAAAAAAAAACATGTTTTAAATATTCAAACTCTTACTTTCTCGCTCGATCCTCTTACAACATTATGGGGAAACATTAACTTCGAATGATCGAGAAAATTAAGCACTAACCTGCATGCTATACTGCCGTGAAGCTGTACGAATTTACGTAAGATAGTCTCAAGCTGTACGTATTTACGTAAGATAGTCTCACGCTGTGCGTATTTACGTAAGATAGTCTCAAGCTGTACGTATTTACATAAGATATTCTCTGTCTCTTATACACATCTAGATGTGTATAAGAGACAGAATCAAACTATTAAAATGAGGCTTAAACTTCATTAGAAATTGATGGCATTTTGTTTTCTATAAACGTTAAGCGTATTTTAGCTCACCTACGATGAAGTCGACGATTGTATCCTGAGGCATAACACTCGTAGGATAAACTGTTGGCTGCGTGAATATCCCAGCAATAATAGCAGCTAATTTTGTTATGAGACTCATAACTGATAAAGAGCCCATGGTGACGAATTGTGTTGAACACTCTACACTGATTATATATCTACTGGGCTGTACCTTGAGGTAGGTCCTTGAACCTCGGCTATAAGATTATTTTTTTTCTTAATGCAAATAAATGAGTTTTTATGCAAACTAAAATATGTATAAGATATCATTCATAAAACACAGATGACAGATCTATGAGGCTTCACACGCCTCGTTGCTGACCGTTGCTGTTGCACTCTGTACCACAGCAAGTTTGATTGTGAGCCCATGCTGAAAACGCGGCAATATAAATACTGGGCCTATAAATCCTTGCCTCGGGCAATGCAAAATCGAGCCAAAAAGATGCCCTTCAGTGGACAAAAGACAAAAAAAAAACATGTTTTAAATATTCAAACTCTTACTTACTCGCTCGATCCTCTTACAACATTATGGGGAAACATTAACTTCGAATGATTTATTTTAGCTCACCTACGATGAAGTCGACGATTGTATCCTGAGGCATAACACTCGTAGGATAAACTGTTGGCTGCGTGAATATCCCAGCAATAATGGCAGCTAATTTTGTTATGAGACTCATAACTGATAAAGAGCTCATGATGACGAATTGTGTTGAACACTCTACACTGATTATATATCTACTGGGCTGTACCTTGAGGTAGGTCCTTGAACCTCGGCTATAAGTTTATTTTATTTTCTTAATGTAAATAAATGAGTCTTTAAGCGAACTAAAATATGTAAAAGATATCATTCGTAAAACTCAGATCTATGAGGCTTCACACGCCTCGTTGCTGACCGTTGCAGTTGCACTCGATCTGCGCCACAGCAAGTTTGATTGTGAGCCCCATGCAGAAAACGCTGCGATATAAATACTGGACCTATGGATCCTTGCACCGGGCAGAGCAGAAGCTAGCCAAAAAGGTGCACTTCAGTGGACAAAAGACAAAAAAAAAAAACATTCCCTGAGCATTCAAACTATTAACTCTTTCGGTCCTCTAACAACATTGCCGGGAAATAAGAGCCCTACACAGACCTACGCAAGAACTCTTAGGTTTTATCAAATTAATTCCTTAAACTCGACTCATATCAGGCGAATTTTTATAAAACAACGTACTTACCCAAACAACGACATTCAATAAAAAAATTTTGTCTAAGACAATCATTATTCGCTGTCGAATGAAATAAAATGCAGTGAGAATCTTATCATTAATTCGAAAATGTATTGATGAATTTTTGCAAAAAGTCATACCTATATAGTTTTTATTCACTTTGAGACAGTTTTTAAGGGTTTATACTTTACTTAAATTATATCAACGACTGAGAATAAATATTATAAGTAGCCATATTATATAGAATGCCTCAGCTTGACCATTTAGGTTTCTCATAAGGACGATTACGCTCAAAATTAGCTCATATTCAGCTATATATCGAGTCTGTAGCAGTAATTTCGCATCAAATCATCTTCTTTGTCTCAATTTTTCGCAAAAATAACTTACCTTGGGATGCAAGCACTGATCTCATAAAAATTTTTGTTCGCTTCGCCCAGTAAACGATTTTGGAATAAGTATTATGAATTCAAGCGTCGGAATTGACAAATGAAGCAAGAAAATAAGCGAAAATGGAAGATAAATCAAGTTCAATATTATAATATAATATTATATTATTATTATTCAATTCCATATTATTTAGGTGATTATTTCTAACTCCTCTTCTTGTTACTGCAGCTTATTATTCAATGAGAAAGTTAGCCAATCACTATATGGTATAACTTTTTGTCTAATTAATGCCTTAAATTAGTCAGTATTAAGGCCCTTTAATAATTTTCTACGCATAATTAGTGCGTTATCATCTACACTTGGTACACAATTCCCAGAAGACTCAAACATTTGTGGTAATTTATAGAACTTGTTCTACAGTACTGAAAACTACGTATTAAATAATCGCGTTTGTTGAACAAACGCACAAAATTTTTCAACTATTACGGCGAAATTTCTTCTTGTGTTTCACAGTGTTGTTTGTCATGCAGGCAGAAATATGATGACTTTCGTTTCACTAAACGACCTAATTCCATTGGCAAAAAGAAAAGTATTTTCCGTCGTTTAGGAAAAGTTTTTTCCTAAACGACGAGTGGATACTATTTTCTTGAGTCCATCCACGCTCATAGTGAATATTTGCATATTGAATATTTCAGAAGATATATGTAGACTTCATCGTGCTTGTGACAAAAAATTAAGGCATAAAATCTTTTCAGGATTGCCTCACATAATTTCTGCAATAAATCCATGATTTTTGTATACGTGTATGGTGGATAAAGATTTGCAGCATCGCCCATAACGCCTATGGCATACTGGCAATACCAGCACTATTGACGGTTGGCATTGACATCAACCTAAACATAAGCGATGAAGTTCTCTCTCGTCTCGATCAAATGCGTGCAATTTCATTAGTAGACCCAGAGGTTGAATGGATGGAATTTGATGAACTGAGAATAAGTTCTACCAAGCTTGCAGCATATTTAGTTCTGGATCACACTTCCAATCAAACAAAAGATCCCGAACATTATACGAGAGCCCAGTACGGGCTGTGTTACCCTGTAATATTGTGAAGAAGACAAGATACTGAATATTAATATAATCTCTAAGATAAAGATAATGTGTGTCGTGGTATGTCGTTTGGCTCTATAGCCAGAAATACGACCAGTTTTGATCCATGCGGATGCGTTGGCTCCAAGAGGCTTAACCTTGAACGCAACAAGTCTATTCTGTTTTTTAGAAGGAACAATCAAGAAGTTGCGCTGCTCGCTGCATGCTCGGTAAAATTTTGTACACCAGCTGACGGTTTAGTTAAAAGAGTCTTGATAGCTACGCGTCATGAATGTCTGCATAGAGCGGAAATGTTTAAGCCTTTGGTTAAGTCAAGTGTAGGTTATAATTATTTTCACAATAATCTTCAGTTATATTTTGTCGATGAGGTAGGCATTGGTAATACATTAATTAGATCCTGAAAACAATATCGCCGATAAAAACGATTTTCTAGGGATCTCCAATACTAAGACATAGGTGAAATTAAGTGTCGATGGGTATACTGAAATGCAGAGATCTACAACAACTAATTTGGAAAATAGATTAAGAAATTACCGACAAGATTAGCTGAGTTCATTATAACTGTGTCTGGGCCCGACGCTCCTTGAGGTCCCTGTGATTTGTTTTTTATTTGTTTATATTTCTTAGCTTATTTTCGATTCAACTATTATCTGACAAAGAAAAATTATCCTTATTAAGATCATGAGATATATAAAATATAATTCATGACAATTAAAGAAAGATTGGGATGTGCCTGTGTGCTCTTTAATCCTACTAAGATTACAGTTCACGAATCGGTTTAACTTTTAATCAAGTTACCTATGAGATTTTTTGTGAATTATATGACGTATGGATTTAAATACACTGTGAGCACCGTGATAAAATTCTTAGAAGTTCTTATGGATTTGAAGAGGCTCCAAATTCGTTCCTTGTTCTTTGAACTAGAGCACAGAGTGCAGCACAATAAGACCTGAGACTTGTACTCACTACCGAGCTCCTCTCAGTCATTCCAAGCTTCCACGATCTTTATGACTGTTCAATGCACAGCAATATTTCGACGTTCAAGCTAGCATGATTGCTTGTAGAATATTTATTCGTTACACTTAACAAATGTGTGTTTATTCTCTAATTACATTTTAGTCAGAATAGGCACATGAGGACAATGTGCAAAGTTCAAATTGAATGTAGTGAGTGTAAATTACAAATAAAAATCATAGGCTTGAGAGGATCTTTACGAACATCAGGATGGAGATTTTCCTCGAGCCATCGGCGTAATCACTTCTCCTAAGGAAAAGAAGAATTTGAAGAAGATGAATAAGGCAAGAGACCGCACGAAAATCAGGCAGTCCAAAGTGATATATATATGTTCCGAATATATCGATCATTCATTATCAAGCTACAAGACTCATAGAGACTCAATAACGAAACAGAGACTAACGCAAACAGCACAACCATCTGCTAAGAGAATCAAATGACCAGCGGTTATAAAGCAGATGAATACTTCAATCCATCGTTCACAACAATATCGTAAGCGTAACTAATAATAAAATTAAACTACTGATCTGCTATAAAATCAAGAAAATCCAAAATCTTGTAAGGAACATTAACCAGGCAAAAAAAAAACCGGGAGTTTCCACGAGACCAATGTAGTCTATAAATTTTTCTGCAATAGAGAAGGTTGTAGACTTGAAGGTGAACCTTGAAGGTTGAAGGCGGCACGTCTCACGTGCCACCTTCAGTCTGGTGGACCAAGGAACCACCAGATCAGGCCCACAACGAGACCATCACTCGTATGGTGCTGGAAGATGGATACATTCGAAACGTGGTTAACGAAATAAAAATGTCCATCGGTACCCTGATTTTCGATTTACCAGTGCAAACGAAAAATATATTGTTGATAAATTGGAAAAAATAATAAGAAAATTTTCAATAGAACAAATTATCTGGTCTTCAACGAAACCTGCTTAATATCAATGAGCGACAAAACGGTTAAATAATAAATAACAGATTTATTTCTATGGTCATGGGCATCGACGTTAATGACAAGGCATGGCATTTTCTTTGCAATCAAATTCTTGGTGAGCTTGTGATTTAAAAATAATAATGATTTTATTACTTGCATACGATCTATATATGAATTTTTAAATAATAAGCATTTTCGAGCTCAAGATGGGAATTCTTAATTAAGGAGTAATTTCGAGTTCACTATTTATCCTAACCCATTATCAATAAAGAAATTTTAGCTCATTGCCGGAACCAATAATAAAACGCACTCAATAATCAACTAAAAGCACAAGGTAGAAAAAATTCCATTATTCATGTAAACTTATACTGCAATGGCAAAAAAATAAGACCGAGATTTGTTTTCTGAAATATCACAATTGAGAGTCAATATTACTTCTTAGAATCACTCATAGTGACTCACAGTCGCAAAATGAAGCAATACCGTCAGAAGCATCCAGCTAAAATTATTTCCATGTCCGGAGGAATTTTATTTCGATAATGAAATCAATCTGAATCTGGATGACTATTAAAGAAACACATCTGAATTTTCAACCTTAAAGTCAACATGGACTGCAGATAAATTTGAAGCTGGACAATCAGGGCCTATACTTTCAAATAAAGTTAAGAGATCGTAAGTTCATCAGCCAATCATTGACGGTCCTTCAAGCAAAATCCACCAATGATAAACAAGAAAATAGAGCGTAAGTACTTACGTTCACTTAGCGAGTTTTGAAAGTATGGCCTCAGATCTTGCCGTAATCTTCCTTGATGAGGTCAGCTGCTCTCTCAGCAATCATGACCGTGGGGGCGTTCGTATTGCCTGGTATGAATTAAAACGCAAAGAGAAGTCATGAGAAAATGATATTCGATAAAAATTTATGAGCGATACTTTCAAAATTTCATAACCTATTTAAACTTTGCCAGCTTTTGAGTCCTATATTTGCCGATTGTTAAACATTCAAGAATTAATTTATAATTTAGATGTTGATTACCTGATGTAATAGAGGGCATTATGGACGCGTCGATGACTCGTAGATTCTTGACACCTCGTACACTGAAAAATATGTACATAAATATTATTGTTCGTATCAGAAGGCAGAATAAGCTTGTTTCAACACGGGTGGTTAATGGCCAGAGAATTCGCCAATTTAAATTTTCAGGGTCGAACAATATTCTTCACATGACATTAGCTGATCAAAATGCAGATTCAAGGGAGTAATATCAATTTGTTAACGACGTTTCGAATGTAACAACATTCATTTTCAAGTTACAGGAAGCATTGAATACAGAAATTTTGATGGAAATAAGTACATGATACAAGTAAATAGGACACAACAAGAAAAAAAAATTGCTTCCTGTAACTTGAAAATGAATGTTGTTACATTCGAAACGTCGTTAATAAATTGATATTACTCCCTTGAATCTGCATTTTGATCAGCTAATGTCATCTGAAGAATATTGTTCGACCCTGAAAATTTAAATTGACGAATTCTCTGGCCATTAACCACCCGTGTTGAAATGTTATTGTTTAGCTGAATTTAGGATTGTTTGACTTGTTATGAAAAATACCTGCTGTGCCAGATATGAATGCTTAATTTATTCACTTCCAAAACAAACTTATAAAAAATTCATGTATTATTAATAACCGAAGAGACCTGATTCATGCTAGACCTAATGAACATAGTCGTACAGATGTGGTGTCAATGTACTTTTGCATTGATGTACATACATTGGCCCAAAAATTATTAGTAAAACGTTTGGATCTATTTTCCATGCATTAATAACAATCTTTTTATTACTAATTTACTCAGTATTATAACATGGGAATATTTTTACCCCATGATGCCCTAAATGAGATGAAAGTCAAATATTTTTTGTTAAACTCATGTCTTGTTGAAACTAATTTCTAGCAAGTTATTTGATTGTAGAGCTAAATAAATCTCAACGTCGATGTTGTGATTGGTTCAAGTTGATTCAATTCGATGTTACATAATATCAATTTGAAATTATTAAAGGTCGAAAACGCATTAATTTTAGCCCACACTTGATCTTCCATCTAATGAAAAGTGTCCCAAATAAGATTATAGATAAATATTCATCAAGTGAGATTATTATGAATTTCATCCTATCAGAATTTATTTTTAATTATCAGTTTATACCAACAAAAGTACTTATTTTGTTTAAATGGTGCATATTCCTTTTAAACTTTTTCAGAAGATATCATGTACTAATAATATAATGTGTAAGTTATAATTTAATTGGTGTTCCAGCTAATTGAGGCTATCATATTCTCAACACTTGTTAAACTTTACTTGATTCAAGTCAATTCTTTTTTGAACTTGATTCAATTCAAACAATTTTCTTGGGGAAAACTTTTAGCTAAAAATCACAGATCGTCTTCGTGAAATTTCACGAGCCTGATTCGGGAGGCAAGAATCGTGATAAAGTTGTTTCCAGTCCTGCCCAAAACGCCTCATCGCAGTTATTACCCGAGTATATAGCTTGCTTCCACTGTCCCATACCAAGTCCCTGGTAATTGCAATATAATATAATATTATATTATTTTATATAATATAATATTAAATTATATTATATTATTTTATATTATACTATAGTGAAGGGGTACTAACTTCAATTGATCTTACTTAAGTCTTGGCGTCACAACTGCCATGGGGTCAGAGTCGGGAGCCATCTTGCAGGTGCCGGTCATATGAGCAGTGACTGTGCTCATCCCGACGACGAAGCAGCGCCAGTAGTCGTCAGACTCGAACTCGAAATGCGCGCAGTCAGGAATCGGCTGAAGGAAAAACCGGGCAATTTATGATTCATTCGTGTAAGGACGGCGACGAAAGTCTTTTTATAAAAGGAGAATAAAATTCGTGCTACGAAGAGTTCATTAGGATTTGATGTGTTACAAAATTAAGGAGCAAGGTTTGTTCCACTTCAACCTTGGTCACGCATAATGAGCCTATAATTTTGCTTGAATAAGTTGTGATAATTGAGTTATAATATTAGAACAAAATTGCGCCGCAGGAAACTCAATACATAAAAAATGTCAACGATCTTCTAAGAAAACCTGATGGTTAAGCCGTTAAATAAAAACTGTTTACAGCCCTTCTTCGGTTGTTTTTTGGACGAATGACATAACTTAATCCCTGTCATTAGTCATCTATAGATTCTTTACCCAAAAATTATTACACGCCAACTGATTAGCGATTAATCCTGTATTTTTTAACACCGTTTTCCAGGAATTTTTGTCTTATTATTGAGAACACCTGAATATTTTATTGAAACTTTGCCTCGATTCATTAATAGATACGCTATCAATGCGGCCCATAGCACTTTCTTACAGAAATTATTGTTACGAAATCTTTATGCTAAAAACTTAAGCAAGAAAGGAATATCTATGTTTAGGGTATCAATGAAGCATGTTGTAGGAATGCCATTAGAAGTATATTTAAATTAAAAGATTCTTCAATACCATAAAATGACTTAGACAGGAAATTTAAGTGGGTACTCACATCACGGAAAGGCTCAGCCCCGAGCGCTCGACGGAAGGCCTTCGCATTACCCAGTTTGCGAGACGCTTTGGCTGCTGTAAATATTGAATTAATTTGTGAATAAACATAGATATGGTAAGCATGATGTCTGTTAGGTTTAAAATGATAATATATGACTATTTTGAGTTGACCTTATTTTGATGAGAGAGATAGATATGCGGAATTATTGGCAGAAGCTGGTAAAAGATAAAATATCGGCCTTAAATATTAAAACAGTGAAGATTTTACTGTGTTTCTGGTCTTTTTTAGAAAATAAAAAATAAATTATATTTTTAATTTTTACTGTTTTAATGGAAGTCACTCTGTTATTCATTATCTAGACTGCCGCAAGGTTCGGTCCCTACATATTACATCCTTCATTCTATCAATGATAATTTGCAAATTTGCTCAATATCATATTTTCTGGTAACACACAGGCAAAGTCGCTCATCAACTGAAATAGTTTTCTTGGCCTCAGGGAAATTCGAAATACAGGGAAATCAAATTCAGGGAAATTCGACTTCCAAATTTTCGAGTGGTCGGATCTTCCGCGTTATGCAGTAACCCACACTAATTGACAAGCCTTGCCCACATTGGCGATTGACTGGGCAGGGATCCACTAATAATATGTGTAAATAATGATGACGGCAAATTAGACTGGTCGAACTTGACTATGTCTTCTCTTACACTAAAATGAAAACAAATTTCACTTTAATTTTATTACTTCTGTTCCTACTCCTATAACTCCTACTCCCTAAACAAAACGTGCTGAGACTCGAAAACGGATGCTTTACAAAAGCCCGCAAATAGATGATCAGTTGCTCAAAAAGAGCGCGTTCTTCGAGCTTAAAAATCATTCGACCCTAGTTATGACTTAATTATCATTTTCGGGAGCCTCACGTTATCCCGACAGTTAAACACGACTTGAGCCCATATAGCCAGTGCATATATAGTAGTTTAGTTTGGTCCAACCTACCTACTTCAGGCAGTCAATCTCGAGAAGGCATCATAATCATGACGAAATTCAAGTCGACTCTCGTATCTGTGAATTGCATACCTGCCCTGTCTATACTCTATAAAAAAGTGTTTATAACTGTGCTGACTATCAGAACCTGGGTCCAAGCATTCGTAAATCAATCTATTCAAATCCATCTGCCACCATATCTATCTTTCTATAGTATCTGTAACCAAGAATCACTATTTCCATAATTCACGCATCAAAGTGTCTCTTATAAAATTAAAGAATGATGAAAGAAATGCCTTCACCAATAGTTTCCCTTACTTACCTTTGATCATAAGAGAAAGATCATCGGGATGACTTAGGCAGTTGGGATCAACGATGGGCGGGTCAAGCGGGTTCCTCGACCTGAGCGTTATCGAACCAACACTCTTGGGTCTGGCGAGCATTGGGATCATTGAGAATCCATCTCTCCCGAAAACGGGCCGATAATAATCTCGAACCTAAAAAATACCATGAGTTGATAAATCTCGGGTAATTACCTTGTGCACTTTGTTTAACATGAATTTTGAAGTAATTGCGAAGTATTAAGCTTTAACAAGTCACTCTACGTACACTTCTGTATTTGTCACTTTTTTGTTCGTCTTAGAATTGACATTGGCAGACTAATTTGTCTACATGATGGGTTTTTTAATGCGTCTAATTCACAAGCGTCAGATGAATCAAGTTGGGAAAATAATTGTTTTAAAATAATTTTGAAATGAAATTATCCAAGACGAACCGATTGCTGGTATCCTGAGAGGGCCATGAGCCCGTAATCCTGGCCTTCCAGTGCGCAGCCCATGTTGATTTGAGTGTCCGGAACATGAGGCTCCTGAGGGCTGCCGATGTTCAGGTGGTACAAAGCGCAAACTCCGAGAGGAGAGGCCAACGGTCCTGTCAACCGAACAAGTGATTGTTTTATCGTCATCGAACATCGAATAAGTTTAACAATTATTGGTTGAGATATAAATATCTTCAGAAGCTTTTGAAGATAGTACAACAGAAAGGCCACCATTGATTCGTCCAGGGCTCGAATTGGTGGCTATATATCCGTTAATTATTGTCAAATCAGTCGCCTTGTGCTCTAAAATTCTGGTCGAAACGGTCGCTTTGCATCCGCAAATTATTGTAGAATTAGTCGCCACACTGATGCTGTCACCTGATCTCCTTTCTTTATAGTTCAGCATGGCTTTTATTCCAATACGGGAAAAAATTGAAGACGAGACGTTGGGATGAATGGTCCAACTTATTCCATAGACCATGACGTGGTCTTGGTAATTTTGTCCAACTCCTGGCAGGTTGACTCGAGATTTGATCTGCAATACAAAGCGAAATTTTGTCACTATAAAATACTCGTAATAAATTAATTCTATGATGACACTATAACTCTTAACTAGTAGAGATAACTACAATTTATTGATAGAATGTGCAACGGAATTGATTCTACTTGCATCTTCTGCATTACAAGGAAATTAGCAATTTTTTACAATGCTTTATTTACCCCTAACTTTTCCAAGTGTTCCTTAGGTCCAATCCCTGACAGCATCAGCAGCTTGGGAGAATCAGCAGCACCTGCTGATATGATCACTTCTCGTTGTGCGAACGCTCGCTTCACCTGATGATTTATAAATGAGCTATTACTACAACAAGTAAAAAGAACTATTGCGTACTGAAATTTGAATCCACTGAATATGATTTTATACTTTTTCAGTCACTCTTACCTTATTGTGCGTGATGAAACGATTAGAACCTATGAGTAGCCCAACTAGATTTTCCTTTTTGAGGCAATGCTTTATGCGCTGCTAGCTATGATTTTAAAAAGTAAATAAGTAAACTCACTTTTTCATCAACGTAAATAAGCCTGATCATTTATACTTTTTGTTCTTGAACGCATTTCAAATCGAATCAATTAGTTGTTTATAAATTTTATATCTTAGGTATCGCTTGTACATCATTTTTGGTCGTTCTCACATATGTAATTAAATAAATGAGCTGTTAGATACGGAAAGCCGTGCTTTTTCGTTCTCGAGTAGAATAAGACAACTGTTTTCTGCAAGCCAATAAAGAGAAAAATTATAAAGATATTCACCTTGTGATTGTGAACATATTTCACTCCAATAGCCTTGTTGTCTGCGTTCAAGATGATCTGTCAAAAAAGGAAATTGTTTCATTCATAATTTCATCCATTATGATATTGTTTATGTTGAATGTTCATCTGCATTAGTAAATCCCGTTTCGTGATTTTTATCCACGAGCCCTTGACTTGCCAGAGCGGTCAAAATTGAAGGACTGAATTTTTGCAAAATTTGAGAACCGAAACGCCGAGTAAATTTACCATATCATCATCGAAAATCGAAAACGTCTTTGAGACCAGCACCATCATCAGTTTCAAAATTGGAAAAACGCAATCACAATCAATGGTGAGAGAAAAATTTATAGGAAACGGAGTAAATACTGATCACTGAATAAACGTGTCAGAGAACATGAAACCTATCGATCATTAAAACTCCCTTTCGTTATTACAGAATCAATAGAAACCATCGTTGGCTTATATATGGCATAACAAAACCCGATATGTATACGCGTAACTAAACATAAAATCTTGTTCGATATACGTTGGAAGACATAAATTTGGCCAAGTTCCTCACCTCTATCACTTGTGAGTTGGTTTGTAACTTGAGGTTTCGACGACGTAGGCCTGGCAACAGAAACGCGTCGGCTGATGACATTCGCTCGCGGTTCTTGATCGCGAGTTGGAAAACGGAACTGCCTGCAAAGTGATGCAAAAAAGAACGAGATGATGTGAAAAATATGATATCATAGCTTGTTAAAGAAACTTGCGTGATAGTGTAGTTCAACATTATAACTAATTGATTCAAACTCACAGATACCTACTAAACACTTGCCGAGCTTCTACGAATGTTGTGAGTATTTTTGCTTATAAAAAACTTTTTGGATTAACAAGCAGCGATACAAGCAAAAAATTTGAATTTTAAATCCCGAAACTGAATCTGCTCCTTTTTGAGTGTGTCAAAAAATGATATTTTGTCCACAGCGTCTGGTCATCGATTGTTGATTGATCATAGAATGATCGGATATAGGACTATACCAAGCTGTGTGACTATACAACTGTTGAGCTGTGACTTGGGCTGCAACGCGAAGTTGTGTGTGAATCGAACGCGGTGAACTGGATTTCCAGTTCATGAATCTTGGGCTACAAAGTTTGGGGAACTTTGTCACCCATTTTATCCTCCTTCACAATACATTCTGCAATGTCTTCAAGATTGTTTCTGAATCTAATTCTTTCATTATACCTATTACCTACATGGATAAATTTAATTATATTTTATTTATTTATTTTCTAGCTTTTTAAATTATTTAAGTTCATGTTAATTGATCATTTTATAATTAAAACTAATGGTTATATGTGTTCAAGGTTATATTTAATAAGGGGAGCGTCTATGTGGTGAAAAAACTTTTTTATTTACGGACGGATCTCTTTGAAACTTGGTACACCTATTTAAAACAGAATTCAAAGACTTTTTTGTTCGTGTCAATTTTTCGAAAAATGAAAGAAAACGTGCAATTCTTAGAAAACGGCAAAAAAGAGGGCACTATATAGAAATCAATCTCTTCCCAGGATTTTGAAGCTACAACATCGAGACGCATATCATTCGATGCGTAAGGACAAGATCTATCAATTCGTCGTAGTTTCTTTTACGAATTTTTGTGGATGGGAGAGCATTTTTAGCAAAATTTTCGAAAATTTTTCGATTTTCCCCTTTCAAAATATTTCCAAAACTATAACGAAATTGAAAAAAAAACTACTACCAATCTCTAGATATTTTAATTGCGAATCGAATGGTATATGTCTCATTGCTTTAGCTTTAAAACTCTAGGAGGAGATAGGTTTGCCGTGACAATAAATGTGAATGTTCAGGAGAACGCGACAGTCCCGCGCGCATGGCAATAGGCACTCAATGTAGCAGGGATACGAAACTAAACGTTACTGGAGCTTGATTCCAGTCAAGGATGGTGGGAGCGACTGCATGCACACCACCCCACACGACGCCAGGTGGGTAACTGAACTGCAGCTCGAGCAAACACTCTATTTAAGTGCTCGGCAGCTAATTTCCCCCTATCTTATTTGTTTAAGAACTTCCCCACCCCCCTCCCTTTCGGGATGTGTCGTGAACGCGTAAATCAACGTACAGAGATGGTGTTGGTACCGTTGGATAGCTCAGAATGTCAGCTTTAAGATGAGACTAAAAACCGGAAAAGCCAATACTGTTGATTTTCCACCTAGACGCTCCCCTTTAAAACTGGAACATTTCAGATTTCAACATAAACTTTATTTTTGCGTATTCTCTGATGATGAATTAATAATAAAACAGTCATGACCATTTATAACGAGGATTTGAGTGACAACCTAGTCACTCGGTCAAAACTATTTCACAATAACTTTCGGGGCTATATACGATGCATACTAAACATATGCAGCCTACCTATATTTTTGGGGCTCATTTTGTCAGTATTGTTATGCATCACTGACCAATATTAGTGACCAATATTAGTCATGTATCACTGACCAATATTAGTGACCCATATTAGTCATGTATCACAAACCAATATTGGTCATATATCACTGACCAATATTAGTGATCAATATTAGTCATGCATCACTAACCAATATTAGTGACCCATATTAGTCATGTATCACTAACCAATATTAGTGACCAATATTGGTCATGCATCACTGACCAATATTAGTGTCGGTGTTGTAGTCAACCTCCCGCAGCCCCATCTCCTCGCCCGCTGCGATGGCCACTCGCCCCGCTGGAGGCATCCAGGGAATTTTCTCCACCCCAAGAGGTCCCCCGAACCCACGGAACGGCGCTGCACAGAAAACCAAATAATTATTAACATTATCGTCAATTGAAGGAAGAAGTGTTGCCGCTTATTATTAAAACCCGGAATGTAATGTTATTATTATTATTAATGGTATTATTATTATTATTTGTATTATTATCATGATAATTATCATTATTATTATTATTTCGTTATTATTAACGGTATTATTATTTTTTTTGTTACATGATAGAGTGTTATCGCTTTGAAAATCATATAAGGCTTAAGCAATAACTTTTCCACAATTTTCATTTCGGCCATAATTTTTCATAATAAGGTCACTGACGCGTACAAAAATAAATATTTGGTTTAAGCTGTAAAGAAAGTAGCAGCAAGTTGAAAAATAGTTCAAAACTATACGTTCAAACCCCATTACGTAACAGATCCGCAGTCAGATTTCAATCCCAGCGGGAAGGATCACTTTCCGTGGCAGGGCCAAGGCTGTTCAACGTCCTACCAAAGGATCTAAGAGAGGGAGACTTCACCCTGGAGACCTTCAAGATACAACTGGACGTTTTCCTGGGCACAATCCCAGATCGACCTCCCCTGCAACACTACCAGCGGTGAGAAGCAAGCAACAATATCGTGCATCAGGTGGCCCAAATGAGGGCGGATGAACGATAATCAGAGGCGGCGATCCATCGTGGCCTGGGACTGCTATGTCCAAACAAGTACCAAGATTACCAAGATATGATTTTCTTTAGTGCTATTAGCAACATTACGATATTTGTTTCTGATATTGCGCGAAGATTATAATTCCTAATCGAGTTTACAAGACAGAGTTAAACCAAAATTGTCCACCACTAAGTATGAAGAGAAATGATGTTTTCTCACCATCTCGGGACTTGAGAGGACCCTGGTAGTCTTCGGATTTCTTGAAATACTTCAGGACAGTTTCATAATCCCAGCCTGGATTGCCTTGCGCTGCCCAGTTTCCGTAATCCTGAGGATTGCCGCGATGATGCATCATCTGGTTGATGGTGCCTGTTCCACCAATCACTTTCCCCCTCGTGTACTCGACTGCCTAAAAAGACGATTTTGATATGAACAAGTCCAGAAAAAAAATTATGATTGCAATTCAATAACAAAAAAATAAAATTTATTTATGATCGAGTCGATACGATAAAATATGTTATTTCATCACTAAATGCGTCTTCTATTTCCCGCTGTGCAATTCTTAGTTTCAATTGTTAAGTTAAGAAATATTTTCTAAAGCTAGAAGCTACAACTGGCAACTTTACACGAATTTAGATTCACATCCTATAAATGCAAAAATTCATCAGAAATAAAACATCCGCTGGAATACTTCTCGGGAATAATTCTAACTTGGTTTATCCTAAATTTGGAGGAGTATTTCTGAGGAGGCGTCTTGTATTCGTAAGTGTAAGACGAGTTTGGAAACTCGGCGCCAAAGTTGAGGCCTGGAATTTTGGCAAAAGCCGGGGGTTGTCCTCCGGCCTCCAACACCAGCACATCCCATTCCGGCACCTCGGAGAGTCGCCCCGCCACTACACTGCCCGCCGAGCCGGAACCAACTGCACAATTGACAATAATAATGACAATAGAGGCTTCAGCGTTCATTGAGCCGTTCCTTAAGATCGCAGAACATTCCCAGCTTGTTGCGGTCTCGAATACGCAACTCACTGCTCCAATTTTGTTTTTCTTAACCGCCCGGCCTTCTCGCCGATTCTGACCAGAAACTGGCGCACAGAGCTGGGATCGAACATGCACCTCTCTACTCCAATCCTGGTACTCTGAACTGTAACCAATAGGCCACCCTGCCCTTGGTAATTGACAATAACAAAGCTGAAAACTAAAAGTAACTAAGCAGGCACATGAATGTTAGGGTAACATGGGGCAGCGAGCCCACTGCGGGTCACGGGCCCATAGCGGGTTTCTCGCTAAGTATGGCAGATATTGGTCCGTGTTCTCTACCGCCGGTCGACAGTTTCACTGGGATGAAGTGTGGCAATGGGCCCATTTTGACACTTTTTACAAAATAGTGTTTCATTAAAAATTGAATAACTCTATAGGCGTCTAATTCACATCATACATTCCTCATTAGTTGCACCTTTAAACAAAACAAAGAACCACCTCGTATCAATTAAAACTTCATCAAAAATTAAGTTTAAAAAAAGTGGGGGGCGCGCTGCCCCACGTTACCCTATAATTAGTGAATGTTCCTCAAACGAAACTCGACCATAAGGTAAAAAGAACTTGAAAAGTTAAAGTAGAGGAACTGTGTCGCCCAAAGGACACCGAATTGCATTTGGTTGCGTGATGTCCGTCGCATATTCTACTGTGAATTCAGCTGGATATACGATTGGAAGGTCCAGTCATGTACGATTGATCAAAAGTTTGGTAAATAGTTTGTCTACATTTTCAAGTTATAGTTTGTCAACTTCATTGAAACTACAATATTCACAGTTGTGGAGCAATAATCAAGTTTTACTTGAATGAATATTCTCTTTTTTTTCCACTAATGACCAAGTGGTTGTACAATTTCTCTTGCTATAAAAACTGTAGGAAAAACTTTACTGGGCGCCGCAAAAACTAGTCCTGTCGAACGTGATCAAGCGTAATTCACTAAAATAAACATAAAAACACTCCATAATTTCAGCCCATTGCCGCTATATTCAGTAGTTTGACTTCTTTTTACCGGCCTATCAATGACCACATATATGAGGCCACTGCTAAACTTTTTACGGAAGTGAGAGGAAGTGTATCTCAATATAGTCGAGAATAAAATGAAGTGTTTCCGCAAATAATTATTTTATAATGTATAATTAAGCTATTTATGTGAATTTATAGAATTTATATAATTACATTTAAATGAATTTATATAATTTATATTTATTTTGCGCACGCTCAAGTAGGAAAAGTTCGTGCGGTTTTGCCTATTCTGGAAATTGATGTAATATACTTACAGAGAGTGAATAAATCTGTAAGTCCACAGGTAAGAGGTGATTGTATCTGCTAAAATATCTCTAAACTTCCCGTGTCTTTTATAATCTACGCCTAAGATTCTGCACATCTCATAGACACCAATACGAACATAAAATATGAGTGTCACAGATGACTGTATAGTAGAAGTGAAAAGTTCGTTATCCCATTGAGTGGGCCCTTTGACTCGATCGCTCGAACTCGCTGGCTACTGCATCAAACTTGCCAAATTAAGGGAATTATGGATACACTGGGAGATTTATCGAGGAAATGATGGAGAGCGTTGACGTTGAATAATAATAATTTTCAGGCTCGTAGCATTCGATTCCGTCAAATTATTTTGTCGAAAAAAAATTAAATATGTTTGTCTAAAAATTAAAACAGTAATTACAGCTTGCGCTGTAGCTGCCCAATGAGTGCATTTTATATTCAGGCTGTGAATGTACGTCTCCGTACAAGAGTTTCAAATCAAGGATCCAATATTCGCAGCAAAATGTATCTATGATACACAGTCTTTGAACTTTTTCCGATAACTGTGCAATCCCATATCGCTCGTACATTGTTTCAGTAAAGTTTCATTTAGAACATTTCACAGAAACTTTACTTTCACTCATAATGAATATATTGCTATTTAATAAAATCGTCCCCAAGTATAAGGCTGCTATAAGCAGTTGATCCCTAATACTCACCCACTATAAAATCTACAATTATATCCGCAGGCATGACACTCGATGGATATCGTACTGGCTGGATGGAAGTTCCGGCAATTATAGCCGTTAATTTCGCCAAAATGTTAGTTAAAAAACTGGTAACCATTTTTAATATTTCCTGACAATTCAAATTAAAAACTTTTCAAAAAGTCTGTCAGTGTATTTTTTTAAATCTAAATTTAGGATTACTCGTGTGAATTTTTAATTGGTTCTAGGTGGAAATTCGATTACTCGTTCCTGGTCTGTAGTTAAGTTTTTCGGATGACAGAAAAAGCAACACTCTTCTACTACACAGGATTCGGCGCACTATTATAGTCGAGCTTTACATAGGGAGCGAAGACTGTCAACTTTTTCCCTGTTCTTAAGGGAAGACCCAGCCGGTCTGATCTAACTTTCCGGGCAAAACTGGCTAAAATTGCATAAGTTAATTTTATTATATTATACATTGGTTTTTCTTTTGAATGTGTTAAAATGATTGCGCTGTAAATAAATTTAACAGAGGCTATAAGAAAATGTACAAATAATAACTTTTGTGTTAGGATATTATATGCACCTGAAACAAGAATTTACAATTCTTGCCTGGAAGGAAAATCAAATCCGATAAAGATTTACTTATGAACTTATACCTTTTCGTTTGAAAACGAAAAATTAATGGGAATTTTAGGTTCGAAGTGGGATTGTCATTGTCATCCGCTGATGAACAGATGAGCTTCCAAGCCTCTGTTATCGACTTCTGCGTGGTGACCCATTGAGTTCATAACGGAATTTTTCTTTTAGAATCTAGAATTTGTGCTTAATTCTAAGCTAATTTTCGAATTAATTGCGTTTGACAGAACAAATTACTTAACTGTCGAAAGTATGAAAAAGTTAACGTGTTGGTGTATAGGTAGAATGTACACTAAATTTTTGCTGAAGTAGATATTGTAATGAAAATGTTACTGTAATCACGAATCAAAACTATGTTTTCGGTCTCAGTAAATATTATTGGCTATGCTTTGAAGCAGGAGTGCGAAATATTTAAAATAAAAATCATTCAGAAGTTCATGAATATAATGTATTACGTTTTCGTTTAGAATGAACTATTATGGCCGTGGTCGACTTAATACGCAAGTTCGCTAATTTGTCCTAATTAACAAATGTGTATATCACATCATTCATCAAGCGCGGTTAGATTTCCTCTCACCCGAGCCTGTAATGCTGCTAATGCCACATGGGTGTTTGCATGGGGTTTAGGAAATTTTCAAGCCTTTGTCTCATGATGAAGCTGCTGTCGAAAGCAAGGTAATATTGGTATGAAAGTATTGAAGTTTTTTGGTCTATGCGAGACTTATTGTTTTTTCAAATAATTTAATCTGTGCCTTAATAATTCCAATGCACGCGCGACATATGAAAGCGAGACAGTTCCAATATATAAAATACATTAAAATAATATGAAGAAATGAATTTAATATTTCAACTCAATTATTCTGGTCGATGACCCTCTGCAATATTTTTATTCATGCATGCACATTTTTTCATCATGATAAGCAATGATGAGCAGAGGCTAGAAAATTGTACGCAGCTTTAAACGCAATTGTACATCATGAGAAAAGTGATGCGTGCAAACTGCGCAGAATAAACTGCATAAAATTATAGCTAACTCGGCAAGACGACATTGAGTCGAGGGACTGGTTCAGGCGTACGGATTAAACTCAAATGCCAGCGAAACGCTAATTATAGCATAGAACGCTAGTTATAGCATTATAGCATAGATATATTTTATTCGATCATAAGCAGAAATAATTCTAGAAAATAAGTATTGAAACTCCGAACATTATAAATTGAAATTGGCAGTGGCTTCACAGTCATTTAACTTCTTTTCTTGTCACATCGGAAACAGTTATGTGTATGTATGTGTGTTTGAGTGACAGCCGACAGACTGTGGGGCCAATGACAGATATCTATATCAAGACTGCTGCAATCAGACTTGAACAATAAACTCGGATTAAAATTAGCCGTGATACTTTATTTTGTTTTAGCTTTATTTTAATTCGCGCACTCAGTTAGCTCGTTCAAAACATGGTCAGGCATTCCAACACTCCCTGGCCGAACTCTGGGCGACGTAAATAAAACGTTTTTGTTTTCCAAATTAGGTGCTGTAACTTTCCGGACTGGTTTTTATTTAGGATTTAACCTTGTCTTCTGAATGCCTGGGATGATACGATGATATGTATCCAGCATGCAAATGATGAGCAGGATATAATGAGATGATGATAGGATGACAAATGATGAGATGACGATAGGATGGCAAATGATGAGAGGATGATTGGATAGGCATCCAGCTTATGAAACGATGCTTTAGCAGGTATGTATTTTATTAGAATACACGAATAAACGAGACATCCACAATAAGTAAGTGGACCGATATTCAACGACAATATTATACATAACTGACTTGAATAAATTAGTTCGTTGGCATAAAAAGTTGAAGGATCCTCCTGTTCGTCTAGCATTCATTGTTCAGCTCGCGCTTCATTTAATGTGTGCAAATGTGCAGCAGGTAATTGCACTGTTTTTCATTATGATAATTATTATTCCTTCTGTAAACCGCGTCAACAAGTTTTCTGGTTTACTGTACATATTATGTACGGTTTTACAATAACTACCTACAATTAATGGCTATTTTTAAACTTGCGTTCCAATTGAACAGTCAAATTTATCGCTATACGCTGAGTTTTTTTACAGGAATCTCGAGGCGACGGGAACAAGGACTCTACGTCACATCAAGGTTTAAAGGGCCAATTAAACATCAGTATAAGTCTATTGAATACCATGATTCAGCCTAATTGTGTAGAAGGTAGGACCGAACGACACGTCCAAACAATGGTGCATTAATTGCATTCGATGAGCAAGGAATTTACGCTGTTTGTTTATTGAATACAATTAACACATCGTGTTTCCTTGTCTTATCATTCAATGACGTCATGTAAGACTCTTTAATAATATTTTACTGAAATTTCCACAGCGTATTTCATTATCTCTTGTTCATAAGTTCACGTGGTTTATCCAATTTGCTTGTCAGTTTATTGTGATGAGTCAGCTCGCTGATACCTGACTTATACCAATATAGTGACAGTGCCCAAACTATTACCATCGGAGTGCAAACGATTATTGTACCAATTTAAATGAAATAATCAGTGATATATGTAAGTTACGTAGTTAGATTGTTTTATTTTCTCAGATTTTATTATTTTTGATGGCATAACTTTATGCCAACTGCGACATGATCCCTACAAAATTGATGATTTTTCTAAACCAAGGCCCACATACTAAAGCCACCATGCAGGGAATAAAACTACGTTCAAAATCATGAAGTTGCTTTTTTAAAAGTGATTTTTAAATCTTAACGGATGGATATAATTTCTGTCAAGTCCAATAAATAAAGTCATTCAAACATACAATCCATGCAGGATGGGATTTCTAAATGGGATTATCAAGGATGGGATTATCTATGGGATTTCTAAAGCCTATTTAGACAAGCAAGTAAAATGTTTCACGATAGTTGTGTAATTACTCAATCGTGCTTCGATTTGAGACTCTCGCTAGCTCTACTATAAAATTCAGTTCTAGGCACAGTATTTAATCTAAGCTAATTGTAAGATCTAAATCTTGTAATTAGCTAATTTTTGGAACAAATTTATAGCGGAACGGTTGGTTCGATAACGTTACAATTTAAGTGAACTGCGAGCGGGGATTGTAACACATTTTCCAAGAATAATGATCAATATGTATTTGTTTATAAAGTATGAAGATTGCACGCAAACATCGGCGGGCAAGATTGTAGTGAAAGGACGGGTAACTGAACTAACGAAGAAAGAAAAAATCTATCTCTAAGAAGTTCGGATGGTTGTCTGACTGCAAACTATTTGAGGACAAAATGAATGTTGAATAATTTAATGAATAATGAATATCGGCGGTCCCTACAAGAGCTCGCATGGGGCTGTATCTCCTCACATCGCCTTAGCCTCGTCTTCCTCATTAACTTCTCTACGCCGAATACAGATTAATTAAAAAGACCGAAAATTTTGCTCGTGCATCAGCGTAATATTGTATATGTGCTAGTAAACTTTACTGCGGTTTTCATCTCCGATGTTTCCGTCGGACGATAAAATTAGAGAATAAAATAAATTAGAGAATAAAAATTAGGAAATAAAAAGCAGGGGATTGAAACATCCCGCTAAAAGAAGCAATTTCGTATTATTAGTTGCTTAATAGAGGAATTTTTTTAAAAATATTTTTTTTTTACCTTTCCTTGGTTGATTTGTTGGTGAAAAGGCAGAGGTTATAATCTTCGGAACTTAATGAATTTTGCAAGCATCTTACTAGTACTGTATTTAATTTGCTGCTTCGTTGCTGGGGGACTACTTCATAATCACTTTTAACTCGATACGGCCGTGAAAGGTTCAGTTAAGATAGAACACTGAGTATTCACACTGTATTTATTAAAACATATCTGTACACTCGCGTTGTGCCCTTGTAGTCCTTACCAGCTAAAATCTAAAACATGAATGAGTGAATTCCGGATGTTTGCATAACCTAAATTGCGGAACTGAAAGTCTGAATGAAAATGGAAAACTGCTGCCACGAAATGAATAAATTTATACAATTCCCTAACATCGTGAGTTAGTCACAATGAAATGCCTTTAGCCTTAACAAATTATTTGTACCATCAGTCACCAGAAGTCGGGTTTGAGACAAGAATATTACTTGGAATTTTAAAAAATATGCTATAACTTTCTACTGACATGAACACCAATGTTGCAGAGTATTCGTCTCTCCACTTGTGGACTCTTTCATCGAAACTCCTGAAAATGTATTTCCATTTATATACATAAATGGAAATACATTTTACTTGTGTTGACTTTTGATACAAAAAAATGTTGGTTCTTAAAGTAATAATCTTAGATTTACATTACGATAATGTACATTACGATAAAATGTTTGTTGTAATAGAGACTAAATTAATCTACATAAGTCCTCAAATAAGTTCCGAAAATCACTCAAAACTGTTAAGAGCATAACATAGCTGCGTACAGAAAATTCCTATAGAGATAATAAACTTTAACGTAATTTTGTACGGTAATGTTTCTTACTCTCATTCGGTTCATGCAATTTGAAAATTGAAGGTTTGAGATGCAGGCGACATATAAGTAAAAAAATTAATTTTCACAATTCATTTAGACGGCGAGTTTCGCAGGTAAATAACCTGTGCAAAGATTGGCGTGGATGAATGAATAACTGTGGGCTCATAGAATGATTTCTAAGTTGCCTTTCATTTTCTGTACGTTAAAAAAACCTTCGCATTTGCTTCAACAAAGACAACTTCGCTAGTATTGCAGATGTAAGCACGTTAAAAAATACATCTACAATTCAGTATTCACAAAAGTTTACTCGAACATATATGTTCAATATTTCACCGGCATATACAAATTTGTACATTAAAACTCATGGATACGGTTTATGACCAGCAATTGAAATTCCCCCATCAATTTCACTTGCAGTACCCAAATTCAGTTCAAGACCTTTAAATAATTGCTTAAATGATTGATCATCAGGATCAATCATAATTTTAATAACATTGTACTAACATAACATTGTACATTTTCGTTGCTTAACAAACGGGAATTAAGAGAGAATGTTATGTAGTGCTCTCAATTATACCTGAAATGTCCCACAATATCAAATTCATTACAGATTAGCTGTTAGTTCTGTCGGCATTGTGTTCCCTGATGAAATTACGCCCAAATATCATATACATTCTGCTACCTTCCCGTAATTTAGGCCGGCAGTGACGCGTCATTAACGCCACGCAATCTCAAATAATACATACGCTTAAAATGGTATAGTGTTTAGTCCTACATTCCTTTTCCGCACTCTACTTATTCCCACACTCTACTTATTCCCATACACTATTGGTCCTACTCTCTACTTTTTCCCACTCTACTTGTTCCACACTCTACTTAGTGCTACACTTTACTTATTTGAGTTATTTCTATTTTCTCAACTACACGATTCTCGGTAGTTGAGCTCTCACCCTTGAAAGATCTGAGACACAAGTCTTGACTCGCGCAAATGCTGTCGGTCGAGCATCTACGATAGACTTTTAGCTTGATAAGTACATAGATACATGAAACGTGAACTAACATGAGCAGTGATGATTTACTAATGCTATATACGGACGATTTATGCGTGTCTGACTTGATGAAAGAGATTCCTCTCAAGCTTAGAACCGAGCTAAATCGACTAGTTAAAACAAAAGCGGCGAGATAAACTTGAATTATTTCACAGGTCAATTCTGTAGTCCCTTTTTCCTTCAAACATAGAAATCATTAAAATCCGAAGGCAGACACTGGATTATTTTGATTCGTGTAAAAAGTTCATGATAAACAAACTTTATAGCTTAAATGGCGATCAGATTTTGCCGTAATCTTCTTTGATGAGATCAGCTCCCTTCTCCCCAATCATGAATGTGACGGCGTTTATGTGCCCTGCAGTGAATAAAAAGTCTTATCAGTCGGTGTTTTAGAATAAATGATTGAAAACTAATAGCTTGTAGATTTGCAATTGAGTATAAAATTCAATAAGAGTATTCATCCAAAATTTCAAACGATTTTTCAAATAAATTTAAAATAAATTAAGATTCTCAAAATGATGTATGGTTTGAAAATCTAAATAATAGGAAAGAAGAATATTTCATTACCTGATGTAATGGAGGGCATTATGGAAGCGTCTATGACTCGTAAATTCTTGACACCTCGAACCCTGAAAATAAATGCAATAATTGAGATGTTAGTACCACGGGTTCAGCAAAGGGGGCTCACGAAGCAAATGAAATAATTTTCGGAAATGAAAATTTATTCATCACCATCAACAAATCAAATGAAGTGAGAATCATGGAGCAAAATTTGGCTTACGCGGTACATGAGCCGCCCATATGAGATGCAAAATGGAAGATGCTCGAGTGGTGCACTGGTGCCACCAGTTAATGAGGAAAAAAGAAAATGAGGCGCTGTGTGTCCAGAAATGGGAATTAGGAATGGAAACGGCAGCGATAAAAAAAGGCGATCGGTGCATAATTAGGCTGTTGGTTGGTGCGGTGGCGCAGCCGGAGGCTACAAGTGACTTGTGGCCTATGCTTCGTGCAGGCATAGACCACAAATTTTACTCGTAAATAAGACCTGGAACCAACGCCCAGCTTAACCATGCATTAACTTCACTCAGCTTCATGGCTAGAAGCCGCAGACTAACCTTGAACCTGGTAATCCAGTTAAGCGACAGACGGCTGAAAGATAATAGCGCCGTAGGTCTTCCATGAGTTCCAGCCAATGCTTAAGCATGCTCGCTCATAAGCAGGCAGTTAGCTCGCTCAGAAGCAGGCAGTTCTCTATCCGGCTGTACCTACTATGGCCTAACATCATCTAGCCTAACCTGTTCACGCTGTCCCGGCGGCTCACAACCTTATTGCAGCCATTGACTGGCTCAACCAGCACACTCGGACCGCTTTTCTAACTTCTTGCAGCCAATATGAGGTTTGGTTAGGTCAGCTCAGGTTTGCTTTGGGTGGAGAAAGGTTGCAGCTTATATGGGTTAGGCCTGAAGAGGATAGGCTGGAAGAGGTTTGGCCAGATACAGTATGGCCATGCTTACCTTTAGGAAGCTTATTTTACGGCTGTGGACATCCGGCGCTATGGCTTTGAGCACTTGATTTTATATAGGTTGTTATGCCCTCTATATAGCGTTCTTATACCTACGGAAAGAAATATGAACTAAGTGTTAAGTTTGGCAAAGCTGGCCTCCGGCATGCGCTCCGTCCGTTGGTGCTTGGTGCACTTAATGAGTAACTGAGTAAGATTAAGTAGTAAGTAAGTAGGGATGAGCGCCTCAGGCATAATGCCTAAGATTAAGTGCAAATATTCTGCCTCTTTTATGATTGATCACAAGACTGAGGCTGAGCTGAGCCCAAATCTCCCTGTTGTGTCCGGGTTCGCTTAGTCAATTCCACTGGAGAGTGAAACTCCGTAGGCTTTCGACGAAAAAAGGCTTGCGTTTGCAGATCCTTGATTGGTATGAAATGCCTATTTTTGTCCTCATCCGTGATTGAATATGGAATTTCTTAACAGATAACATCGACCTGCTCTCTGCCCGAGCCTCTTGTGGACCCACAACTATGCTTTGAACATCTTTGCCTGAAGAAGACTAGATATCTCTACCCAGCCATAAAAGATCACCAAGACCTTTCCGTTTTTTTCGGTTACATATGAGGAAGCAGCACCTGATTTAGTCCGATATTTATACAATCCTCGGACAATTTATTCAAAATTTTCATTTTAGATGACTGTAGTGGCTAAGTTGGACGGTAGGAGTTCGAAACACCAGAAATAATAACGATGAAAACAAGAGCCTCTTGTGGCTCTTTGCCTACCTATGGTAACGCCTGTTTCCTATGGTAAAGAGGCTCTTGAAGCTCACCTTGTAAATGAGTTCAGGCAGGTTCAGGCACAACCTTAAATTTTCTTACTTACTGGAAAGAAGGTGTGCGGTCTTTTATATAAATAATTGGGGAATGATGTTGATTCTACAAGTTTCTATTGTTCATTTCTGTGCATATGTACTATTCGGCCTTCCCTAACAACATGATAGTAAGAGTAGACTAACTTCAGTCTGGGCGTCACCACCCCCATGGGGTCGGAGTCTGGAGCCATCTTGCAGGTGCCGCACATGTGCGCTCCAGTGCCACTCCAGCCACGCACGAAGCAGCGCCAGTAGTCGTCAGATTCGAACGCGAAATGCGCGCAGTCAGGAATCGGCTGAACAATCAACGAGAGCACTTATGCTGTATTCGAGGTGAGTGTCATGTTAAAGAATTCGTATTCATATATCGCAGAGACGTCATAAAACTGGTTGATGGAAAAATGCTGAACTGCTTGAAAAAATGATAATTATACAAATTCAGTGCAAACAATTCAGTGCATTGAAAGATGTTCATAACATTCAAATGGCCTATGTGATATTTGATTTTCTTTTTATTTACTCTCGTCACAGAGGTAATAGCCTGATTCCTTGAAAGACATGAAATCATGATATTCTGTTGACATATGATACTTGTCGATATCCATGGGTATCGCCGTAGAATTCCAAACGGAACGAAAATCAGATTTTTTATGCCTACTGAAACTCCCCGACAGTTTAAAGAATTTCTATTACCATTAAATTATTTCAAAATTATATTTGCAACCTTGATTGGAGTCGAAAATGATTTCCATGTCATGCATTGGTTTTCTAGCATTTTATAGACGTTTCTTCTTCGCGCCTGTCATAAAATGTATGTTTAGCTTTAGCAATAGCTCACCTTGTTAATGGGTTCAGCGCCTAGAGCCCGCCGGAAGATCTTGGCATTTCCTAGCCTTCGAGAAGCCTTGGCAGCTGCAAAAAATAATTGGACATTCATAAACATGAATTAAATAAATTTTAATGTATATTAAAATTACAAGGCACATAGGAGCTACAAATGACGATTAGCAATATTTTCCTGAAAGTTATGATTTTGCGCGCAGAAACTCGAATCTGAAACCAAATGTCGCGCAATAGTACAGTCCTCCATCAATTTTTTTGTTTAATTGATTAATTGATACGATGAATTCATGTTAGCTCACTGGTGGTGTTCAAAAAATACTTTTTAGGTAAATGTTATACTGATATTGACGTACGTAGCGCCTGATGATGCTTGAGCGAGCTCCTACATTGTTTTTCATTCGTCACTTACATGAGGAATTGGAAAAGGTGGATGTGCCAAGAATAGTTTAATTGGATACCATTTTCGATCATGTCTGTTATCCAGAAGGAGCGATAAATAGCATCCATGACACACAAGGATATAAAATAAATAAACTTTTCTTTTCAATCGACACACATTTACCATATTTTATAACGAAAAATTTAACGACCACTTCGGCATTTGCCTGTTTCTCACGATACATCCTCTAAAAGCGACGGTTGCGTTACACATTTTCAAGTCTCAACAGTCACTTATTGTTGAAACTAGCGAAACTACCCAAGCGCGCTTTAGTGAACTAACAGATTACATTTAATCGTACCTTCTACTTCTGAGCGCTGTAACTGACAGTAACTTAACTCGAGTTATCAGGCGTTTAGATGTGATTGAAATTTATGAAAGTTCATGTCCCTGTAGTTAAGAATTTAAGACAAGATTAAAATAAAGTAAAAATAATTACTTACGTGACTTGAAACATTCATAATTGAATAAGTCAGATGAAGTTGTTGCATTCCATTTTGTATTATTTATTGTTAATATCTGGATGTATCTTCTTTGGAATAAAACGAAAAGTGACTTCATGCAGAAAACTGGCGAAAAACGGACGAAAGCGTTAAATTAAATAACAATAAAAATATCATTTGTGAAACACTGCGGATCTACGAAATTTCGAGATTAATAACACAATCGACGTAAATTTCCTTGCTCACACGCACCTTTGACCATGAGCTCAAAGTCGTCGGGGTGACTGAGTGAATTGTGGTCCAGGACGGGCGGATCGAAAGGGTTCTTCGACATGAGGGTTACCGTCCCGACGCTCTTGGGTCTGATTAGCATCGGGGTCATAGAGAAACCATCTCTTCCTAGAAACGGTCGATAATAATCTTGTATCTGTAAATATAATTACGAACGTATGGTACTATTGAAAAATAGTGTTATGATCGACACAACTTGTTAGAATTATTTGTTTAATTGAATCTGCTTTTGTCTTAACTTTTCCGTAATTTTTCTAAGCTTATATGTAATTTTTGTCTAGTTATTTAAATTTTTTTTCTCTAAATTAATTTTCATGCCTCTATTAAACTAAGCAAACGATTTTGGTTAAAACACGTTTCGTAAGGCGGGAATTTCGATAGGTCAGTTGTCTAATGTAATGCATTTATAAGTCGTCTGAGTTTACTGTGGTTTGTCTCCGGTGTTTTCATTTATCACAAGTACTACCAAACTGAACGATCACAAAAGGCATATGTGGAGTGGGCGCGCTGTGGATAAATTGCAGTAGCTTGTGCACCACGACATACGAGTAACGACCAAAAAATAGCCGGAATGCCTATGCGGACTGGCGAAGTTTCGATATTACTGCAGTCTCCCAGAGTGTGAATATTCTACTGACATTCATCAGTTATTGTGCCACGCATTGGTGCTCTAGAAAACCGCGTTTCACATTCGTACTTTTTTGTGACCCTTCTATTGTGCGCTCGTACTTTTTTTTCTGATGATGGCTGATTTTCGTGAGCAGAATACTGCCATCAAATTTTGACACGGTTGTTTCGTAGCCGTGGGAATGAGTTAGTTTACATCGAACGTTGACGAGTTCAGCGCGAGGGAAATTCCAGTCGAGGAATGCGGTGTCACTTCGAGAGTATAGGCTTCAGAATATATAAGGAGCCTATAATTTTCGACAAAGGTTGTTCTACTGTGGTGACCGTCACGTCAGTATGGTCTGCAGCTATCTCCACAACGGCTTCGGCCGTTGGGCGGCGGGTCGCCAAATAACGGCCTCGCTAAAAGTCGAGTCATTCATACCACCACGATTCCGATATAAAAACGTCAAAAATTAACAAGCATCGACCACGACTTCGCCATATGTACGGTCAACATCAAAATTTTGGCTGCGACTCAGTCGTGAGACAACGCGAGAAGTCACGAGTTGTCCAACGATTATAACACCGGCAATCATGGAGATTCAAGTATACGGCAATTCTCTTCGGTACGGTCACATTCACCATCAGCAGCAGTACGGCAACGAGCTTGGAGTAATATATCATCGATTATGAAGACGAACGCCAGCATTTTGGAGTACATACTGGAGTCCAGTCGTCATAAATTCTACGGCCAGACTGATCGTGAGACATCTAGATCAGCGAGGCACGACGGCAATGGAGCAAGAACGACGGAATGGAGCATCACCGCGTAGCGGGAATGCGCGGCTACGGATACGGTCAGGCCGCTGAAAATTCGGCTGTAACGGTCGTGTGCATCATACAGTCGTTTAAAACAGTCGTACGACTCAACGTAATTGCAACGGATCAACGTTTCTGGTAAATAGAGAGAAATTTTTGTGATGTTAACTGATAGGTTCTCAATTTGATTGTGTTCAGATTACCTTTTTCATGTACTATAATCCCTAAGATCGACGTAGAAGTATTGACAAACCTGCGGAACTGTCCCAAGCGACTTGAAGTTCAATCCAGCAAATTCTAAATTAAAATTTTCGATAAATAATTATATTTTTAGAGAATTATCTGTTATTTATGTCGCTCTTTATTACGAGTCCCTCGCCGTAAATTGGTGCCTTGAACTGAATGCGAACCTGCGTTTTTGCGGCCACAACGCAATGTAGTAACCACAATAAATTTAAATCAGTTAAGAAGCAGTAAAGATAAGTCAAGAAAAATACAGATTCAATCAAACAAGTAATTCTAACAAGGTGTGACGATCATAACAATAGTGTCATTTACGAGCAGAATTATTCGAATAGTGAGATACACATACGATTAAATTAAAACTTTTTGACGAGCCAACGTTCGCTGATGTTATCATGGTGAATGCATGATATCCAACTGTACTTTATTCCCGTGTATAAAACCAATAAACATATTTGTAACAAAAACATGGGAGATGAATATAAAAAACTTGCCGATTTCTTCATAGGTGCAAGGGAGAAGAGACCGTAGTCTTGAACCAGCAGTCCATTTTCTTGGGTTATCAGAATGTCCGGAATATGGGGTTCCTCAGGACTGCCTACATTTAATTGGTACAGAGCACAAATTCCCGCTGGACTTGTCAACGGACCTGCAGCCAAAGGAAGTTACTTTAATGAAATAAGGTTTTACATTACAACTAAGATTTCGTATTTTTGGCGGATACTCACTGTTGAATCGTTAAAATATTTCGACTTACTCGTGAAGAGATTCAATGATTTGGTGTAAAATTTCCGCAATTTTAAAAATAGGACCCGAGCCAGAAATGACAAATTAAATTCGGAAAACGGTCTACCGGTGGCAAATATTGCACGAAAAGCTTTTTAGCAGTCACAACTTTGCTTATTAAAACAAGATTAGCTTTAATACCCATTTAAGAATGTTTCGAAAAACTGAACTTTTGACTGACCTGAACTTTGAATAATATGCCGAAGACTTTAAAAATAAATTCACTGTTGAGAGTAATTTAATTCATAGATGGAAGAATCATTTGAAGGCTGTTCAAAATCTCGTTTGAAATTCCAGGTTTAAATTTAGATCGATCATAAACCATCATAAGCTGGAAAATCAAAACCAACATAACTAAGTACAACCTCACATTCGCTGATTCTGGAGTTGAACTGCAAAAATCTCGACGAGTATATTGATGTTTTGACCAGCTTGGGGAGATGAGTATACAACAGAAGTGCCACAGAGCAACCAGAAAGGATAAGGAGAAATTTAAATGAAGAAAAGAAAGGTAGACGGCACTAAGTGCATAATTAGGTTGGTTTGTATTAAGAGCTGGAATAACGTCAGATGGTGGAGCTAATAACGCGACAGTGCCCTGGTTGGTTTGATGAAGGACCGTGTTATATAATGGGATGTCGCATTGTTCCTGTAGTTTTTGTGAGAATACATCAAATCGGACTAGTGTCGATATTCGATGAATCGCAATGCTGAATTTCTTGACATTTATATTTGGGAAAGTAATGTTTTTGATATTGTGTGTGGCGGTATCCGATGTAAATGAGAAATGATCCAGCATATGCATGATATAAAATGCGGTTTTTGTTTGGTTGGAGAGAATGGAATATTTATATTATGTGTAGATTTGTGGGGGTAATGCTATGGCCAAGAATCTGAATCCACTTGATCATAATACCATGTGATCTGAAACTTGAATAATAACACTGTCTTCCTTTATTCATGCATGGGTAGAAAGTATTTTCAATGTAGGTGTCAGGTGTTTTTCACATTTTAATGAGGATGATTTTGACGACGGATGCGTAGCAGGAGGCAAAGATATGAAAAATTGGAGCAGCATAATTACGGATTGGTCATGTGATGGATTTTTAGGTAATGACTTCTTTTGAGAAACCCCAGCTGGTGCCGGCTAGGATCTTCAGGATTTGTATGGACCTCGCTGCTTTATATAGGCTATTTTATGGACGTGAGTGTGTATCCGAGTGAACTGGGAATCGCAGGTAACTGTTAGGATTTTTGGTGGCTTGTCCAATGGAATGCGAATGTTGTCAATGTAGAGAGCTCGGGAGTGACGGGCAGAGTGAGCACTCGGGCAGAGTGAGCTCGGGAATGACGAGCATCGGGAGTGAAAAGTGTTCCAGGGCTAAGGCCACTCTTATGACGGTGGACCAGGCGGAGATACCGGACAGCAGCACCGCCGGGTCCTCCTCCGAGGTGTCTAGTCTGGGAGGGGGGGACGTCTGTCGGAGACCACCACTGCCGTGCATCGAATGGACTAGCATGATCCTTTCCCTCAAGAACGTAGCCTATAACACTTTTTGACTGTATAATTATTAGCCGCAAGCCACCAGACAGATCACATCCATTGAATTAGATCAATCAGCCAACAGGAAAGCAGCCTGACGTAGAATGGCCCAGCGTCGTCCGCCAATACGCGAAAAAATTTTACACCACCCGGACGGTGCGCGCCGGAGCCGTCCGTCTCTGCCCCGAGTGTCGAACGGCCACGCTTCGTACGACGATAAATTTTGTAACAGAACTATGCTATCTGAAACCTTACCCCAGATGCTGTGAGCTAAAAGTTACGTAATTTAGCGAAGCTGCGGGAAGTCGCTTGTCGAAGGACGATAGATTTTGGAACAGAACTATGCTTTCTGAAACCTCACCCCAGACGCTGTGAGCTAAAAGTTACGTAATTTAGCGAAACTGCGGGAAATCGCTTGTCGAAGGACGATAGATTTTGGAACAGAACTATGCTATCTGAAACCTAGCCCCGGATGTTGTGAGCTAAAATTGACCGTCTGGTGTTGCACGGCAGGAATAAGCAGGATGCATGCAGTTCCATTGGCGAGCTGGGGCTGGTTGGTCGCAGTCCGCTGTCCGCAAGTTACAGTTCGAGCTAAAGTCAGGGTATGAAATGATGATTCGATGTAACGTTCAGTTGTGGACAACCATTACACTCTGGGCTATTCGCTTCAGAATGTGGTGGCGTAAAGCTCCTAATATTTAAAGCAAGATGATGTCACGGGCTGGTTACCGACGGATGGCTTAATCCGCAGCTGATTGGTGGTCATCCCGAAAAATGCAAGGCGTTCTTTTCAGGACCGATTGGTGCACAAATTTGGTGGTGCACAGCTGCAAACCAGGGAGAGGTGATAAATATTGTGAGGATGTCTGCGTAAGAGGCGATGGTCGTGGTCGTGACAGACAGTCAGAAATCAAGTGGTTGTAGAGGGCTGGGGAGATGACGGACCCCTGAGGAACTCCGTTATATATGCTCATGAAATGGGACCGGGATCGCAGGTAGAGGCAGAAATATAGTCAACGGACCAAGTTGTGGTGTAGGGTAGATTCTGCAATCATGGATAAGAGAACTGATTGGTCGACACTGTCGAAGGCTTTCGACAGGTCGATCGCGGTTGCCACATTGCGAGCAGGATGCCTTCTAGAGTTGAAGCAGGTTGCGATTCGGTGCGAGAGAGGGAGGAGTGAAGTGACTGTAGAGTGGCCAGGTTTGAAACCGTGTTGAGACGGAGATATAGCCAGAAAGGCTGTGAGGTGGGAGGGCAGGAGTAGCTGCAGGATTTCATAACCTAAGCAAATTAGGAAAAGTAGACGATGAGAGGAACAGTGATCCTTCTGTTTCCCGAATTCTGCAATGGGGATGATGAGGGAGTGTTCAGATGGGTAAGGTGTGTGACAGGGATTTTGATGAGTTGTGTGAGGAATTGGAATGTATTTATCGGATGGACGGAGTGTTGTTTGTGTAATGTTGTCGCCAATGTTTTGCATTCTGTCGTGTGTGGTGATGGTTTGGTGGTGAGAGATAATGGATGCAAAGTCTGTAGAGTGTGGAAGAGGCAAGCTTTTTGGCAGGGACTCATTTTGGTAGGTATATGTGCAGCGATGAACCTATATAATTTTATGTTCGGATAGATGTTGTCCGGTCTGTGAGATAGTCTGAGAGTGTTTCTGTAAATAAATGGTAGATGTTGAGTTGTTCGACTTTGTACTGGAGTCTATATTGTTGGTTGCTAGATATGGCTGTTATTGTAGTGGTGCATTTGACTATCCACGTCTATGAAAGTTTAGCGAAGGAGGATTTTAATTAATAGCTCGTGTAATTTCAGTTTCCCACATCTCAAGTTTTCAAATAGTCTGTAATAGCACATGTTTTAAACCAAGGGTTTCGGACTGTCGTTTTTCCTTTTCTTTTCGTCAGCGTTTGTCAATCGTTCTCCATCTCATTTCATCGCTTCCTTCTCTAAAATAATTTGCTGATTATGCGTGTATCCCGTTCTGCTGTCGTGATATATCGTATTTATATTTTTTCGAATTCTTTCTGCCAGTGCGTTATTGCTTTGCACTCTTGTAGATTCATAATGATTTTTTAGAACCTATCATAAGCCCTGGCAACGCCATAGCCGATTTAAAAAACGGTCTCTTCTACGCATAAAAATACAACCACAACTTAATCAAGAAGATATCAACCACAAAAGAATTTACGTGTTATCAAAAGTTTAATTATATTAATAATTATTATTATTGACCATTATAAATTTTCATTACTCATTAATGATTAACTCATTTTTAACCATTATAACAAGAGACTCGTATAAGTGAGATTCTGTGAACATCCTTAGGTGGAATATTTACCTGATCTCCTTTCAAAATAGTTCAGCATGGCACTCGTCCCGACCCGATCGAAAATGGAAGACGAAATGTTGGGATGAATGGTCCAAGTTATTCCGCGAATAATTAAGTGTTCTTGGTAATTTTGTCCAACTCCCGGCAGGTCGACTCGACTTTCAATCTGAATCGATTAACAATATTTTTCTTACATATTTGATTTTATATACGAAAAAATTTAAACTTACACAGCTTTCTGGCTCTGAAAATTTTTTCGCATAACTTACGTCACTCACTGAAATGTCTTAATTGTGTTAAGACAATTGAGTAGGTATACTACTGTAAACTTCCACAGAAATTTGATGCATTGAAGACTCGATCACATATTGTTAACAATTTACCAGTGAAAAGTTTTACCGACAAAATATTTGATAGCGACAAAGAACTAACAAATCTGGTACCTACGCGGCAATTGAATTCAACAATTATGAAGCTTGATGATGACATAAGTAAAGATATGGTCGTACGCTCTATGACTGCTGGCATTTTTCCTGAGAAACATCCTTCTTCCTCATTACAACTTCTTGCCTAGAATAAAATACTTAAATTTAGCAAAGGTAAGCTAAGTCTTCTCCTGTTGGCGCTCTATTTTGCGTGTCGTCTAGAAAATTACGTACAATGAAGCGTACGATAGTATTCCAAAATCCTCGGATATAGAAAAAACTAAATTTATCTTTCAATCAGACCCTTTCCCATTTTACTGCCCTAAAATTGACTGCTGCCAAATGTTTTTGAAATCAATATCTCAAGATGCAATTTTAACTACTTTTGAGTTTAATTTGGTAATGAAGTTTATTTTCTTGCAGTTACACACTGTTTTCAGTTCAATCCAGTTTTTAACAGGAGCTATTAAATTATGTTTTGCTTTAGTTACATGCTGTTCTCTGTTCTATACGAAGCTAGTATAATGAGATAATTTTGTTATTTACTTGCGATTTCATGATCTCATCATTGCTTCTTCGTAGCATTATTTTCGTTGATTATATATTGCATATCATCTAGAAGCAAAGCCCATCAGCTAAAATAGGCATTGATATGGAAAATTTAAATCACTTATCGTGTTTTAATTTATTGTAGTATAGTGGTGCTCTAATATGTGAATAAAGAATAAATGGTACAGAACAACGAATGTGTACATAAATTTAGATTCGTCTAAATTCATCTAACCTATAATTTGTTTTCACCTGTTCCTTTGGATTTTACTCACCCCTAGCTTTTCTAGTTGTTTTTTAGGCCCAATCCCCGACAGCATCAGTAGCTTGGGAGAATCACCTGCGCCTGCTGATAGTATAACTTCTCGCTTGGCAAACGCTCGTTTCACCTGATTATGGATACGTTTCGATATCAAATTGAAAAAATACTATTTAACATATTAGTATAATTCTAAAATCCGTTAACTTACGCGAAATTTATTCAAATTTCAGATCCAGGCGCGATCACATATACATATCAATTCCCATCAAATAAAACATAATTTTCTGAAGAAGCTAACTTCAATGCATGATCAATAGTATATCAAATTTTAATAAATTTTCGAAATCTTAGCTAACACTTGCTTGTTGATTCATGAAGGGTAATCGCTCAAGTTCACTCTTGAAAAAAATTGTCATAAACGATACCCAAATGAAAATAATAGGTGCAGCACCGATAATTATTGGTACCTATTGGTGGAAATTATAGGTGAAACACCGATGGCGCATCGATGGCATTTCCAGCCTACGTTCCACATTATCGGTGGCATACAAGGGGTTAGCCAGCAATAAGCATCCGATGATTCAGACCCTATAAATCACTGAAGAATTTCATCGTTGAAAATTAGGTGCACTTCCTACCTCTCGATTTATTTGTGTTTTACTGTCGATTGTTGGCAGAAGTGGCCACCCATCGTTACCTCACCCATAATCCACCACACCCATCAATAATCATTGATGCGCTACTCTTAATTTATATTTGAAGGGAAGTAATTAAAAATTAGAGAAAACTGGAACTTATTCAAAAATTTAGCACCATTCGTGTCAATTAATTAGCATTTAGACAATTTTGAATCAAAGGAATGTCTAAGCTATGAGAGATACAATTTTGGTGAAGGTTTTAAAATATCAGTTCAGAGAAGAATACCATTCATTTTTTCCATTTCCTCACCTTATTTTTATGAACATATTTCACTCCAATCGCCCGATTTTCTGCATCCATGATTATCTAGATTGGAGTAAAAAATATTTCATATCAATGAAAAATAATTAATAAAAAGTTTCGGCAAATTTAAATACATAACAAAAGCTGATTTCAAAACTGATACGCGCCATTATAATTTCAAACACATTTCAACATTACTATAGTTCCAGGCTAAATTCTAAATATAGTAATATGAATCAAACACCTTTCAAACACACGTGTATAGGTTTTCAAATTTGCTCTCATATCTGCTTGAAGATGAGGATCGTGCATGAACACCGCCAACTGCACCTCTATTATATGTTCAAAGAAATAATCTGCATGACTGCATTAGTTGCGCGAAATTTCTTACCTTAATTACTTGGGAATTGATTTGCAGTTTAAGGTTCCGACGTCGTAGGCCAGGCAACAAGAACGCGTCTGCCGTGGTCACCCGTTCTCTGTTTTTGGTTGTGAGTTGGAAGATAGCGCTCCCTGAAAGGTGAAAATATGAAGCATGGTTATGAGAAAACTAGCACGTCAATAGTGCTCAGAGAGAAAAGTACTCAATTAATTCCATTGCTTTTTGTCTCCATTTCTATATTAATATGTATTGAAAAGTTAAAAAACAACAAAATTGTTCAAGCTGCGCACGTGGTAAGTTAACTACTCTTCTCATATAAAAGTTACATTCTATGAATTGAAAAATTTTCAAAATTCTCTGCAACCATGAAGGATTACGTGTTGATTTCGACCTTTATGAACATGAAAGAAACGGTAAGAAGATTATAAACAAGGAGTGTGACAGTTATAATGAAACCAATACTGTTTGAAGATCAATGCATGTTAGAGGTAGAATTTGGAAATATTTGGATATTTCAATTTCATGGAAGCCTCAATTTAAATGAATTCTAACTATATTATAGTAGGAGTTGGTACATAGCACCGATAACAGTATTTAGTTGAGATTGAAGAATTAAGTTTTATTTAAAGTATATTCACAAACAAAGTCTTTTGTCTAAAAGAATATCAGCCTAAGCATCAGCATCCAACATTTCATGTAATAACGATTTTACTTCATATGTCCGATTCACTATTTTAACAATGTTTGCAAGCACATGTATAGAGTTCAATATTAAAGTACTGTATTCATTTCTCACCAATAGTTGTGTCTGTGTTGTAGTCCACCTCAGCCAGCCCCATCTCCTCGCCCGCTCTGATGGCCACCCGACAAACTGGAGGCTTCCAAGCAACCTTCTCCACGCCAATAGGACCTCCAGAAGCTCGGAATGGAGCTGCTCCAAATTTAAATTCTTCATTCAATGCTTTATTAATCATATTACTTGCTAACGTTTAATATTAATTGTTTTGTGCGCAGTAGAACTTTATTGAATGAGTTCTAGTTACTTGTAAAGGTTAGATGAAGAAGCGATTTGGTAAAGACCGAACACCACTTATGCTAGATAACTTTGATTATCACTCAGTACAGTTGGTCTAGAATGTGACTCCCCATTACACTTTAATTAAATTAATTTTTAATTAATTAAGGGCCTTCAATTTGTGTCATTTAAACTATTTGAAAGATCAAGCGTTCCAAAAGAGATCAATGAGTTCTATTCTCCTCACTTTAGTTCAGCACGTGTCCATTCTCTGTCCAAAAAGTGTTATCAACCTCTTCATTGAACAGAAACTCAATTCCTGGACGAAATTCGATCGAAATTTAATTTATTTCAAATTTCTACATCATGTAAGTTTTTCAGCAATAAGATTAATCATTTTCTCACCATCTCGAGGCTTGAGAGGCCCCTGGTAGTCTTCAGTTTTCTTGAAATACTCCAGGACAGTTTTATAATCCCAGCCTGGATTACCTTGCGCTGCCCAGTTTTCGTAATCCTGAGGAATACCGCGATGATACATCATCTGGTTGATGGTGCCTGAGCCGCCAATCATTTTTCCTCTCTGGTACAGGCCTCCCTAAGTGAAAAAAAGCAAAATAGACTGCAAAGTTTGCTATGAACTATCATTCAACGAACAAACTGTACGTATTCAATTCGTGTTGAGCAGTTGAACCTTAGCCGTTACCAATATCAAACATGTTTCATTTTCATGCCTATGTGTCTAGTCTATTGTTAATGTCTGCAACATAAATTTCTACTTATGTCTTGCTATCTCAAACACGTCCCTCACGCCACCACCTACGCTTCAAATCCGATCGGGTTGTCCTAAACCTAAAGAATGATTCACGAAAACTTTCTGTTTTATATTTCGCGCCAAGCAGCCAGATGTTATAGAAAAAGAACAGATAGTAATTCATATGAAAGGTAAGGTCATGAAGTTTTGTGTAGATACTAAAAAAATACGATATAACAAAGGCAGTATGCCTTTACTCTCGAGGCGTACTTTGCTAATGACTGTTCCATTATCGCAACTCAACGAACATTCAGTACTCGGTTCCGTATTCATCTTTCAGGTCGGGTTTCCTGATCGGAAATCGATTGTTACGTGGGTGAACACATTCAGGCCACATTTCCGGCAGCGTAAACGAGCAAACCATGCGTTATTTGAGTGATGACAATCCGCGTGAACTCCATCAACGGCCACTTCATTGTGATCGCGTAATTGTGTGGTGTTCGATGTCAAAAGTCGACATAATTGTCCCTTATTTCTTTGAGGATTACGAACGCGCAGTAACGGTGACTGCAGCTCGGTACACGCAAATGACTGATGCCTTTTTTTTCTAAAACTGGCTGAAATGAATGTCAGGGATGTATGGTTCCAACAGGACGAAGCCGCTCGGCCCACACAGCGCGATGTTCAATGGATTTTCTTTGACAACATTTTTGCAAATTAAGCGCCCTATCTCCTTGAGAGGTGACCTTCTTTGGCAGGCCCGATCCCTCGCTTTGGCTCCGTTTGATTTTTTTCTATGGGGTAATCTTAAACCAATTGTGGATAAAAACTGTCCAAAGACCCTACTTCGTTTGAATAACAACATACGCCAAGTCATGGCCAACATACCCGTCAATATGTTTCAGAAAGTTGAACGGACCTTCAAAAATCGACTAACTGAATGCATTGATAATGAGGGTCATCATTTGTCCGATCTCATCATTAAAACCAAGTGATACAAATAACCAGGTAGTGTTTTTCTAACATAATTTATATTGTAAAAATATCTCTACTATGTCTTTTGTATTGAGCTTTCAAATCAGGAAGTTTCCGTGAATCGCCCTGTTGAAGGCTTGAGATCCAACCTCGGTCATCCATATACCCATGCCCAAATCCCCAAATACCCATATCCCTGTATCTCATATCCCCGTCTCCCCATACCCCGGTGTCCCCATATCCATACCGCCATAACAATTACTCATATCCCATAACCTTCATCGTTAACCTAACCACCTCATCAACCATCATACCCATTCGAAAGTTCGCGACCACAAGCCGTTTGCGGCTTCATTAGATCAACCTCTTGATGCCATCTGACTGTCCAAAAATGCTCCGGTAATTTTTTTGCCGTAGTGAAAATTTTTACCACAGTCATGTGTATGTATAAGAAGGAAACGGTAAATTAAGTTTCGGAATCGAAACAAAAATTAGAATTTATAACCTAGAAAATTTAATATCATGAAAAACTTCAAATTATTCCAAGTTCTTACTATATTTTTCGCGAATTGCTCAGAATATTTCTGAGGACGCTTCTTGTAATAATTCATGTATGAAGAGTTGGGAAACTCTGAGCCGAAGTGGAGGAATGGAACTTTGGCAAAAGCTGGAGGTTGTCCTCCGGCTTCTAAAACCAGCACATCCCATTCCGAAATCTCGGCCAGCCGACCAGCCACCACACTTCCCGCCGAGCCTGAGCCCACTGCAAGAAGAGTCAGATGAATGTTAGTAGAACGTAGAAGTATCAATAATTCTCTATTACTACTATCATTTATACTATAGTTCTCCTAACTATGGTTTCAATCGATGTATATTTTTGAAGAATCCCAATGATCTTTGAAAGTTTCAAGCGGACAAAAACAATTTGCATTTATCAGTCAAGGTTTCCCTTAAAAAAAGCGCCTTAAAATCCGTGAGTTTGAAGCAGCAGAGGTTGAAGAAAAGATTCTAAAATTGACTTTGGACATAAGGCGTTGTACTTTCAAAATATGCTTAACTACAGGTAGCGGCCTATTTCTCGTCTAAGATTGGTAGGTTTTGCTTGAAAATCTGTAATTTATAGAGTGACGTAATAACGAACTTGTAACTATTTTTTTTCTCCTGACGGAGTTACATCCAATCCATGTATTTACTCTGTGAACGATTGAGAAATCGTTCACGATATATTATATAGATTTTTATTATTATTGTTTTCAATTTCTTTATCAGGGTGGCAAATTGTACATATTCGTGTTGATGAACTCCCAGTGAGGCCGGTTGCATCACATTCCCTCATGAACGTAGCCTATAACACTTTTTGACTGTAACATTATCAGCCGCAAGCCACCAGACAGATCACATCCATTGAATTAGATCAATCAGCCCGCAAGAAAGTAGCCTGACGTAGAATGGCCCAGCTTCGTCTACCAATACGCGAAAAAAATTTACACCACCCGGACGTAGCGCGCCGGAGCCGTCCGTATCTGTCCCGTGTGTGGAATCAGCCTGCGGTCGAACGACCACGCGTCGTACGGCAATAAATTTTGGAACAGAACTATGCTTTCTGAAACCTAACCTCGGATGTTGTGAGCGAAAAGTGACCGTCTGGTGGTGCACGGTAGGATGCATGCAGTTGCATCGAATCATCACTTCATACCCTGACTTTAGCTCGAACTGTAACTTGCGGACAACGGACTGCGACCAACCAGCCCAGGTTGCCAGTGGAACTGCATGCATCCTGTCGTGTACCACCAGACGGTCACCTTTAGCTCAACATCCGGGGTTAGGTTTCAGAAAGCATAGTTCTGTTCCAAAATCTATCGTTCTTCGACGAGCGACTTCCGAAGCTTCGCTAAATTACGTAAATTTTTGCTCACAGCATCTGGGGTTCGGTTTCAAATAGCATAGTTCTGTTCCATAATTTATCGTCGTACGACGCGTGACCGTTCGACCGTAGGCTGATTTGTTAGAAATTTTCTCACTTCTTGTATATTAAAATATTGGCGTTCATTTTCTCCATACCTATCGATAGGTATGGTCTTGTAAATAGTAAGAGTTGGCAGTAAGACTTAGTGTTATAAACATCCCATTAATGTAGCTCCGTTAAGGCCCGTTTCCACTACGGGACTGATTCTGAAGGATGAAGACTGGCCTGAGACCAATAAGCCACACGGCTGGGCCGCAAAACTGGCGTGAGCGTTTCCACTACACGCGTGTGCTGGGACTGCAGGACTGAGACTGACCGTTTGGGCTACCGCACTCGCTGGTCTTTGAAGATAGATTATGCTGCGGCTCTTGCTTTACTAGCTGTTGTCACTATGTTCAGGAGGAAACAAAGATCTATTTACCTAATAGCAGTTATGAAACGCAAGAATGGTTTTAAACTTCTCATTAACATAGTTTATCCGTGTAATAACATTCACCAAGGGATTAAGAAACGGCATTATCTTATTATACCTTTAATGTGTCGAGAAAATTAAATGTAATAAATACGTCACAATGTTTAACCATATCTGGTTTTTGGTCTATAGATTTAGATAGGTTTCATAGCGTGTTTCATAAATGCTACTGCTATTATTAGTTATTGTGTTTATTTACTATTTACTGAGCATACATATACACTGTAAGTGCAATAAGATTAATTTAGATTATTCAATTGGATTTTAGATTTTCTCAATAGAGTATAAATAGTACTACTTCCTTATGTCTCAAAAATTTAGGTAAGTCGCATCACTCGCGTGTATAATGAACACCGATGTGCAACATTTTACTCTATTATAACTGATGTTATGCAAAATTCACGTATATTTTGTAACTGTAGGGAAATTGTAAATAAATAGCTGAATAAGCATGAAAAAAATTAGATTGATATTTTATTTACGAGCGGAGTTATAATGACTATACGTAGTGATAGATTCTCATCAGGATCCAGCCAAGCCTGCCTGAGGGCTTGCGGTTCTCAATCGCAGCCTTAGGAAGCGATCCAGCAGCGGCTGGATCGCCTCTCAGCCAGGTTCGGCTGGATCGCTATGGGATTTTTTCACGAGTCATTTAGTCATTACTTCTCCGCGCGTAAATGAAATATTAATCTGAATTTTTTCATGCTTATTCCGCTATTTATTTGCTATTCTTCTGCAGAAACAAAAAAATATTTAAACTTCATATAAAATTAGTTATGATAGAGGGAAATTTTGTACATCGATGTTCATTTTACATGCGACTGACCTAAATTTGTAAAACAAACGGAAGTAATACTATTTATTGTCTAGTCGGTATTAAAGGCATATCAGAATAAACCTCCATCTTTAAGATATTTTCTAACAAAAGATTTTTTCATCACTGCTAAATCAGAGATTTCACATTTTCTTGGGCAGCTGCAGTTTTGATGAAGGAGTTGGGGAAAGAATGAGGGGAAACTCACGCCGTAAATAACCCGCCTGCAACTCTTGTGATGGAGGGGAGCACAATGAGAGGCGACTAATAATAGATGGCCAGTGGTCGGCCGAGGCCAGGCCACTAATTCTAGCCGACCGGAGGCCATTCCTCGGCCACCTGTAAGCCGGCCGCAGCCCCAAGATGGGTACTGGCTCAGGTATCATATTACAAAGGCAACCAGCTCGAGCGTAGCAACTTGCCGATCTGAAAACAGAACAAGGGTTCCACATCGTAGTCGCGAGTCCCTCATTTTCGAACTTCGCCGCACTGTGACATAGTATTAGCCTTAAGGCTTGTAGTCAAAATGCAGCGAAGTCTGAGAGCGAGGTTTTCGCGACCATCGTGTAAAATCCTTGATCTGCCCAAAGCTCGGCCAGCCGCTACACTAGAGCTTGTTCTCTTTACAATATGATATTCTAGCCAGCCCCTTTCTCGCGGCAACTGGTCGCTTCCAGGTGGCCGAGGAATGGCCAGCGGTCGGCTATAACTAATGGGACTAGGTCGACCACTGGCCACGTATTATTCTTCGCCCCTCATTGACTTCGCCTTTACCATGCCACCCGTCGTGAACTGACAGTTGAGTAATTTACGACGTCTCTTTCCCCTCAAACATTGCACAACGTCTCCATTTGAGCAGCTAGTATGCGGGATTTTCCCTCCGCGTATCAGCAGACTCGATCATAACTATTTTTCGGTAGAAAATATCTACAACAAGGAGGCTGATCAAGGAATGCCGAGTATACCATTCAATGTAGAATAAAAATTACAAACCGTTTACATCTCGAAAAAAGTAAAAAAGTGGCAGAAATGATGAACAATAATATTCAAAGTTTCTTGAAATTTCCTCTCATTAAAACTCTTTTAATACAAAGTTTTCATATTTTTTGTTACTGGTCGACGCTTATAAATAAATAGCTGGGTAAGTATGGAAAAATCCATATCTTCATCTCATTTGCGAGTGGAGTAAAGTCTATCCTAATTAGTGAAGAAACGCATAGGGAAGAGCTGAGCCTGTTCGAAGCCTCTCGGTTCTCAATCAGGGCCTTAAGACTCAGCATCAAGGAGCTCAGGAGCTATATAATCGCTTATGGAGTTTCTTAACTATTACTAGGTTGAATAACTCCCCTCGTAAATAAGGTAACAGTCTGAAATTTGGAATGCTATCCTGGCTAGTTATTTTCAATATGCAGGCATTAATATATATTATGTAAACATTTTTTATCAACTGATATCAGAAAGGATAAAATTTTGCAACCCGATGTTCGTATAGTGTGCAACTTTTCTAGCATTTTCTCGATAAACGTCGGTTTTAACGGTTTTAAAGAGATGCCTTGTTCGAATAAATCCTTGATAGACGTAATTACTTAACCTCATTTGTAGACAGTTCGATAAAATGGCAAAAATATATCACAAATAACGTTTTTGTCATATTTTCATCAAACGTTATCGTTGTTATGTCCTACATGGAAATTAATATCATCAAAGGCTCATGGAAATTACTATCATCTAACTCTACGAAAATGTTGAAAACCTATTCTGCCCACCCTTTCTTGCCAGTAGTAAGACGAAAATTTGAATTTATTGAATTAAAGCAGTGGTTACTGACTACTTTAGTCATAATTACTTTAATTGTGAGGTTAAGAATTCTAAACTAAAGTTTTTCTTTGACGAGGGAACCGGTAAAATTATTGAGAAGTAATTTTTATCATACACACCTATATTGATTTTTTAAGGGCCGTGCTACTATTTCTAAGGCAACATTGACAACACTTATTATCGCAAAAACACGGAGTTATCCCGACAGTAAAATAAATGGGAGAGCTATTGATCTCCCTTACCAATTTATCAATACACTGATATTGAGGAATGTTTGTTGTTGAACGAATTATTGTTTAGTTCTACAAACAGATGTTCCACTTCATAATAATGAATTTATGCAACTCACCGACTATGAAGTCTACGATGATATCATCAGGCATGACACTCGTAGGATATCTAACGGGCTGAAGGAAAGTGCCTGCGAGTATGGCCGTAAATCCCGCGAGAAAATTAAAAACAGAAAATTGAGTCATTTTTTATTTAATAAACACGTCCGATATAAACTACAAAAACGGTTTTCTGGAATATGCCACTTCACCTTAGAATTCAGATTTATTCTAAATTGAGATTTTCTGACGGACTCATAAAACCGAAGTAAAGTTCACCACGGCCGCTTGAACAATCAAATCGGGCGTGAGGTATGACTCGTTCTTATAGCCACACGGGGAGTAGTTGAGGAAAACTTGTGCGCTCCTATAGCCACAGGAGGAGAGGGGTAATTGAGGAAAAGTTGTTTCCTGCCGAAAGAAGGGAAGTCCTAGACGCGCAGACCAAATTTTCCTCACATACCCCGAATGTCCAGCGTCAGTGTAACGAACCTCTTGCGTACCAGTATTATACGTATGTATATTGGCTAAACTAATGTAAAAATAAGCGTTAGAATAGGAGGATGTATTTACAGTGAAGGAATTTATTGTTAGGAGTTTCAAACGTTACACATTTGAAAATTTTTGAATGAAATTATTTGAAAAGGCTACAGAAACATTTTTTATGTGTTATAATTTAATTTTTTACAGATAATTTGTGCTTGACTAAGTCTTGACTCGCGCAGAAGCTGTCGGTCGAGCATCTACGATAGACTTATAGCTTGATAAGTACATAGATACATGAAACGTGAACTAACAAGAGCAGTGATGATTTATTAATGCTACGGACGATTTATGTGTGTCTGACTTGATGAAAAATTGCCTCTCAAACTTAGAACCGAGTTCAATCGAGTAGATAAAACAAAAGCGGCGAGATAATCTTGAATTATTTCACAGGTCAATTCTGTAGTCCCTTTTTCCTTCAAACATATAAATCATTAAAATCCGAAGGCAGACACCGATTGATTTTGATTCGTGTGAAAAACTATTGATAAATAAACTGTTTAGCTTAAATGCATGCGATCAGATTTTGCCGTAATCTTCTTTGATGAGATCAGCTCCCTTCTCCCCAATCATGAATGTGACGGCGTTTATGTGCCCTGCAGTGAATAGAAAGTTTTGTCTTATTAGACGGAGTTTTAGAATAAATAATTTAAAACTATAGCTTGTTAATTTGCAATTGAGTATAAAAAGTATACATCCAAAATTCCAAACAATTTTTCAAATAAAATTAATATTTTCATAATGATGTATGATTGGAAAATTGATACAATAGGAAAGGAGAATATTTCATTACCTGAAGTAATGGAGGGCATTATGGAAGCGTCTATGACTCGTAAATTCTTGACACCTCGAACCCTGAAAATAAATGCAATAATTGAGACGTTAGTACCACAGGTACAGTCTAGGAGGCTAAAGGAGAAAATAAACACATTTTCGAAAAGGAAAATTTATTCATCATCATGAAGTGAGGGGCTTTAAGTTAGCAGACAGAACATTATCCGTTTCATAATTGTGGAGAGACAGAGTATGGTAACTTAACAAATCAAATGAAGTGAGATCGCTTAGATCGGAGCAAAATATCGCTTACGCGGTACATCAGCCGCCCATATGCGATGCAAAATGGAAGATGCTCGAGTGGTGGCACCAGTTAATGAGGAAAAAAGAAAATGTGGCGCTGTGTGGCCAGAAATGGGAAGGAGGAATGGAAACGGCAAAGCTAAAAAAGGCGATCGGTGCATAATTAGCCCTTTACCGCCAAATCGGACTTTTAAGTCGCCTTTAAAAAAAACACCGGTTTTCTAAGAATTTCACGTTTTCTTTCAGTTTTTCGAAAATTCACACGAACAAAACAAATACCTACATTTATTTTTTACATATGTGCACCAAGTTTCAAAGTTAATCTGTCTGTAAATAACCGAAATAAAATTTCCAATTTCCAATGGAAATTTCCAATTTCTTGTGAAAATTTTATTTCGGTTATTTACAGACGGATCACTTTGAAACTTGGTACAGATATGTAAATAATAAATCTAAGACTTTTTTGTTCGTGTAAATTTTTCGAAAAAAATTAAAGAAAACGTGAAATTCTTAGAAAATTGCCAAAAAGGGGGTACTGTAGAAATCTATCTCCTAGGATTTTCAAGCTACAACATCGAGACGCATATCATTCGATGCGTAAAGACCATATCTATCGATTCAAAATATTTTCAAAACTGTAACGAAATTTAAAAAAGCTACGACCAATCTTTAGATCTTTTATTTGCGAATTGAACGGTATATATCTCATTGCTGTAGCTCTTAAAAACTCTAGGAGGAGATAGGTTTGCAGCGACAATGTTAGTATATGTTTTTAGTATGTTTAGTAGAGCGCGACAAAGTCCCGAGCGCCTCGAAATAGGCAATCAAGGTGGCATGGATACAAGACTAGACGTTACCGGAGCTGAAATTCAGTCAAGGATGGTGGGAACGACTGCATGAGCACCATCCCACACGACAGCAGCCGGGTAACTCAAGATCAGCGTCTTCAGACCGTCTATTTATGTGCCTGGCCGGTAATTTTCGCCTATCTTAAACGTGAAAGGACTCCCCCCCTAACCCTTTCGCGATCTGTCGTCAAGGCATTAATCAACGTACAGAGATGATTTTGGTAACGTTGGATAGGTCAGAATGTCAGCTTTAAGGTGAGACTAAAAAAAAGTTGCGATTTTTGACCCAGAAAAGAGTTAGGCCGTTGGTTGGTACGGTGGCGCGTCCACAAGTGCGAGGGAGGATGCAGGCGTAGGCCACAAATTTAACACGTAAATAAAACCTGGAGCCAACGCCCAGCTTCACCATGCATTACCTTCACTCAGCCTCATGGCTAGACGCCGCAGACTACCCTTGAACCTGGTAATTCAGTTGAGCGACAGACGGATGAAAGATAATAGCGCCGTAGGTCTTCCAGCCAATGCTTAGGGGGGGTCTACCTCATCTTAAAGCTGACATTCTACCCTATCCAACGGTACCATTACCATCTCTGTACGCTGATTTATGAATTCACGACAGGTCGTGAAAGGGGGGAGGGTTGTGGAGTTCTTCAGCAAATAGCCTAGACGGTAATTAGCTTCCTAGTTTTTTAAGTAGAGTGTCTGCTGGCGCTGGGCTTCAGTTATCCGTTTAGTCTCATCTTAAAGCTGACATTCTCAGCTATCCAACGGTACCACAACCATTTTGGTACGTTGATTTATGCGTTCACTACAGATCATAAAAGGGAGGAGGGTGGGGGAGTTCTTTAAGAAATAGCATAGGCGGTAATTAGCTCCCTAGCCCTTTAAAAAGAGTGTTTGCTGGTGCTGGAACTTAGTCACCCGCCTGGCTTTGATAGAGGTGCGCATGCAGTCGCTCCCAACATCCGTGAGTGGAATCAAGCTCCAGTAACGTTTAGTTTCGTATCCTTGCTACATTGAGTGCCCATTGCAATGCGCGCGGAACTTAGTCGCGCTCTCCTCAACATTTACATTTATTGTCACGGCAAACCTATCTCCTCCTAGAGTTTTGAAGCTACAGCGATGAGACATATACCATTCAATTTGTAAAGACCATACCTATCGAGTAACGAAGCAACAACACTTCTCTTTAACTTCTTTTTTTACAACACTTCTCTTTAACTTCACTTCTTGTTTGTCTGTCTGCTACAAATCTTATAATCGAAATTGAACACACTTCTACTTATCCTATCGATCTGAAATTTTGCACACTTGCGTAAAATTAGAGATAATGCAAGAATCAAATGACAAAATAAATTATTTTAAAATAAAAAAATTTCAATATTAAAATAATTGAAAAAATAATTTTGTCAGCTACAAATCTTATAACGGATATTTGACACACTTTTACCTGTCCAATTGATCTGAACTTTTGCACACTTGTGTGAAGTCGGAGGCAATGCATGAATCAACTGACAGAATAAATAATTTTGAAAAATTTTTAAATATTAAATAAATTGAAAAATAAAATTATTTTTTTCAATATTCGAAAATAAAATGAAAAATTAATTGTGCATCTTTAACATTGGAGACACTGGATTCTTTATAAGTGTTGTCTTTAAAAAGTTAATAATTTTAAACGTATATTTTACAACACTTCTCTTTAACTTCACTTCTTGTTTGTCTGTTTGTCTGTCTTCTACAAATCTGGTAATCGAAATTTAATACACTACTACTCATCCTATCGATCTAAAATTTTGTACACTTGCGTAAAGTTGGAGACAATGCATGAATCAAATGACAAAATAAATAATTTGAGGAATACAATTTTTTTCCATTATTAAAAAAATTAAAAATAATATTTTTATCAGCTACAATTCATATAATTGATATTTGACACACTTTTACCTGTCCAGTTGATCTAAAATTTTGCACACTTGTTTGAAGTCGGAGGCAATGCATGAATCAATTGACAGAATAAATAATTTTGAAAAAATTTGTATATATGAAAAAAATTTAAAAATTAATTTTTTATTATTCACAAATAAAATGAGAAATTCATTGCACATCTTTAACATTGGAGACACTGGATTCTTTAGAAGTGTTGTATTTAAAAAGTAATTTTTAAACGTATATTATTTTGGATTTGTGCATAATTTGGATTCAAAATGGGGGGAGGGGGGAAAATTTGAAGAAAATGAGAAAAAAACGAAAAAATGCGTGTAAAAAACTAAGACATAAATCAAAAATCGGGCTTCGTTACTCTATTGGTATGGTCTTTACGCATCAATTGATATGCGACTCAATATTGTAGCTTGGAAACACTAGGAGATACATTTATTCAGTACCCCCTTTTTTGTCCGCTTTCTATGAATTTCACGTTTTCTATTAATTTTCCCGAAAAAAATCATACGAACAAAATCTGATTTTTTTCGGTTTTACATATATGTGTGAAGTTTCAGGAAGATCCGTTAGTAAATGTGAAAGTTTTTCCGGAGGGTAGACCCCCCCCTTAAGCATGTTCGCTCATAAACAGGCAGTTAGCTCGCTCTTAAAGGGGAAAGTCTGCCCAAAAATTTCGGATTTTGGCTTTTTCGGTTTTTAGTCTCATCTAAATACTGATATTCTGACCTATCCAACGGTAAAAAAAAATCTCTGTACGTTGATTTATGCGTTCACGGTAGATCCCGAAAGGGATAGAGGTGGTGGAGTTCTTCCACACTGAAGATAGGCGGAAATTCCCAGTAGCACACTTAAATAGCTAGTCCAAACACGATGTGCTTCAGTTCTCCGCCTGCAGTCGTACGGGATGGTTTTCGTGCCGTCGTAAACACCATCCTTGACAGAGATTGAGCTCCAGTATCTTCTAGTCTTGCAACCTTGCACCCTTGAATGTCTATTTCAAGGCGCGCGCGACTTTGTCGGGCTCTACTGAAAAGTTAACTTTGTGTCCCTGGAAAACTATCTCCCCCTACAGTTTTGAAGCTACAGCGATGAGAGATCTACCATTAGATTCGCAAATAAAAGATCTAGCGATTGGTCACAGTTTTTTTTCAATTTCGTTATAGTTGTGAAAATATTTTGAAAAAGCGGGGGAAAATGGAAAAAATTAAAAAATTCGAAAATGCTCCCCCACCCACAATAATTCCAATTTCGAAAAAACTATGACGAATTGGGAGATATGGTTCTTACGCATCGAATGATATGCGTTTCGATGTTGTAGATTGAAAATCCTAGTAGATTAGTTAGAATAGTTTTCTACAGTACCCCATTTTTTGGCCGTTTTCTAAGAGCTCACGTTGTCTCTCATTTTTTTTCGAAAAATTGACTTGAATAAAAGCTGTCTATTTTTCGGTTTCACATATGTGTACCGAGTTTCAAAGTGATTCATCCGTAGATAGCCGAGATAAAATTTTGGGCAGACGCTCCCCACAAGCAGGCAGTGCCTCATCCGGCTGTACCAATACCTGGCTAACCTCATTTAGCCTAACCTGTTCACGCTGTCCCGGCTTACAACCTTATTGCAGTCAATGACTGGCTCTACCAGCACACTTGGACCGCATTTCTAACTTACTGCAGCCAATGGGGTTTGGTTAGGTCAGCTTAGGTTTGTTTTGGGTGGAGAAATGTTGCAACTTGTATTGGTTAGGCCAGAAGAGGATAGGCCGGAAGAGGTTTGGCCAGATGCAGTATGGCCATGCATGCTTACCTTTAGGAAGCTTATTTTACGGCTGTGGACATCCGGGGCTATGGATTTGAGCACTTGATCTTACGCACAACCCTCGTTGTTAATCAAGCGTCACGTTCAATGTGTCAACGACGCGAGATTTTCAGTTGTTTACTCTGAAGAAGACTAGATCTCTCTACCCAGCCATAAAAGACCACCAAGACATTTCCGTTTTTTTCGGTTACTATGAGGACGCAGCACCTGCGTTAGTCCGATATCTATACAATCCTCGGACAATTTATTCAAAATTTTGTTTTTAGATGCCGGTAGTGGCTGAGTTAAAAGGTAGGAATTCGAAAAAAACAGATATAATAAAGATGATAATAAAACCTTAAATTTTCTTACTTACTGGAAAGAAGGTGTGCGATCATTTATAAAAAACAACTGGAGAATTATGGTAATTCTACAAATTTCTATTCTTTATTGCAATGCAAATGTACTATTCGGCATCCCTTAACAACATGATAGTGAGACCAGACTAACTTCAGTCTGGGCGTCACCACCCCCATGGGATCGGAGTCTGGAGCCATCTTGCAGGTGCCGCACATGTGTGCCCCCATGCCGCTCCAGCCACGCACGAAGCAGCGCCAGTAGTCGTCCGATTCGAACGCGAAATGCGCGCAGTCAGGAATCGGCTGAACAATCAACGAGAGCACTTATGCTGTATTCGAGGTGAATGGTATGTTAAAGAATTCGTATTCATATTTCGTTGAGAGGTCATAAAACTGCTTGGAGAAAAACTGCAAAAAATGCTGAACTACATGAAGAAAAAACTGTCTCAGGAAAATTATTCAAGGTTTTATAAGATGCTTATAACATTCAAGTGGGCTACGGAATGTGATATTTATTTTTTATTTATTTGCGCTCGTCACAGAGGTAACGGCATTAAAAGACATCAAATCATGATATTCTATTAGTATGTGCTACTTTTCGATACTCGATATTTGGGTATAGCTAGCGGAGGGAAAATCAGATTTTTTACACCCACTGAAGCATCCCGGCAGGTAGAAGAACTTCTGTTATCTTTGATTTAATTTAAAATTATGTTTGCAACCTTCATTGGAGAAGGAAATGACTTCCAAATCATGTATTGATTTTCTAGCCCATTATAGACGTTTTTACTTCGCGCTCGCTGTAAATGTGGTTGTTTAGCTTCAGCAATGGCTTACCTTGTTAATGGGTTCAGCACCAAGAGCCCGCCGAAAGATCTTGGCATTTCCTAGCCTCCGAGAAGCCTTGGCAGCTGCAGAAAATAACTGGACTTACATAAACATGAATTAAATAAATTTTAATATGTATCAAAGTTACATGGCATGAGAGGGCTTCCAATGCCAATTAGCAATATTTTTCCTAAAGGTAACTTTTTGCGCGCAGAAACTTGAATCTCAAATAAAATGTTTCACAACAGTACAGTCTTCCATTAATTGTTTCTGTCTAATACATTTTGATTTAGAATGTTAGCTCACTGGTGGTGTTCAAAAAATACATTTTGTGCAAATGTTTTACTGATATTGACGTAGCGCCTGGGCTTCGTCCATATTGCAATTGTGGAACAGATAAGTAGGTCTTTTAATCGTGAGTTTGATTGCTTATTGTCGGGGCTTGTCAGAACTTTCTAATCTGTGGTGCAGAAAGCTATTTTAGTAGTATAGGAGTGAGCGTACCGTCACAGTTTGCATAAACAGCTTAACAGTCTACCGATCATTTACCCCGAATTTTGCCAAGCAAAATTGACCAATTACCCCCGAATAAAACCTGGTCATTTACCTACAATTTTATTTAGACATCAAAAATGTGAGCACTGTCTTACGACCATTTACCCTGAATCTTGACCATCAATATCATGGGTTAACGACCATTTCTCCCGATTGAGCAATCTTTAACCGAGAACTCAGGGCTTATCTTTGAGCGGCTGCCTGAAAAATACTTCTGTGGAATATAGAATTGATTTAAATTTTTGAAATACTTTCCAGAACTGGGGTGCTCATCTTTATTGATCACCACAAAGCTATAAGGCACTTATACGTTTCATTACACAATTCTTGAAACTCTTTTAAGGGCATATCACAAGCAATGTAATCACTATGAATATTCTACATATCGATGAAAGGTAACTCGAATAAAATTAATAAATTTAAATTCGTTCTAATGGTTTGTCTTGGTAGTATGTGATAGTTTTGGGATAAGTAAATTGAACTACAGTTATTATGTCTTCCACGGGTGTAAAAACTATCAGCAGGATTTTGATTCTTTTCTGTAGCAATATCATCAAAAATGAACAAATTCTTCTTCATTGGATCTATATCACGGGGATCAGGCACAGAAACAGTATTCTCAAACTATTCGACTGCACATTTTTGTTGAAGTTTTTTAGGTAGGTTTTCGAGATATTCATCAATATTGCCATTGCCGTCAGAAAATAAATTGACATTTTCAGATTTATTATATCCTTTTTCGAAAGCGTTCTTCAAAAACTTATATTCAGGCTGATGAGTTGACTTGCTATACAGGAAACAATTGTTGAAATCAATAAAGTTCTCCAATAGCAACTTCAGTAGCAATGAAATTTTTCCGCAGTTTGAACTTTCAATTATGAGACACCTCAAACTTGAAGAAGGAAATACAAAATAGTTCTTCTGTTTAGTTTTATTATCGTCTTTCCACTTATAGAGCATTTCTTAAAGTTTTATTTCTAAAATCCTTTTCAATGTTTGTTCTAATATATTCATATGAATTATAATCTGATTTATTTAAGTGGAGAGATGGCGAATATCATAGCGAATATTATCAACATCAATCTGCAGCTGATTAATATTTGCATAATTGGACATCACCTCTCTTCGAACATCTGTTATTAAGTCTTTCATGTATTTAAGAAATTTCACCAAGCTTTTTTTCACAGGCTGCCTCGAATGACAATAGCGTGTAAATAAACTACCCTCTATTAAGTTGAGTTTATTTCCATCATAAATCACTCCTTTGTTTTCGAATATTTTTAATTGGGGAATTCATCACACTTGATTTCATCAAATCACACTTGATTAGATGAAATGACTTTCCTAAACCGAACCGTAAATACATTATACATTTCGTAGAGTGAATTGTCAATCTTTTGTTTATCAATTATTTCATATGGTACATTTGCTCTCATTTTTATTAACCAAGTTTATAAATGCATTTGTTGAATTTATAAACTTAGTTTAATATTTATGTTTTCCCAAAATCTCTGCAGAGTTCTCTAGCGAACGCCTGTTCCAATATCCTCAACTTTTTCAAGTCGTTCTGAGAACTCATCCCGCCTTCTCACTACTTCTGCTACTTTATTCATGATGTCATCAGCCCGTGTTTCAGCACCATCAATATATGCCTTTAAATCAACTTGAATTCTTTCCAATGAAGATACTTTTTCATCGAGGGATTTCAAATTATTAATTAGTTTTCGCAATTTTTATCTTACTTCAGTCATTTCCTCAGTAAATTTCACACCAAGATTCCCCAATCCTGTTTTTACTTCAATCATTTCTTGAGTTACTTTTTGTTAAGATCTGTCATTTCGTGAGTTACTTTTTCATCAAGTTTCTACTACTGATTTGCAGCAGGTAAATCTCTCGAGAAAGTTGATAAGTACCATGACACCCTCTCCCACTACATCTATTTTTTATTGGTCATTTCTGAATCCTTTACATAAGCATCTGAGACTATTACAACCTCCTCATCAACATAACTCTTGCATGCGGCATCTTTATCCTCAATTTGATAGATATTTTCAAGTCTCCGATTATTCAGATCAAAATTTTTTCAGCGTCAAGGTACTGAAAGCCAGTGCCTGGAGGACCTCTTAGGTGTGATATGGGTTTACTATTAATTCCTGTTCCAAATATATTAACACCAGTCATTTTAATAAAGTAAAACTTATAAAGCCTACAGACTATCCCTAACTCGTGAAGCTACAAGATTATTTATACGATCAGTTAATATTTTGTTCAGTTCAATGTTTTTATCAGTTTCATTTTGTAGCATCTATTTAAGTTGATTAATTTCAATTTGATATGATATAGTTTCGCTAGAAAACTCATGAAATATGTTTTTAATAGCTTCCATTTTTGTCTGCGAAACTGACCCCGCCCGTAACTCATGACTTGTTCTGTTATGTTATTAAATTTTACATCATCAATTGAAGCTAAATTGGACTCCAAGCTTTTGAATTTCTGATCAACTTCAGCAAAAGATTCTTTTCCATAAATTTTCAACTCGAGGTTATGAATCCGCAATTCTGAAGTTTTAAGCTTTTCATTTTTAATCTCGGCTAAGCTCATTAAGCTCATTTTCAATCTCGGCTTTCATTTTAAGCCGAGATCAATCTTAAACTAGATCTCATTTTAACTTCCATTGCTTCATTATGTCGTTTCGTTTATGCTATAAGTTTATCATCAGCTTTCTTCTTATTGACCGCTCTAGCTGTGGCGGAAGACCCTCCTGCCAGAGACCCAGCAGCGCCTAGAGTCCCTAGGATAGGAATTGAAAAGATGAAACCTCCTTCCTTTGCTTCTTTTGCTGATACAAAAGAAGTTTTAGTTTTCTTACAACTCAAGCAACGTCCGCTCTTTAATATTTTATTATTTTTCGTCGTAACATACCGAGCATCCTAAGCATCAGTCTTCTTTCGACATTTTACGTAATACTTCATTTTAATAAGATATAAATCGGAATGAATTTTTAAATTCTTAGTAATTTGTATTCATTTTTTACCATCAGATTGTAATTAAATTATTCGTCTGAAAGAATCAGAGCATAAGCATGTGTATTATCAGGAATGTTATCATTGAATTCAGCTTTAATCTTCATATCAATGAAACTGTACTTAAGACGTTCATTTTGCTTACTGATAATCGGATGTGAAAACCTATAATCTTTGTATGCAGCTGCACAATTTGTCTGTGATGCATAATCGATCATCATTTTATAAACTACCGCATAATTGTTACTATCAAAATCAATTTGCAGGTTTTGCTCAGCATACCTTTTGTTATTTAGCTGGAAATATGCATTCTTCATATCACAGTGATCAAACAGTGCATTGTTAGAAAGTTGCGAATTATTCATACCAGTTTGAAATGCTAAAATTGCATAACGAGGTCTTTGAGTTCCCGAACTTGGTGTAAGAGTCCAATACAGGAACTTTTGATTAGGGCTCATTACTGGTTTATAAGCCGTCATTTTTCAAATTAGTCTTTTGATAGTGATTTCCTCATCACCAACTTTATACTGATGATTTGGATCTTTATCGCTAGTCTTGAACAGAACATTTGCATCATCACCTCTTCTCCGAGTTGTCATGCTTGACTCCATAATTTATGCTTGACTAATAATTTAGTTGTCATGCTTGACTCCATTACAAGCACTTTGTCATAATTTTCACAGAATCCGAAAATATGTTTTAAGGGAATTAGAGCATTAAATTGACCGTCAGCGGCTCCTAAATAATCACTACGTTCATTAAATCCATCATTCGATTTAGTATTTTTCTTAGTGTCGATACTCCAGAAGAACATCATATTCTCTTTGGAGTTTCGTTGATATGTTGTCAGTCTTTTTAGAGTTGTAGCAATTTCAGGATAGCTATACCCCTCAATTTCCTCATTTCCGATTTTATAAGATACTCTATCGAATAAATACATCAAATCATTATTGATAATTGATATTGTATTATCTTTGAAATTATAATTACTACCATCCTCTCTCGTTAAAGCCCCTTCGATGTAAAGACAACTGTCTGATGGTAGTAGAAATTGATCTTGATTCTGAATAATAATCTTGATATAATTGCGTTCACGATTTAAACTTTATGACTCGATCCATCAATTTGAATAGTTTCGTTCCATTGTAGGTTCTCCATTTTCATTAGAAATATTTTTCAAAGATTATGTAATATTTTTAGGCCTTAAGTACAATTGTACTGTTATTTCCCTCAACTCTGGTATTCCAAAAATTTCTATTTGATCTGTTAACCAAATTCGAATATTATAAATTGAAGGCTGATCTACGGTTAGATATATTGGTTGACTAGGATGCTCTACGATTTGATATCCTGGGGGAACGTTAGGAAAATGGATTCAAAATATTGTGTAAATCACCATTGAGATATGATCCATTGATTATACTGCATTGAACAAGTATTGCAATAACAGACATTATATTTACTATATTTGTACTTTCATGTTCTCTGACACCTTCCAATACGCC